ACCAAGGGACGCTGCACTACTGACGCAGGAGTAGCTTTAATAAAACGTGTTGTTGCCTCATGGGAAGAAGCACAGGATGCAATTGGAATATTCTGTGATCTTTCGAAGGCATTTGACTGTGTTGACCACGAAACGCTTTTGCTGAAGCTGGAACACTACGGCATTAGAGGGGTATCGCTAAATCTATTAAAGTCATACCTTCGGGATAGGCAACTTAAGGTGCAAGTAAATAAGGTAAACTCACAGGGTGCTAGCATATCTATGGGTGTACTGCAGGGCTCAATACTAGGTCCTTTCCTATTTTTGGCTTATATAAATGACTTGCCGCATTTATTCCGGAATGAACCACAGATGGTATTATTTGCTGATGACACATCACTGGTTTTTAAAATAAATAGACGTACAAATAATTATGACGATGTAAATAATGCTCTGATGAAGGTTCAAAACTGGTTTACAATAAATAATTTAGTGCTGAATGATAAAAAGACAAAATGCATTAGATTTGTTTTGCCAAACGTTAAAAATAACGAATGTGACATATTACTGAATAGTGGAATTTATAAAAGAAACTATTTTCCTGGGAATTACTGTAGACGACAAATTACAATGGGGTCCTCATATTACATCTCTAGCGGGACGATTAAGCTCTGCAGCTTATGCTGTCTGGAAAATCCGTCAGTTAACCGATATAGACACGGCAAGGCTGGTGTACTTCAGTTACTTCCATAGCATCATGTCGTATGGCATTCTGCTGTGGGGACACGCTGCTGACATTGAGTCTATCTTTGTCTTGCAGAAGCGCGCCGTCAGAGCTATATACAACCTAGGTCGTCGCGAATCTCTCAGAGAAAGGTTTAGGGAGATCAATATTATGACCGTTCCATGTCAATTTATTTATGAAAATATTATGTATGTTAGGAAAAACCTACATTTATTTAGTAAAGTGTCTGACAGACACAATTATGAAACTAGACATAAGAATAGATTGTCCGCCATTTTTTAGATTGTCAAAAGTACATAAGTCGTTCATGGGATTCGGTGTTAAATGTTATAACAAGATCCCCCAAGAAATACTGCATCTAAATGAAAGAAAATTTAAACTATGTATTAAAAAAACGTTATGTAGACAAGCATACTACAAACTAAATGATTATATAGAGGATAAAAGTGCTTGGAGGCAGGCTGGTCCGGCTCCGCTGGATAATACATGAAACACAGTGATGTTCAATGAATTCTATTTGTGTAATAATATAATCATGTTGCTTAAATATTTGTATAGTTTAAAACGTTGCACAAGTTATTGTAAATGTGAGAGCCCTGTAATTAATTAAATCAAATTAGACTAGTAGATTGCATTTATGTCAGCTTGGAGTTGTCATGCTCACTCAAAGATCTCGTTGGCGGTGGCACGTGCATTGGATCGCTCGATTCCCTACAAAATGGTTGAGTTGGGCGGTGCTAGGGTTCGCAAAATGTTCGTGAACGGGCACCGTCGATTGGAACTGGTCAGCTCCAGACTGTATCTTTTTATTTTATTATCCTCAAGGTTATTTTCTTTTTCAGTCTTTCTGACTGGATTGGGTGTTGCATTGTTCTCACATAATCGAACCAATAAAACTATGTAACTAGAGAATTGTATTGTAAACCTGATTGAAAAAGAGTAACCTATGGAGTTTCTTGCTCGTTCTTCTCCATAGGAATCTACGCCTTGGAATGAGCAACTAGCTTCACTTATAATTTTTTGTTGTTTGACGTTCAAAAGTGCCATCCTGGTCTAATTGGAATAAATGATTTTGACTTTGACTTTGAAGTCGCGGGCAAAAGCTAGTAAAAAATAACACGATGCTTGATACGCCGTGTGCTGTACTTAGCAAAAATTATAAAGATATTTTACAGAATAGATTTTACTGTAATGATGTACACAAGATCTAACAGCGTGTCGAATTATGAATGTTAATTTGTGAATCAGCCCCAAACGTGGCGTCAGTTTTAGACGACTTATATCAATGACTTTGATTGTATTGAAGTGAAGGACAACGTATTTGGCCTGTTCACATAGATCTTTCGTGTATAGATAGGTACTGTTTTAGTCTACTAACACTGTTTATGAAGACTTTAATCAGTCGTTTAAATGTGTAGTAAATCATTTTAAATTTTAAACATTTCTAACTATAATATTCTAATTGCCGAATTTACAACCAATCTGCATCAATCCCGGTTTTTGACAGAAACTCCACATAGTGACATCGACGAGATCTATCTTAACATTTTGGATCGATGTCGCTTAATAATTTCGGCCATAAATCAATTAGTGAATGTTGATAAGTATGCACTCCCAAACCAGTGAACAGATTTTTATGAATATTGGTACATTAATAGTTAGAAGAGACTCTGAATTCTGAATGATACCAAGTTCACATAATTGAGTACGTTCCTTAATCAAAAATAAATTATGTCAACAGTTCAATACAATAAAATATTTAAAAATAATCACACTTTCATTAATCGATTTTATGACCAACTTAATTTCAGTATTTTTCCAGCTATATTTTAAGTAATACGTATGCTGTTTGACGCTAAAAGCGTGACGTCACAATACAGAGTCTCGTACAAAATACATAGAAAACAGTCGTTTTTGACAGTTCGAAAAAACGATTGAATTTGACTAGATGGCAATAGTACCCAATTGTGATATAATGAATAAGGTGTAGAATTAAATGACAACGGAGTCTATTCGATAGTCCCAGTTTCACTCTATAATAAATAAAAAATAAATCATGAGTATTTCAGCTAAATATAATCTTTTCATTGAAGTCGCTTGTCAAAAGCGACTTCTAATAAAAATGTAGCGTCATTCGGTCATCAAACTGGGGCCTGGTTTGACGCGGCCCACGTAAATAATACCTACCTTTTAATAATAATCGGCCTACTGTTTTGTCCACCAAAACAGATCTATTCGCAATAAAACAACTACCTACAGTATTTTACCAATTTAATTGTTAATCTATTAGACAGTAGCAGGTGTTACTAGGAGTAGTTGATAAATATTAGTAACTAGCTTTTTTACCCGCGGCTTCGCTCGCGTCACAAATAGGGCATGTAAAACCGGAAAGTCATCAAAACCGGTTTTGAACATCGTTTTTTTGGTACCAAAACCGAAAACCGGAGCTAGGTCCGGTTTTATCAAAAAAATCCAATGTAGTTAATTTAAAAAAGAAAACCGTTTTTTTAAATACCCACTGAGTCTACAAATAAAACAAATTGTGTGATTCACTTCTTTTTCATCCAACCAAACCATAATAATTGTACAGATAACAATGAACTTATAATAGTATAAAAATTATTTAACTGAGATCAAATCAACAACAAGTAAGTTTTTGGTATCTTTGGAACCTATTAAGTCTGCTATCAAAAATAATAATATTTTAAACATAGAAAACACAAGTAGCATCTTTAAATATTAAATACAGCCAGCCACAATTACCAAAAAAAAAACATTATTTTTGTAACTTTGAAGACGAACTACAAAATAATATTATTATAATATGATTCATATTGCGCTAAAAAAGAGATCAATAATCAACTGCGGGGTGCAGGCTCGGAGATGTTCGCAGACCCATCAAGAAATATCCAAATAATTACTGATGACACGGGTCCAACTATTTTAAAATCGGAGATATTACGTGACCAGATAACATACCCATCGAGAATACCCATATTACCCATCGAGATTCTCAAGCTATTGGAGGAAGTACTTGACCAATTCTTCAACAACATTTACGAAACTGGCATTCTTCCACATGACTGGCTAAAGTCTACGTTCATTACAATACTCAAAAAACAAAATATGGAGAGTACCAGATGATGAGTCTAATGACAGATGTCCTAACAGTGTTCTTAAACATCATACAGAACAGAATAAGAGTAAAGTGTGACGAACAACTGGGAGACAGCCAATTCGGATTTCATTCTGGTGTTGGCACCCGTGAAGCTTTATTCGCCCTCAACGATCTCAGAATCTCCATCTCTTCAAAAATGCAGAGAAATGCAAACGGACGTGCTGATAATATGTTTTATCGACTACGAAAATGCACTTCATTTAGTTAAGCATCAGGCGGGGGTAGTGGAGGGAGGCGTGAAAGTGGGTGGATGCAGGCTGTGTTCGGTTCGGATACATTTAATGCCTCAATATTAATTATTTTTGTAAGAGTGTTTGAAAAAAATTTGATTAAAACAAAATGTTAATTGTTACTTAATAATGGGAAAACCGGAGCTGAGCTCCGGTTTTGGCTGTCAAAACCGGTTTTCAATAATCGTAAAATTTTGGCCGATTTCCGGTTTTGCGCAAAACCGGAAAACCGGTTTTACATGCCCTAGTCACAAAAGTATAAAAGGTGGTCTATGTGACATATACCAATACACACAGCGCCATCTATACCAATACTTTTGTTTTCCCTCGGGAATATCAAAATTTTCCGGGAAAAAAGTACGTGAAAGCGGAACAAACAAACAAACAATCAAACTCACCTTTCAATTTATAATATGTATTAGTAAGGATAAGGATTGTACCTAATATAAGTATTTTTAAACGTTGTCCTGCACTAGGATTTTCTCCTGTATTGTGGGTGCGTCTATAAACATACACAATATGACACCCAGACCTGACACAGACTAGTAAAGTCTTATCCTATTCTACAACAACCGATGAACGAATTCTTGTAAAATTAGTACTCCAATACTTAAGTCCTATACTAACTTAAGTCCAATACTTAAATAAGAGAAAAAGAGAAGAGTTAAGACAGTGCATTGTGATAATTCTGTTATGAGAAATGGTGAATCATTTTGTTCATGAATAAATGAAAAATGAATAGATTATGATGAAAAAATGTTTTTTTCAATCTGACCAGTTTGATTTGTACCTAGATGTGATGATTGCGAACACTAAGCACGATTAAGCCCAAAAATACATAATATTAATTTAGCATTTTTTTTATTAGGAACAAAATGTAGCAGAGAGCTTGAGATTGTTGCAACGGCACAAAGTCCTTGCTCTCCACGGCATGTCAGGTTCAGGGAAAACATGTGTGGTCATCAGCGCTTTACGTGACAACCCTGATTTAGTTGCCAGCAACTTCAATAGCGTTGTCTTCTGGATGAACTTCGGCAACTGTAAGACTGATGATGACATTATTTTCCAACAAAGCAAGTGAGTAAACATAACATTTATTACCATTTTTCCTTTGCCTACCGTAAACAAACCTATCGCAAAAATCAGTAGAGAAAACTGCATTAAAATCCGTGCAGTCGTTTTTGAGATGAACGCGAACAGACTCGAAAACTATTGAACAAAATTTAATGATAATATGTCAGAATAGTTACTACCGATCGCATTTCGATTGGATAATAGTTTTTCCTTGATATAGATTGGATAATATTTGTATTTGATGCAAAACTTATTAGTATTCTTTTAGTTTTCGCTAAATAGTCAGTGCTCCCATATAAAGAGAAGCAAACCATTTTCATTTGCTACTATTATAATCAAATTGACCAATATAGTCAACGCAAGATAAGGCATGAGTTATTTTAATGGCCATGTATTCATATGCGAACACAAACACGTGCAAAAAGGTTCCGTTAAAATACAAGAGCATTTATCAAAACGCTATTTTTTATATAACGTTACGTAAGTACTTTCTATCTTTACAGATTACTAAGAAAAGCATCGTCAATGTACACGCAGAATTCGTACATGAACTCGTCAGTTTCTATGTCTAGCATCGGTTCAAATGGCGACAGTCAATCATCTTCTAACTACGACTGGACAATGAACGACCTTAGAGACAAACTGAAGGCACAATTCTATGAACTACCTCTAAAAGAATGCCTCCTTGTGCTTGACGAAGTTAATGACAAAAAGTGCTTAGAAGCGTTCGACATCGGATGCAAAATTTTGGTCACAACAAGAGATACTAGCGTTGTCGCTTCCTGTTCAGCACAAATTATCAAAGTAAGTATTAAACACTTTATTATGTCGCGGAGAACCTAACGGGCTACCGGGGCTCCGGCTCGAAGTTCAGGAGAAAGAACGGGGTAGTTTCTAGTCAAAAAGAGTCTAAAACTCCCTCCCGCCTCACCCAGGCGGGAGCAGTCATTCGATGATTTCCCCCCTTAAAAAAACACTTTATTTTTAAATCTAACTAGATTATGTTTGAATGTGTCACTCAAGTTCACAGAAACTGCTACAGTGATTAAGATAAAATTGAGCATGTGTATGCGTATAAAACATGACCCGGATTAGATCATTCTATTATGTTTAGTTTTCATTTTGATATCGTGGATACATCAAGATAATCACACGTCACACATAATCCATACTTCCATACTAATATTATATATGCGAAAATGTGTGTATCTGTTTGTGTGAGTGTCTTTCACGCCAAAACAGACTAATGAATTGACGTGTTTTTTTTAATTAGAGGTAGTTAAAGGGATGGAGAAGTGACATAGGGTATAAAACATCACGCTACGATTAAAACGAGCCGAACGCGTGGTGAAGCCATGTGGGAGTAGCTAGTTACATAATAAAACTTTATCCATTAGGACCTACATAGGTTAATTTTATAACGATATAACCTAAGGGCTCGTATACAAAACTGCGATGCGACGACGCATCTCAAAAATGTGCGAGCTCCCTCTACGCATCGCAAGAACTTGCGAATTGATTCGCATCGCGCTACAAAATCTTATCTTCCCAAAATCTTCTTTATTTCTTTTCCCTGTATCTCCTAAGCACTAACAAAAGTGCACACTTCTTTTTACAATTGTCACGACCTAGTTTTCAATTTAAAATACGTTTAGTACGGTTGACGGTCGTCGAAGGAATGGTCACCCTGGGAGACGCCTTGTCGCACGAAATCGCATCGCAGCAATTCGTATCGTAATTTTCTGCGTTGCGAATTCGCATCGCATCACATCACAGTTTTGTGTACGAGCCCTAAACGCAAAAATGCTATAATGTGAACAGAACATTGATCCAATGAACCGATATTACCGTACAACATTTGTAATCGTACCTACTCTATACGATTACGTAATACAAAATATATCTTTGCATGAAAAACAAAATGTGTGATGCGACTATAATGTTTATAATTGCCGTTTATCTTCCCTATTATGTTTATCCATTATAATTTTAATGTATCGATAATGTATTGATTCACTATCTATCACACGCGCATCAATATCTATATGGAAAAAGGAAGATGTCTACTTTAGTTATAATAGTTTTCCGCCCGCAGCTTCGCCCGTGTGCCTTTAGTTTTTCGAGATGAAACGTAGCCTATGTTCTTCACCGTACTCTCAATTATATAATAACGTAACATCACGTCTTATATCTCCACAGGGGTAGGCAAAGGTGCACATTACGGCACCTAATGTCACTGTACAATGTAACACCCACTTTTCACTATTTATGTTATCAGTCCCATGTAATAGGGGGTGAGCCTACTGCCATATACCGGGCACAATTACAGACTCTGTGCTACTATTGAGATTTTTATAAAAATCTATTAGTACTTTACTGATGGTATGTTTAAAGATTATTTAAATTGTTAAAGCATAAGGGCTGACATACAAACTAATTTTCGCATGTAGGTACCTAATAATTATTACCTACAAAGTAAACTGTTTAAATAATTCGCATTTTCCCTTTACCTATTTTTAGTCCTCTGTTGTAATAAGTACCTACAATTATTCTATGAGCGTACATATGATATTGATGACTTTAATAACGCAAATATATTTTGGTAATGTAGGTACTTAATGCAGATTATCTCATTGTCATCTCTTACGTATTTGTATAGTGATATGAAAACTGTAAATACTTTGAGTTAATAGTAATAGAGGCTAAATTCTAATGATATCTGTTGTGATTTGATTTGGATATTAGCCAAAAACATCAACTGATTAACAGGATAATTGAATCTCTAAATCAAAGTAATCGTTAAATGAAATAATTGACGTCATCATTACTGCTTGACAACGATTTTGCATTACGTAACTAAAGAGTGTCGAAAAAATGCAATCTAATTGGAACCATATTTACTTGTATTAAAGGTTCTTTATACCCAAAATTAGACAAGGTTAAATCGATGGCTTACATCAGTCTTGTTACCCCACGCATTGTAACAAAAAGTCTACGTTCAATCATTTAACGTGGTCAAACTCATTACAATAATTCAATCGGTGAATTCTGTTATCGTCATCAAAATTAACTATTTATTCATATAAATTTTCCCTAGATAACTTCCATCACATTTAGTTACTAGTTTTAAACTAGACTTGTAAAACTACACAATTTTTGTCAGCTAATTGAAAATGGAGGCCTTGGTACAAATATGTTTTACATATAAAGTAATCGAAACTAGAATGCGTTCGACGCTCTGATTGGCGGGCGCCAATGAACCGACTAATCACAGCGCCGAACGCGGTCTCGTTTCGATTACTTGATACGTAAAACAAACTTATACTAAGGCCTCCGTTTACGCACGTGAAGTATTAGAGAAAAACTGTAGTAAGTTAAAATTTATCATTAGCAACATAACTTACAGCGCCACTGATGGTAAACGGTCAACGTAGCTTAAGTACGTCTGCGACACCAGTGACGTCATGAGTGCGTTAGTGACGGTGTAAGAAAGTAAATTGCATCATCGTTTTCACGGCTTCTTCATAACTGCACCCATAACTTACAAAGTTTCTAGTTTTATAGAAAAAAATGTCTTTGGATAATTTAAATTGTACAAATTTTCAGATAGAAAACAGCTTAGAAGAAAAGGAATCGTTGGAAATCTTCGCTCTATCGCTTGAAGTACCTGTATCTAAGTTACCTTGGCAAGCGAAGAAAATCCATGAGCTTTGTAAAGGCAGCCCTTTTAACATTGGCCTCATTGGAGCACAACTAGCAGAAAACAGGGAAAGACTGATTGACGACCCAAAAAGATGGAATTACTACGTCAAGGAGTTGAAAAAGAAGAATCACTTTTCATTGTAAGTATATTTACTAAGAATTATTTATGACTAATGGCTAAGTTGATCGTCTAGATTGTTTTTAAAATGATTTTATCATTTTGATTGTTATTATGATAATTATATTTGATAATATGCAGATTATATCGAATTAAAATAAGCCAGTACCAGAAATTAGTACAGATGGGAAGTCCCTTCTTCGCGGCTATTAAGAAATATTAGATTCAGAAAATCCCCTTCAACCGCCATCTTCAATATAAATAAGTTTAATAGGAAAATAATAATATTTTAATATTACAGCATTCCAATCAATCAAACGTACAATCCGATGAAAACAATCGAAGTATGCATCAACTCGTTAAACCAGAATGTGTTACCATTGTTCAAAAAACTAAAAATCCTTCCTGACAATGTGAAAATTTCTGCCAAAGTCCTGAGCAAATTGTGGAACAGAGAGGACTCACAAGTGGAATCCATCATGAAAGAGTTGCGTAGTAAATCTCTTATCATCGAAGTTTATGACAGAGATCAGAGAAATTACATGTATGAGATCCATGACCTTATCATGAAGTACTTGAGGAGTTCAGGGGAAGACGATAGCAAGAAGCTACATGCTGAGTTCCTAAATAGTTATCACTATAATACTACAAACCCACCGCTAGAAATCATTGATGATGGTTACATCGCCTTCTATATCGGTTACCATATAAAACACACGGCTAATTACAACGATATGTGGACGTTGTTCAACAAATTGTTCCTCAATTTGAAGTTTTTAGGTAACAAAGTGAGGTTAACGGGACCTGCCGATGTGATGTCGGACCTACAAAACTATGAGTCATATATTGTTAAATACGTGAGTATTGGTTTATGTTTTTTTAGATGTTGAGGTACACAGTAGTTTAGGATACATATTGTATATAGTTTTTGTCACAATAACAAGTACAAACGCAAAAGAAATACATCTACATTGGGTTTTGGTCATAATAATATAAATTAATCATTGATTAATTAAGATATTTACATTAGTCTCTATAAAGTGTTAGGTACTAAGGATACTTAGGGCCGATTTTTCCAAAGCCACTTAAATTTTATCAGATGGATGACCTTAAATATTTCACAATTCTTCCATACTAAAAACTGTCAAATGTAAATTTTATTCTACAATAATTTAATGGTTGGTTGTTTGAAAAATCGGCCCTTAGTAAATTCTATAATCTTAATGTTTGACAAAATTCCTAAAAATAAACACAAACTGGAAAACAGGGACTTTACCGTAAACACACCTGTTATTACCCTATAACAAGAATAATTTCAATCATTTATTATAGAAATTACATTATACTTGCCTACATTACAGCATTACATTTTATAAGCTTATAAATTGAATCTACTGCCTCATTGGCCGCGTGGTCGCAAGTGCGACTGCCGAACAAGGGGTCTCGAGTTTGATTCCCGGGTCGGGAAAAATATTATTGTATTTTTTAAGAAATTCTCAGTAGTAGCACAGAGTCTGGAATTGTGCCCGGTGTATGGCAATAGGCCCTTTATTCTCCCTCCCTTAATATGCTTCTCTGCCTACCCCTTGGAGGAAAAAGGCGTGATAATATTGTTTTGTAAAATAAATTTAAATATCTTACTAATATAAACATCTCTCATACAAATTACATATGTTATTGTATTCAACACCAAAGTTATCCTTATAGTAGCCTAGCATGCAAATAGTCACACGCAGTGACGTTTCATTACGTCACTTTGTCCATGTTGTCATTCTCATTCTCTTCCTATTGGCTTGTAACTTTATAGTCGATTGTGCAATACAAATATACAAATACGAAACCGCAAACAGCACCGAATATCCTTATTTAGTAATGAATTTGAAACTAATTAAGTAATTTCATAATTATCATTGTTTTAATGTGTTATAGGGCATTATTCGAATTTGCACATTTTTTCCAGATTTTAGTTCAAAATCTCTTCATATTGTTATTAGATTTATATGGCTACTGTATAGAAGTATACTTTTTATTCTAGCTTCCAATAGTTTGGCTTTTTATTCATTTAAAAACAAAGTTAACACACTAAATTAGCTCTTATTTGTCAATAAAAACACACTGAATTTGCTCTTATTTGACTCCACGAATAAGGCTTAATTTAGCGTGTGTACTAGCTATTTATCACAGGTATATTAGCTATTTTTACTTTGATATATTTTTCGCTAATCATGCTTTGTTTTCTTAGGAGCTAGACAAGGAACTGATTAGCAACACTAAAGCTTTCCTCAGCACACATGGGAATGACCTATTTCATTATCCCTGCACTGATATTATCCAAAGTATCCTACAAAACGAGTCTAAAGGCATACTGTACTCGAAAGCGTCGCAAATTGCCCAAGAAAATTGCAATAATAATGAGCTGTATTTTGATTTTCTGTAAGTATTTCTTTTCAATATGTTTTTGTTTGCTTTTTATTCGTTAAGTGCCTATTCAAATTCATTTGCTTGTTTCTTGGCAAAAAGTTCTTATTGTTTATGCGACTTTACTTTCAAGATAAGTTTTTATATCTATTGGTTTACTTCGATTTTTTTTCTTCGTAAGGGTATAAATTGTAAAGCGCTCGCACTAAGGCCTTGTGACCTTTGGCTTTCTACGTTCTCAGTTCTAATTGCGCGTTTGTTTTCGTAAGTTTTCCTTGATCAATAGTACTATTAGACATTTTTTCCTTATTAAATAATCGTGTTGCTATGCATTAACCGGCTTTAAATTAGTGTATTATACAATTTTATTCACCATTAGATCCATTAGTCATTGATTTTAGTTTATTGTGAACTGTTTATAAGCCAAGGGGCAAATAAATAGTGCTCTATAGTACCGCGAAATCTTCTATTGACTCATAATCATAATTCTAAATAATACTTGAAATGTATAACTTATTAGTCTAAACTATGTTTAATGACCCATTACAAGTCTATAATAATCTCTAATCTTGTAATATAATAACTATTCAATATCATAAGCAGACATCTTACGTTACGCTATATGAATTCAAGTAGCGTCATACATAAAATTTACTACATTATTTGGGTATGGATGCATTTGGGGCTCCGGTGACTTCACATAAACACACAAACAATGCAAACATTTTATCCCGCTTGTTTTCTATAGCGTCGTAGTATCACTCCGGTCGAACTGACCCATTCGTACTGAAGCGTGGTCTCTTGTGACCACTCTCTACTAACTCCATTATAAACCTTATTTCCGATGTTTAGAAACTACTTTTGTATGAACAAATTTCGGGGATTTTCGGTACGATATATCAAAATATTAAATACTTAAATGTTAATAAAGTCAATAAAAATGACATTTCTGAATTATGTATTAATTATGCGTCTTATTTACAGGCATGAACAAAACGTTGATGAAATCAAGCACTCAACTATTGATGTCAAAGAAAAGATCACAGCTGTGTGCTTTCTTACGGATTACGTTCTTGTCGGTACTAACTCCGGTGTGATTAAGGTGAGTGTGAAATTGTACTTTTTCAACCGACTTCATATATTTGTATACTTCCATCCAGTCATCGTCCTACTCTGATTTCAAGATTTTCAAGCTACTTTTAGCTCAGCACGGTATTTTTTTTTTCATTCTTCTTCACATTGCTCATCATATCATGCATTTCAGTCCCCGAAGGGACGCTAAGATGCATATATTGCAGTATCTTTACCAACGAGCGCTAGCTTTACTGACGGACAGACTGACAGACTATTATTAATTTATATTTGGTGACGTTTCAAAGGTACCAAATTATGGTTTAATTGAAATAAATTCTTTTATGGTTTTCAGTTTGAGACTTGCCAAAAAACAGTTGTAAATAATATTATTTTTTATCGTTCTTCACCAGTTCTTCCACATCGTAACAAACAAGCAAGGTAAAGAGCTCCGTGGTACAGGTTCGCCAATCAAATGGATCGGCGTGTCTCTAACTAAGAACCCGCCAGTGGTCGCCGCGCTGGCGTACGATGGCGTCATCAAACTATGGTACGTCGATGACGTAGACTATGAAGAGAATGAGGATGTTATCGAAGAAGGTATTGTTTTGTTTTTGTTTGTTTACTATGTTTTTATAATAACTATCGTGAGATATACTAAAATAACTAAATATCGTGGGTTACTCACGTGAATGTACTGAAAAAACGCTACTAGTTTTGAACCACAGAGGGTTCTTTCTCATCTTTGTTTTTTTTTTGTTTATTCTGAGTAGACAAGTGAAATATGGGTGTGTTTTACAAAATTTGAAGTAAAGTTGTCGCGTAGGACAAGTAATAATTTTTTGTAATTACTTAAAAGTTGAAATTGTTAGTCGTGGGTATTGTTGGCATTGAAATGTTTATTGATTATTGATTACAGTTACATATTTTATCATTTTGATTCTTTATTCTGTAGAATCTGCAAAGAAATATCAAAAATATTATTTCTTCTCAATTTCATTAATCTGGATAACCTTTTTAAAATACTAACGCCAATGTAAGCCAGATATAATAGAAAAAATAAAAAGCAAAAGCGTCAAGACTATAAATCCTTACATCACATATATTTTAACTAAAACAAAACAAAATTGACAATTACAGAACCAGAAGAATGCTACAACAACACCTTTGCGGACGTACAAATCCAGGGTTCATACCTAAACTGCAGATGGGCGAACAATGAAGAGTACCTAATCATGCACACAAGCAAAAAGATCGACTTCTACAACCCTTCTAGAAGCCAAAAGAACAAAATCTTCAAAACAATTCAGGATTTTGATAGGGACAGAGAGATCTTGTGTTGTGTCCCTTGTAATTATGATAAGAATGTAATCGTTGCCACCGATGGCCCTGTGAAGAGGGTTGAAGTGATCGATTTGAAGACCAGGGAACGAATCATCACGTTCGATGAGACTGATATTGTTTTAGATATGGTTACTGTTCCTCGTAAGTCCTCTTTTTATTTTTAAAATAATTGTTTGTTTTTTTTTAGTCTCTTGCGTTACCTAAGGGTGCCTGTTCAATGGTTTTAGTTAAACCTAATCTTAATCATTCCATGTATTTAATAATGACTGCAAATTCCCACGTAATTTGATCGATACTCGATATATTAGAAGTAAAAAAAGTGACGAAATTCAGTTTTTTTTTTGTAGGGCTTATTTTAGGAATATTATTCTGCTTTTGTTTTCTAATACATATTAAAATGTATGATGCTAAAATCGATAGAATTGTGCGTCATCAGAACAATCCATAGCAGGAAACAATTTTAATTTGTAATTGCATTACAAACGTCAGGATGGAAAGCTAGCTATATACTTGTTCAGTATACGTAATAGTCATCAACTTTTTATTGCCTACTGACTATACATTTATACAGAATGATTTGTTATTATAATCTCGTATTAACACTAAAAGTTAAAATGTTCATATCCGCCTCATCTTTTCTATAGCCCCATACGAGATTGTGCTCTAATATCCCCCTGTATAGAAATACATATTTTAACTGCACTGCTGGCCCGGTGGCTGGGCAACAGGCTGTTTGTTTCGGATCTGAATGTCATGTGTATGTAAACTTTTATGTTTGTAAACGAACTCACGATACAAAAGAAAATCCTAGTGTGGAGCAAAGTTTAAAAAACATACAATTTTCCTCTATCGAATTATCATTTATCTTTATCTATTAATTTTATAAGAACTTGATATTGACGCATTCAACTAGTTCCATGAGTAATAGTAGTGACGTCGATTCTAATTGTCAGATTTAAAAGATAGATAATTGTCAGATTTAAAACTTTTATCGTTATAAGGTCGTGTAGTGACGTCAGAGTAATATTTGCCAATACGTTTCCTACGTTAGAGCCGATTAGAAACTATATTTAATAGAGACCAGGCAGCAGTGCTTATTGATAAACCTTAATATGTGATCCTAAACCCCTGGGCCAAGCGTGGAGACCATGGTAAAGCTCCCTTTGCCATATTCTATTCTGATACTTCATATTACATCAACAGCCTATGTGTGGCTACTACTGACTAATTATCACTCGTAGGTTTGAGCATTAATTACCACGCTTGTTCAATACAGGTTGGCGATTTCAAACTTATAATTAGAAATTATAAGCCCAGGTTTCCTCGAGATGTTTCCTTCACCGTTTGTCAATGGTATCTAAATCTTATAAAGTACATATGACTCAGAAAAAGTTACATTGGCAAGCCCTTGATAGGTTTTAAGCCTCACTCTCATGTATGAAAAGTCATAAAACTCCCGGCCACCTTGACTTTTGATTATTATTATTGTTAGTCATGAACCATGTTGCACACAGTTATCACGTAACCTTGCGATTTCTCTCGACGTTTTCCTATTATTAATTAGTCCATTTAAATGTATAGATACTGTTTTTATTGTCTCACACTTCAACAACTTTACTTGACTGCACGTTTGGTTCGGTAGCTGGGCAACGTGTTGTGGTTTCGATTCCCGCAAGGAACAACTCTTTGTGTGATCCACAAATTGTTGTTCTGGGTCTGTGTGTCATGTGTATGTGAACTTGTATATTTGTAAACGCACCCACGACACAGGAGAAAATCCTAGTGCGATGCAACGTTTTTATTAAAAAAAATACTTCTAATTACAGGTAGCAACAAAATCATAACGCTAAAACCGAATGAGATTATGGAGCATGAAATGAGTAGATCCCACACAAGTACAATCAAGAACACGTGTTGTTGCCGACGAGTTATTACAAGTAATGACATTAAAGACAACATGTCGTTCATTGCAATCGCTGTCAATAAAAGTGGAACCCTACTCTGTGTCGCTACTGATGATAGCAGGGTCGTTTGTGTTGATCTCAAGACTTATACCAGGTGTTTTGATCTGGAGAATAGAAGGGGGTAAGATTTTTGATTAATTATTATTACTTAGCTATGCTAAAGATATGTATTATTTAAAAATATGTGTTTTAGCTGACTGAGTAAAGTGTCGAAGATCGTGTGTCTATATATCGATAATATAAGGTGGTACTATGTAGAGATACGATATTTAATTTCTATTGAGATTATTATATAGTATTTAATCGAAACTTGACAACAGTTTGTCAACATACTTAAAAAAGACATCACAATCGATTTAACTAAGCAAAAACAAACCAAATCACTCAACATTTCTATTTAGTAAAGTTTAAATATAGAAATAGTATAGAAATTATGAACCGTCTCATACTAATAATTAATAGATTTCTATAAATCATCTAGTGCCTTAAAAACATGTATTCTTACACTACTTTTTGCTTATTCCAGGAACGTAGTAGCAATGGCAATGAGCGAGATGATGTATGATGAATTCGAGCCAGGCTCTGACGTACTACTAACAGGCACTGGGTCTATTGAAGACTCTGCTAAAGTGTGGTACTTGGACGCTTCATACATCTCACAAACTGCGCAACGGAATGGGTAAATCTTATTCAAATAATTTGTATTTTTTGTGGTTTTAAAGTACCTAATTGTACCTAAGGCAAAACTTGTGTTTATCTTATTATACATACATAGATATAATGTTAATTTCGGCTGGATAACCTGATTTATAGTTACTAGTCTTTGTCATTAAAGTTGGGAAATAATACTTGTACCAAAACTTCTCACATTCTAATTTCATATAACCAGTCTATAAAACCTTTAATGAACATTATATTTCATCGTCATACCCACCAAGCTGTACAGGTGAAGGAACGGGGTGGTTTTTAGTCAGTAAGAGTCTGACACTTCCTTCCGCCTCACCCAGGCGGAAGAAGCCATTCGATGATTTTCCCCCCTTAAAAAAAAAACCCACCAAACTGTCAATAACATCTAACCTAACATACCATTTCTAGGAGAGTACGTCTAACAACGAAGTTCGACGTGAGTTTCCTCAACCCTCTATCGCCTCACACACCAAACTCACCGACTCCAATTAGTAACTCTGAGACTGTACACTCAACGCCAAAAAGACATCAATCATTTAACCATAGAGAGGTCCAACCTAAAACGGTACTTAAAAACTCAATGAGCTTAGATAGAAGTGCTCTAAAGCCTTTGAATTTGAAAGGGATCTGCAATAACAACGATGGTGTGCTCCAGCCATTACTAGCTGTTGTTGATGATAAGAATAATATTCAGGTATGTATTGAAACTTATTCTAAAATAATGTGCAAAGACGTGACGTCATGCGATATTTTAAATCGTCATAGTTTTTCATTTCACTAATGTTCCAATGTTCCTTTCGTGTGTCTAAGACGTGGATCCACGCGAGACACAATGTATTTTCTATTGTCTCATATCGGTGCATTCAAAAGGTTAAGGTTTTAATTGCCTACCTTACTTAAACTTGACTGCAAATACTCCGAAATAGCGTTCAATGTGTTTTAAACAAATATCGGTCCGCTAAAGTTGATTGCAAATCAAAATAAATGTATTACAATATCTTTTTAAACCTTTCCCAGGTAATGCGCGGCAGAAAGGTCCTAACAGAAATCACAGAGCGATCAGATAAATCCGAAAGCATTACAAGAGTAAAGATCTCTCCATGCAATCAGTACATCATTTACGGGCTTAAATCCGGTATAGTGAAGAAATACACACTTCGGACCAAAGAAACTGTACCAATAATGGATGTTTATAGCCCAGTGCAATATTTAAACTTCGTTAATCCAAATTTACTTATTGTGGCTGGAAAGAACACGTGCCTTATGGCCTATAAACTAACGGCTATTGGGGATTGGAAGCCTGAAATGATGCAGAGAGGTAACACCAATCTTGGTTCCCAAGAAATACTTAATGATATTCAGGGTGAGTAGTTTTATTTTGTTTAAAGTGACGTTCTAAAGAAAATAAATAAAACTATCTTTTTATATGACCTTCTTTCAAAATAAAAAACCATTTCGTTAAAATTATTTTTAAAGTTCTACTTGAAATCAAGTAATTAGTACAATTTATTCATTTATGGTATTTATTCAAATAAGTTGTTGAAAATAACCTTCGAAGAAGAGTATGATTGATCTTCTTAATTCCAACTTTAGAACATTATGAAAACACATACTTATACAAAAAATATAAGTATGTGTTTTCATAACTATATATTTTCGCTGTTAAATGATTAACCGCTGACGTAATATTACTACTAGATACTGACTACATCATTTCATATTTAAATTTCAGGTATCCCCAAAAAGAATGGTCACTCGGAAAAACTGTCCAGTTCTAGCAGTGAAACAAGCTTAACTTCCCAAGGCAGGATCTTCAGATGTGAAGAGTACAAGAGTATTTGTAAGGGCAGTGGTCTTGTCGAATGTTTCTGGGTCAAAGATCTGGGCGTCATCACAGTGGAGTTTAACGCTACCATCAAGTTATGGAGCAAGAATTTAAATCTACAAACAATACTGAACGGAAGACAGTCTGATGTGTACATTACTTCGGCTGCTTTACAAAATAATATCCTTGTCATTTGTGATAGGAAGAATACTACGTTTCAGGTATGGTTTACTTATTAATCCTACTTTTAAATGGGAAATATTTTTTGTGCAACATGTGGTTGCAGTTGGCAATTGGATTGTCACCTTTTTTTTTAATGGAACAAGCCCGCCACAACCTCCCAAAACCGGTGCAAATCCTGTAAGCCAGGATCTACAGTAGATACAACCATGAAAATACCGGAACAGTTAAGTCCAGTGCGTCTCAGGGACCTAAATAACTGCCTTGGTACCTGCAACGAAGTAAATCAGAAAATATTATAAGAAGAAGAAAAAAACTAGACTGTCACCTGTTACAATACTTATTTATTTTTTCATTAGATTCCATCACATTTATACATTTAACATATCAGCCATTGCTGATATGTGTCATTATCATTACACATGACTATCCACGACTGTATTATGGGACCTCTATATAAAAGAATTTGTTTGGTGTTTAAAATATTCAACCGATCGTAGACGTTATTTTAAACAATCTACCAAAGAACCTATCAAATCCCGATGCACGATGCCGACTAGTCTCAGTCGAATATGTAGTCTTTACTCGCGAAGAGAGTAGGGTCAGTGGCTAATATATTGTATCTACCCTCACCATATAACTGTTACTGATCAATCATATTGTTACTTCCAGACATTTGAACTCAAAATTAATGATGGCGTGGAACTACATACTATCGAAGAGTACAGACTGAACAACGTGATCGTGTCCTGCGATCTCACTTCGGACGGGAACATTCTAGCCCTAGGACTCGACTCTGGGAATGTTGTGGTGAGTTAATGAATATTTATATAGGTTAACTCGTCGAGTACCGGTTTTATAGACACAATTAAAGAACAATAGGTCGCGGTCACCGGTGACCGCTTGGTGTTTGACAGTTTAAGTAGGATTTTGTCATTATCAACTGCCTGTAGCAAATCACTGCTGGACTATCGGCCTCCTTTACACCAGTAAACTAACTTGCCTCCTATCGAATAAGACTCATGTCATAACTAACTAAAAGTTGATGTTACATCTGATGTGTACTCGTCTTTCTTTTTTCTTTTTAAAGCGCAATGTTTTGTTCATTTAGCCCCTCAATTTATTAGAATAAATACGTAACCTATATTAACAAACGATTTATATATAATTCCAGGTATGGAACGTCCGAGGTCGACGTCAACTATGCCTACTAAAGCATCACAAGTCTAAAGTCCACTCATGTTCATTCTCGCCCGTCCCTGAACGTTCCAACCGCAACTCGATGACGTCATCACCGCATCTGATACAATCACCGTATCACTTGTCTACGTCACAGGATGATGACGTAGACAGTGAGCAGCCGCCATTAGTACTGGTTACCATGGCAACGGAGATTGTTTGGTGGAATATCACGCATGTTATGAAGGCGCCGAAGTATAAGATTGGGAAGAGGTGAGTTGTGATTTTACGTTTTTGGTAGAAATTTGTATCCTTTGTACAATTAATAAATTATACAAATATGATCCCACTTGAAGGAAAGGAATCTTGAGATCGATCTTGGAAGTTATTAGGTATTTCTGATTTTCGAAATCCTCAAAAAGTAACTAGAGAACTGAAAAACAATTTGGCATACATTTTTATGGCGGCATGATGTTATGTGTATACTTTTTATCTTTCAGATCGTAAAATAAATAAACAAATTTAATTATTAAAGTCGAATTTATTATACATTATGCAACATTATTTTAGTGTAAAATTTCACTTCAAAATCATAAATGAAGAAACTAACTGACTGCAAACATTACAGGAACTACAACGTGATGACGCCACTAGGCAGCCCGTTAGAGAATAGATGTGAGACGCCCAATACTAGTTTAAATCACTCCAACTCAGCCACTTCAGCGAACTCGCCCAAGTGCAACTATTTCTTCGGAGATGGGGACTTCCTACCGCAGCAGTGCTGGAAGGTTCTTTGGAGAGGAAAATCGTAAGTACCTGTTTGTTTTATTGTCATTTTACCTTTTTTGTTTTAACCTCAAGAGAGATCGTGATGAAGGACTTTTATGGATCCTCCGTCCCAACTGCATAACATAGGAAATGAGACTTCTTGGTTTTGATCTTTTTTTTTACTTTATTGGTTAACTTTAGTTTTAACCACCTGGTATCGATAACAACCAATATTGATTTTGAAACCCTATTTTATGTGACCCAAACATAATCAGCAAAAAGTTAGTTTTCTATGCATCTCTGCTTTCGAAGAATAGACGTCTTAATATTGTCTTGTAAGTATTTATGAATTATTTCCTTTTCATTACAGATGTAAACGAGGTTCAAAAAGGAAAGAAATCTTAGCGTGCATCAAGTTATCTGGTATGCACGCGAAGAGACTAAGTCATGACGAAAAGTTCTCATGTTTCGTCACAGTAGACAACCCTGGACATATCCATATTATGAATGTTATGCGCTCGAATAACACATAGCGTATGATTTATATTTTACCCTAATATTACGTGAAGCAATGACCATTACTTATAAGTACCCCTATACAGACTAGACGTTGAGTCTCGAGAATGATAACGACAAAGACTGGTAGCTAAGTCGAAAATTTCATTAATTAGTTTTCAACTGTATTACAAAAGTGTAAGGTTGATAATTGATTATAGGAATTCACGACTTCGCTGTCGATTTTTGTCCTTATTTACGTACTTCAATATGTCAAAAGAGTCTGTTGGTCGTTTTGTAAGTACTACCTCTAGTTTTGTCTCCATTCTCATTCTCCAGTTTATTATTAAACTATATGCTAATATCGACGCGTAAATCTTATGAAGTTATGGCTCAAACTAGGAATATTATTTTAATCTTCTTTTTACCGTAATCAGTACCAACCATATGAGTTTTATGAATAACAATTACTTTTAGATAACGAATACAACAAAATAAATGATCTGCTCAAAGAAATATCTTAGAACTTAATACACTGCCTTTCAATGCATTTATTTATAAATAGTATAAACTAATTCTTACTAAACCCTTTGCTGTGGTTACTTTTAGATTAAAATTAGGTGCTCAATATTGCAGGTTATCAAATAAACTTTAAATGCAAATACTATATACTTACGTAAAACCTAATCATCTTTGTTTTTGACGAGAACAGCTTGATCGATTTTAATGGTGTTAAATTTATTAGATTTCTTTCGGATAAAATATATTTGGTTCTATAGCGGTACTACAGCTAGAATAATATAAAAGAGAGTATTTCTATTTTAATGGTAGGTACACTTATACTAGGTGCAATGCAAAATGAACTTTAATACTAGAGTTTTTATAATAACTATTGTGAGACATGCTAAATTAACTTAAAATCGCGGATTACTCACGTGAATATACTGAGAAAAACTCTACTAGTTTCGAACCACAGAGGGGTTCTTCCTCATGAGCAGCATGCGCGAGAGCTTTTCTCAGTATATTCACGTGAGTAACCCCCGGTTTTTAAGTTAATTTAATACTACAGTAAATAATCTTACGTAAATATTATTCTTATACAACAATTAATACTCTATGTCAAATAATCTATGCAGCATTTTGAGATTGTAATCAATTGAAAATATTTTTAAGTTATCACTCAGTCTTATGCATTTAAAAAGTAATGAGTTGTGATTCCTATAATAGTAATTCAAATGCGTTTAATTTTGAGCCTAAATGACAAGTTATTTAGGCATATTTCCCCTTATTTCTTAAAGCTCCAGTGAAGTGCATTTCGTATAGAATTCTTCAAATGATCATTGCTTCATGTAAGTCGTTAATCATGAACAATCTGTTATTCTAGAATAGTACGTTAGTACATTTATTAGATAATAAGGTTTATTATAATCTTAATCCCACCAGTACTATGGTATGCTTTATTTGTATTGGGTGAATCTCCTCATTAGTTGAAATTATAAATTGAAATTATTTTAATACCTATAGCAATTTGATGACGTAGAATCAAAATTGAACTATCATTATTTTAGTTGAAACATTTTTTTTTCTTCTAAACGAATACGAGGGCTCTTATGTATTTTATGTCCTGCCAGTATTCGAAAATTGTTTGCAATAATTTTGTTTATGATAACAAAGAGAAGTACTGACTAAAATAGTGAAATTAAATTAATTCGGTACGTTCTTTAGTGAGAATCATAGTTTACGTGTAATGTGCCATTTTTCGGCTTTATGAATTATTCTAATCAGTAACGGAGATTGGGAGCTGATTGTAGGATTTTGGTGAATAGTTAATATTGTACTAGTACATAATATTGTTAAATGTATTTGGAATCTATTTTAATGCCCATATAGGTTCCAAACTATGATAAGATTTCCGAGAGAGTAGAACAGTTTTGTCAGCTATTTAGTCCCACCTCTCAGCGAAGTCAAATTACTCTCAATATTGTAATTTTAATTATGTTTAAATAAGTCCATGATAGATCTCTTGTTAAACATAAATATATTTTTAATTATGAACTAAATAATGTAATGGTGCTTAAATGTTAAGACGTAGTTTATACGTTTATTTACCGACAACTATAAATACGTAGATATGATATCCTCGTCAAACTTTAAATTGTAACCAGTTTTAGTTGATAAGAATTTATGAACGTAGAGTATGTTAACTGGAAACGGAATTAGTGTTTATTTTTTTTTTAGAAAACAACTACGCACAATGTCCCAATATTATTAATTTTACCTATGATGAATTTATGCCCTATCCAGTTTAAATACTCTAGGTTAGTGAACAATTGATTATGTTTTTTTATGAATTAGTTAATTAATGGTGATATACAAAAATGCATTCTGATGCAAAATGAATGTAGAACAAAAACGAACAACGATGATTAATGTAAATAATTTATTTTTTTAGAATTAACGTATGAAGTTGTCGGAGTTTTATACAGAAACACGTTCTTTGACAAAGAAAACTATGAATGATATGAATTCGACTCTAGCCTTAGTTGCAGTGGTTAGTTTAAACTTTTAACAATAGAAAATTATAGTTTTATTTTTACGCCACTGCATAGGAAGGTTAATCAAAAATTTGCCGCCCAAATTGTGTTTGTATATGTATGTAGAGTTCCGTAGGACCGCAGTAAATGTATACGTAAATATTAAACGTCGTGTCAAAAGTCCGCCTAGTATTTTTATTAGAATACAAAGGTGTTTTTCTTTTATAAATAAGTCAATTTATTCTGCTCAAAAGTGATGCAGAACTCTTTTCTAATTTCAATATAATAAACCATTGGAACTACGGAACCTTACCATTATAATGCTCAACTCGTATTTTATGAATAGTATGTTATTTTTAAAGTAATGATGTCGATCAATCTCAGCATAATTTTTGATGAATGACAATGCAATGTTTAAAATCCCTATGTACTACAGCAGACATGCTTCACCTGTTATGCCGTTGTTAGTTACCGTAAATTCCATTTTTGGACATCTCTATACATAATGTTCGTCCTACGCAAATTTTTCTAAATCATTTTCTCTTAATGTATGTCTCAACGAATATACTACGGGAACTAACGCTTCTGTGCTGGTTCCTCTAGAAACGGCATAATGGGCGAAAGCCTCAACATCGAAATTATATTTTACCGTAGTGATTGGTTTTTATAAGGAGAATATTTTTAAATATATTTTTTGATAATACGTTATTTTATTTTTAATACATATATGGAAAACGCTTTGTGGTATTATTTTAAACCTACGCACCTCAAGTTTCAACACTTACAGGATAAATTCAGTGCGTAATTTACAAATAGGTACAATATCCCGTGAAAGAGCTATTGGCTATGTGCGCGACGGTGGCGACGCGTAGCGTTTGCAACATTTGCGGAAGCTGTCAAAAAATAACAATGTAAACATTACAATTTTCTTTATTATTATTTAAGTGCAATTGATTCAATAGTTTTACTGTAAAATGAATATAATAATAAAACCGGGTTTGAAACTATTACACATAATATTAGTTTCCAACCATAAACTGAGACAAAAGGCAATAAATTAGTATTAGCCGAGCATGTAAGAAATGTGGAAGAACTGCAACACAACGGCCAGAGCTACTTAATACGAGCCATAGTCCATTTATTGGTTTTGATTTTGTACTGCAATCAACACATTTGACAGCTGATCATCCGCATTTGTTTCCAATTTCTGCCGTGTTGTGCGCTGAGGTCTTTATCTGTCCGCCACTACTCGCTTTGCACATCTATACTTATTATACTCTTTGCACATAGCCATCCAAACCTTACAGAAAACTGGATATTTTAAAAACTAGAGGTAAGTACCTAGTTCAAAAATAACCCTGATTTTCTAAGTGGGTAAATTTTTACCAAGGTTATGCCCAGCCGGCCAGCCCCATCCCTCAAACAGAAAATATGTCTTTCTGAGGGTGAACCCTCAGAAAGACATGCGACTCCACTGGTGTTGCGGTAGTCCATGGGCGGCGCTGATCGCTTACCATCAGGTGATCCGTCAACTCTTTTGTCTCTAATGAAAACGAATGTGTGAAGTACTAGATACATTAACATTATGACAACACTAAATTAAAATACGCCCAAGGAAACATTCTTCTCCATGATTAAATCTATGGACAATTTTTATTTTCATGATTAATTATACAAACTATAGCTATAAAAGCACTTTTTAGTATATTGCAACATTTATGGTGTGCCCATACACTGTAGTATAATTTTCCTTAAAATAATTATAATTTCGATTGTACCTCTATGATTTTAAAAATTGGTATTATCAATGACAAGCTTATAACATAGGAATATTCTTGTTATTTGACAAGATAATTAATTATAATTACAATATAAAAAAAAATATCTTTTTCTATAAATCTTAAATCACCTCATCGTCCTAATTGATACTAACTTGTATATCTAATAAAATACAAAAATTCCCGGCAGGCTACAGGAGAAAACCAAAGTAGTAAAATTCAAGATGTCTTTTAACAATAGTTTATTTATTATTTTCAACAAACAGGGGTACAATAATTACCTGGCAACATTATATTCGAAATATTTTCTTTTCAAACATTTCAAAACCAACGTACTTTTTAGAATCAACTGTCAGTGGAACGGAATTTTGATTTTATTCTTTTGATGAATAAATGGTTTATCTCTTTTGAGTATTTCTCGTACTTTATGAATGAGAAAGCTTATATTTTATTGTCAGTGTTTGATAGTCTAGTGTAGTAATTGATTTAGTGAAAATATGGCCCAGTTTAACTACTTGAATGAAATAAATAGTTTAGCGACAATGGATGGACCGATAACTCGAGGTCCCCTTCAACGTTGGGCGAAGAAATCTAACAGTGAAAACATAAACCCGTTAAGTACCTCATTCAAGAATCATTCCAACGTAAATTTGAGTTCTTGCAACCAGTCCATGCAAAAGTTGTCAATATCGGCGAACCAAAGTTGTAACAACAGTGTGATATCTACGAACAAGACTCCAACGCGGAATGACAACAAGAAGGGCAAGAAGACACCGTCCAAAAACAAATCTCCAGGTAAACTTGTTTGATAATCAACAAAGGCAGGACCTCTGTTGACATAGCATGGTTTTTTCTTTAGTGGCCACTTGGGCATCTTGTGTTATTTTTGACTGGGGGAACAAGTAGTTCAGGAACATTAGTGCTATAGTTATGCTTCAACCTGCCTCAATAGTTGCCTGATAAAGTTCTTGCCCTGCTTTGGTCAGATGGTACTGCATTCTTGCCTGTTCTGTTACCTTTGATGCGGGACATACAATTTCGAAGGAAAAGTTATCCGTCTATACCTTTCAGGTCGATCAACTACTCCTACACCAAACAAAGCATCGAAAACACCAAATAAAGCTGACAGATTTATTCCCTCTAGAAGTAATTCAAATTATGACCTGTGCCATTACATGGTAAGTTAAAATATTTATTATTATTCTTCACATTTTCTAAATTAACATCTTGTAACATTAATTTTAAGACAAAGACTGTATTTACTTACCTAGAAGCTAAAATGTAAACAGACAATACTAACTAACAGACTGCCTCATTGTCCGAGTGGTCGCAAGTGCGACTGCCAGGCAAAGGGTCTCAGGATTTGATTCCTGGGTGGGGCAAAGAATCACTGGGTTTAAAAAAACCTCAGTAGTAACATGGGATCTGGAATTGCGCCCTGTATATGGCAATAGGCTCACCCCTATTACATGGGACTCATAACATAAATAGTGAAAAGTGGGTGTTACATTACACTGCACAGTGGCATTAAGTGCCGTAACATGCACCTTTGCCTACCCCATCGGGAATTAAAGGCGTGATGTTATGTAAACAGTTCTAACTTCTTTACTTTTTGTAATCATTTTGTCATAATCAGACCATAGAACTAATATAAATACATTCATCCTTAATTTTCACTACTTTCCATTTTCTAAATGTAAGTCTAAACAATTCTACTTACAAAATACCTATACATTAAACACATGAATTCAATTACAAACAGATGAGCCGTGATGACGATAGGAACGAAGACTCAGCTCCTCAATCAGCAGCTGGTGAAGCTATAGGACGAGCTTTAACGGACACGGAGCCAGGCAGACTCCTGCAGTACACCTGTAAGGCACCTGCAGCTCCTGAAGGATACCAGAACAGACTTAGGGTTGTGTATTCACAGGTATACCCGCTTGCTTCTACTTACATTATGCCAATTTAACTAACATGGAAAAACATCAGCCCGTGGCAGTCCAACTGATAGACTATCTGAGATGGTTTTTCTAATCTCCACACTTGGCAAATGGGTTGGAGATTGGTTTAAAAGTATTGGTTGTTTGTATTTGAAACTATATCTTCAGGATACTATTCTTAATCTTTGAAAGCTTAGCATTCTTACTATAATATACAATGATTTATGTTCATTTACATTGGTGTCTTGGTTTCTTGTCATTTTTCTTCTGTTCTACAAAAGAAGGTTATTCTAACATGTACTCATTTTTGTGTTATTGTACCTGTATGATTTTCTCTTTAAAATATTCATTACAAATATTCATTTTGAACTAACTGTTATTAAAATATGAATATGCAACTGTATACTAATTATTGATTTAATATTTCAGGCTAAAGTCCCCTCATCAGTAAAGAATACAACTAGATACATTCCACAAGCTCCTGACAGGATACTGGATGCCCCTGATATCTTGGATGATTACTGTAAGTCTTTTCGTTTTGTACACAAACCATATAAAAAACAAGCCCTATTTTTAATGTACTATATAAAAATAAGTCGGGTTTTCCTTCCTGACGCTATAACTCCGGAACACACGAACCGATTTCCACGGTTTTGCATTCGTTGGAAAGGTCTCGGGCTCCGTAAGGTTTATAACAAATAAAATTCTGGAAAAAAAATCTGTCTTTCTTAATCACCAAACGAAATATTACATAAAACGAAGCCATCTGTGGCGAAACGGACTTCGCCGGGTGTGCTAGTTCATTCATAAAACTAGTTCTCTTAGCTCTTGAGTTTTTTAGATTCTTACAAATGATACATTTAATAGCAGTCAAATATTGTGATTTTCCATTTATAAAACAAATAAAAATAATCATTATAATCTTGCTATTATGTCACCTAAAGTATTATCCCCATATCTCTAAAAGACGCCGCGGAGAACGTAAAAGGTTATCGGGATTCGAAGTGCAGAAGTATTAATGGGCGGATTTAATTCAGTAAGAGTATGACACTCCCTCCCGCCTCACCCAGGCGGGAGAAGCCATTCGATGATTTTCCCCCCTTAAAAAAAACATACCTCTAAAAGATTTATTATCTAATATTCTTAATTCTTATGTTTACAGACCTCAATCTAGTCGACTGGAGTGCATCAAACATCCTTGCCGTGGCTCTAGGCAACTCAGTCTACCTGTGGAACGCAGGCACAGGTCAAATAGAACAGCTCTGTACTCTGGAAGGATCTGAAACTGTATGTTCAGTACAATGGGTGCAGGGCGGCGGCTCCCATCTCGCTGTAGGAACTTCTGCCGCGACTGTAGAGTTATGGGACTGCGAGAAGATCAAGAGGTTGAGGGTGTGTATATTCTATTTTAGTTATAGTTATTAGTTGATGTAAACTTTTATTCGTGGTTTCATAGAGTTCCAGTTATACATTTCGATTATCTAAGTTCTCCCTGTCAATTTATGTGTTTACAAAGAAAAGTAGCTATAATCATCTCCATGGTGCTAAATCAACGGTGCCGCGGAAGGCCTAACGGGTTTCCGGGGCTCCGGCTTGAAAAGCAGGAGTAGGAATGCGGTGGTTTTTAGTCAGTAAGAGTCTGACACACTCTCTTCTCTTGCCTAACCCAAGGCGGGAGAAGTCATTGGACGATTGACCCCATCAAAAAAAAAATGGTGCTAAATCAATTGTGAAATTATTTTACCAAAATAGGCGCAAAAAAAAATCAAAAAAAAAAAGTCACATACACATTACTTAAGATTAAAATACACATTTGTGAATCAACGCATCTTTTGAAACAAAATCAATGCCTTTTCTCAATTTCTAAAATATTGTTGTTCTGCCTTGTATCAGGTGATGGACGGTCACACAGGCCGTGTAGGGTCCTTAGCGTGGAACATGTACATAGTGAGCAGTGGCGCGCGCGACGGGAACATCGTGCACCACGACGTGCGACAGAGAGACCACGCCGTCGCCACCATACATGCGCATACACAGGAGGTAAGCACTGTACTACTCAAATTTTAATTAGAAGAGGTTCCACCTGCGTTATTCAAATCTTCACCTAAACCTACCTCAAAAATTACTCTGGATAGTGATTTTGATGAGAACTTTATCATCAATATCTGTATAGTACTTTTTGAGTTTATCGCAAACAAACAGGCGTGAAAGAAATAGTTGAATATGATGAAATATTTTTTCTTTTCAATACAGATTTGCGGGTTAAAATGGTCTCCGGATGGTAAATGTCTTGCATCGGGCGGCAACGACAATTTACTCAATATCTGGCCAATTGCACAAGGACAGCATTACTCGCAAACACAGCACCTATACTCGTTCAAGTAAGTTGTCATCCTTCATAAGTGACTTATAATATTTTGTTTGAAGTATAGTAAATATATTTTTATTTCAATATTTTCATTGCTGAAGTCAACTTGGTTATGTAAGAATCACTATTCCATAGTTCAAAATACTTTAATTTACACAGTCAAGAAATTATCATAATATGAAGAACATAACTTGATATTTTATTCATTTAAAAACTATCAATATATTATGTACGGTTTTACTTGCAGTCAGCACTTGGCAGCAGTAAAGGGCCTGGCGTGGTGTCCCTGGAGTGCCGGTATACTGGCCAGTGGAGGCGGGACCGCCGACAGAACTATACGCATCTGGAACATCAAGACTGGCGCCAACATCAATACTGTCGATACTAAGTCACAGGTAAGACCTAAATACACACAAGAAAATTTCATTTAAAATCTATCAGCATTGTCGAAACGTATGTAGTTTGTCGGGTCAGATAGTATAAATAATCATTTTAAATCCATTGGGGGACTAACTGAAATAGTACATAGCAGACACAACTATGATCTAAAAATAAAGGGTCACAATCTACATCACAATTTGGGAAGTTAATGCTAGGCCTTAAAAGTATTGTAGTGATTGGCGTTTGGGTCCTCTATTGAATATCGCCAACATTGGTCAGCAGCGGGTGTGGTTACAAGTTCAACAAAACTTGTGATGCGATGACACTAAATACCAGAACGCCATGCCCAACAAACTTTAGTATTACAAAAAATATTACACACTAGCTACTTCCGCGGTTTCACTCGCTCTGCTCGGCTCCTATGGGTCGTAGCGTAATGTTTTGTAGCCTTCTTCGATAAATAGGCTATCCAGTACAAAAAGAAGTAGTAAGTATAAAGGTGTTTCCTCACCGGGAGCATTCGCGCGTAATATAACGTTACAGATCTGAGCATTACATCAGTGAAGGAGGACAACTGAACATTACAATGCATGCCTTATAATGATACAAAACGGGCATACAACAGTAAAGGAGAAGAACAAAGCATTACAATGCGCACCTGGTAATGATATAAAGTGTAATACTTGTCACATAAAATGCTCAAAGTCGAATCAATATATTACATTACACGCAAATGCTCGTTAGTCAAGAAGGTATTATTGTAATGTAATGCTCAAACTCGAATCTATAATGTTACATTACATATGAATGCTCCCGATGGGAGTGTCACATAATAAAAGTGAAAACCCCATGACTTACAAACATCGTCACTGTCTAGGTATGCTCAATCGTATGGAGCACGCATTATAAAGAACTGATCTCCGGCCACGGCTATGCCAACAACCAACTCGTGATCTGGAAGTATCCCGTCATGTCACGCGTCGCTGAGCTCAACGGACACATGGCAAGAGTACTACATCTAGCACTCTCGCCTGATGGGACTACCGTACTCTCTGCAGGCGCTGATGAAACACTCAGGTATGTTAAGACATATTGTTCTGTAATTTTTGTTTCGTTGGAGATTGTTTGGTGACTAGAGAGAGTTTTTCCTACACGCCGCCCGCACCAATGAAATGTAACTAATATAATAATATACTATCAATTTGATCCTTAAACTTCTCATCCCGAACCCTCTCCCCACGGGTGCCGCCAGACACCGGGGTGAATATGGCAGAAACAGTAATGTATAAAAAATATCCCACTTTTAAAATTTGAATTAACTATGAAACCGACTTAAATAATATATAGCTTAGATTAATTATAGTTATAAATATATTATGTTATTTAAGTATAGAAAAAAATTTCATAAATAGGCTAAAAAAAGTAGTCGTAAATATTAACCAAAAACAAAACGTGTTATTTATAGGCACTTGTTGAATTAATAATGTTAAATGTGATGCCAAATTGGAGTGCTTTACGTCACTGTTAAGAGTGGAGCATTTATATATTTTCTATGTTTTCACTTGATTGATTACTGTTCTGACACATGTAAACTCAATTGTATATTTGTTTCAGGCTATGGAAATGCTTCATGTTGGACCCATCCAAGAAGAAAGAACCAACTGATTCGAAGGCAGCTAAATCATTACTCAATATGAACTCTTTGATCAGATAACTCGTTATTGCGAGCTTAAACTATTTAGTTGACTGAAAGTGATCTTACAATAATTTAATTAATTATAATTACAACTGTATATGTTGTATAATTGTGCCAGTGGTATTGTTAATTATAGTTATATAACATTTTTGTGATTTTTGACTTGAAACGTGCATTACTTGCATTGCATGCATATTAACTTAAAGTTTAAATTGATAAACTTTTTATGAATTTTTCATGTAACGATTAACACAGTTTTGTCAGCTTTCTTGGTATGTTTTGTTATAAGTGTTTGGTTTTTGACTAATCAAGCGAAGTTGAGGTCGTTAAATGCCGTTGTGACTATTTTCTGGTTCTAGAAATTTCCTTTCTTTTTCTACTTACTCTAAATGTCCTATCGATTTTTAATTCGCCATTTCATTACCTCGGCTTCCTTGTTTTAAGGGCTGTACAACTACATGTTGTTGTAACTGTTTGTAAGACTTTAAATATGTGTTAAGATGTTTTTAATTATGTATGTAATTTTTACAATAAGAAAATAAAGATTTACCTACATTCCCAAATTTTATTTTTTTCTAACTCAACTCGTATAACTCGCATTTTCAAAACATTTTATTTTGAGCCTTTTTCGTTTCGCTTAGTTAGTTATGCCACGTGACGTAATTGAGAGATTTAAAAATGTAAAACACCGCCTCGGCAACCGGTCATTACCGGTGTCCGGCAGTTAGGTTAGCAGGAGTATTTGTTTTCAACGGTTTTTCTGTCAGTCAAACAGTTTAAATCTTGGATTTAGAGTTATTTCCTAAGTATTAAACCGGTTCTTATTACCGAACACTATGTTTTAACTATTGACTAACATTTAAGTTAAGGTTGAGGTCAAGGCCAGCAAGCAATTTTCACCCATATTACCTTGCACTTGCACTCTCAAACAACTTTATCAGCTAATACAAACAAAAGAGATCAAATAGAACCAATTTCAACCTTACTACAAGAGCAATAAGACAAAAAACCGCTTAACCGTTAATTGTCACGTGGATCTATTGTAAAAGATTGTTTACAACCGCTACTATGAACGCGGAAATTATTACCTACACAATAACACTTGTACGAGTTTAAGACGCGATGATGTCACGAGACGGCGCACTATGAATACCGAAGTAGGTATACAACGAATTAAAAACAAGTTCTGATAAAAATTGCTCTTTGATACTTGGAGTTAAAATGACGTGAAATAATAAGATTTTATAGACGTGTGGTATGATCAAATGGCAATAATGTACTGCGCTCTGGTACTGAGGAGGTTTAACTAGCAAAGTGCTTATGTTGGGAGGGGCAAAGTCGAGTTAGTGGGACCATACGAGCCTAGCTTCAGCCGGCAACCAGAATTCGCATCACTTCAGCCCGATGCCCGCTCGTGGACAAACCAGTTCCAATTACGCTCCAATTCCAAAAGTAAGTCAATTTATTTATTATTTTCTCATGCTTCTTTAGTTTTAGCAATTGTTATTTGTTTGTGTTTTTCGATGATTGAGTGTAGATTTTTTGCGGTAGTTTTTAGGGTATTTTTTTAACTGCTAAATAATGGAAATCAAATTGTGTTATCATTTGGATTAGTTCGTCACATTTTTTTCTAAATTAAACAACTTCATTAGCAGCTTTTAGTAAGGTGTAAACACTATGGTAATTAATCAAATTAATATGTAAAAAAATAGAATATAGTTTTGAAAGACTTATTCTACTTTTGAAAACTTAAAAAAAATGTGAAGTTCCTAGTTAATCTTTTTGGTAGGTAATCAAGTAACCACTGCATTCTTTTTTTAATTCATTGCATATAAAATTAAATATCTGTTCTTTCCATGGTTTGAAGTCTTCATTCCAATTATATCTTATAGTATACACAGTTTGAAGATCATGAATGAAACTAAGTATTACTTTCTTAGTATATAGGTTTACCACTTTAATAAAAACTTAGGCACTTTGACATTTCGGTTATGGGTTTATTTTATTTTTTTTAATCTCTTTCGTCATCATTATTAACAGCCAAAAGACGTCTACTGCTGGACACAGGCCTCCCCTTAGTCTTCTTAATCTGTTTGCATCCTGTTGATTTCAAAAACTTGTGAAAATGATGTACTTTGGTACTTATTATAAATACTTCTAATTATTCTTTATGAACAAATAGAAATGAAGTTGTTAATTGATAGCAACTTTCAAGTTTACACAAAGCTTTTAAAAATAAATATTTATAAAGGTTAACGATTTTCAAAAAAAAATATCTTTTTTAATCTTTGAATAATATTTTATTAAGTATCTTGCACAACACCACGTGTGTGGCATGTGAGGTAGATTTCATATGTTATTATTATAACCTACATCTATTTGTACATTGCTAGATCTCCTAGGCATGTATAAAAAACTTAACAGACTTGGTTGATAGAAAAATTGCCAAAGTAAATATTCTATCAGGTATTACAAATTATGTAAGTCATGTGATAGGTATTTACATTTTTATCATTTTCAAAATACATTGTGATATATGAACAATTTGGATCTGTATTTAACCACAAAGACTATATTGACACTAATATTTAATTTAACTGTAGCTGTAATAAATATCATAATTGTTTTATTTACATAGAATAAACTTAAATAACATAAAATTAACTAAAACAGCGAATAAAAAAAAGGAATACTAAAAAAATACCATCAGTTAGGCGTCAAAGAAATAGTCCGCATCACTAATTTAAATTTTCATCAAAGTTTCAATAAAATAAAGTGCTTCCAGTCATATTGTGACATTCACAAGATCGATATGAATTATTGTACCCACTTAAATAAAGTCAACGTCATATTGAGTAGACATAGCTAAGTTACTTCAGGGCCGACTTTTCAATCATCATCGGTTAATTCCTAAAATTGTCATTTGACAGTTTTTAATATGGAAGAATTGTAAAATATTCAAAGTTATTTCTCAGTTAAAATTTATCTAGCATTAGAGAAATCGGCCCTTAGAAGCTTAAACCTTTTATTTTAAACAGAATTTATCAAGCCATCACTTTACATTATAATAAGGCAGAAACCATAATAATGTTGAGTACTAGGCTATAAAACTTTGTAGGTTTAACTGACCTAATTCGATCCCCATGTAACGAAACGCACTTAAAATATAGACACTACAAAAGCAAATATTGGATACAATAAAAGCAATTAATTAGAAGCATAACAAAACATCACCACAATATACTAAAATATTCAGCAATTAGCTACTAGCATGGTAATTTGATATAGAACCTTAACTTCTTGGCAAAAGCTTCGATTTACAATGTACTACTTATAAAAAAAAAATCTTGCCCCTTTGCCTTACTCTACCGAAATAAATTTAGGCACTAAACACGGACTCACATGGTGACTACTTATTTAAGTGGTTGTGAAAAATACTAAGATATGTTTCTTGTAAAATGTGTGTAGTCGTTATCAGGCTTTTCTCTAAATAATACAGATAATTGTGTCATATTTATCTCTTCTCCCAATCGCATGGCAAATCGCTGCCAACGCCTACAAAAATAAGAAAGTGAAATTCATGCTCATTTACCAAGCGACAACCTTTGCACTGCAAGAGCTCAAGAGAATGAGAAATAAGAAAGAAGGAATATAAATATTCCGCTATAATAATAAGTAGGTAGTAGGTATTCATTTGGAAATTGTGACAACCTAATAATTAGGTATTCAGAAATATAGAATCTGGATTGTATTTTATTTAAAACCTTTCTGTGTCTTCAGGAATGTATGTACCTAGATTTCTAGGTGCTAAATTAGAGCGTAGTATTTTCTTGATAGAGCAATTTAATCAATTTACCTACGTAAGCATTAAATGTCACGGTGGGCAAAATGATCATAAAGTCCCACAACTCAAACGAGAAAATGTTCCACTTTTAAGAACGTTTGGATCTTCAAAGACGTCTTTGTCTCATAAATTGAAGCCTAAAAAACAGCGGTTAAATGAATCTAATTCATCATCTCGATAATAAGAAACCATACGATTTCTCGACTCGACGATCGTAGCAAATTGTAGACTCGGACATCAACTTATTATTCTCTAAGCATCGTCGCTTAGGTACCCAAGTAACTAACCAGTTACATGCAGATATAGCTAGATAGGTTCCAACATAACATCATCCCTATTACTCATCGAAGGTGTAGTCCACATGTCCATAGATAACATCGACTTTGTATCATATTTTGGACTTCCCAGATATTTTGAAAAAAGTACCTAAGTACTGTCAAATCTGAGATAAAATTTATCAGAATCAGAAGATTTGACAATGTTTTTGAATGTTCATCGGAAAATCCCGATTATGTATCATAGTGGTTAGATAGTAGTTACCTCTACCTAGTAACATAGGTAGCTAATTTTTGCTATTTTTGAACATTAAAGATGTACACAATACAAAGCCAAACAAGTCATCATGTTAGTTACTGTTGTTCATTTAATGAAATGAATACCAATGACGCAATGACAATTGAGCCATGATAAACACACCCTTAGCCACCCCAATCAGAATAAAAAGCTTTATCGTAAAACATTCGCTGTAGTTGTTGCCTATTCCAAGTTTACAAGCTTATACGTAAAATCACTAATATGTGACATAACTTGTTAAACACTAGTGTAAGTACCTATTTAGTCGCGGAGAACCTAACGGGTTACCGGGGCTCCGGCTCGACGTGCAGGAGAAGGAACGGGGTGGTTTTTAGTCAGTAAGAGTCTGACACTCCCTCCCGCCTCACCCAGGTGGGAGCAGTCATTCGATGATTTTACCCCCTTAAAAAAAAGTGTAAGTAATTACCTAACTTCCTTACCTTAACTTGATATTTATTCACTGATGGTCAAAGTTGTTCACAAATACAGGGTATGGCAAAAAAGGTTTAGCAAAGTCAGCCTCATTTCACTATAGGTAATGTACCCCTTTTTAGAGAGACGAAAATCATTCAATAACACCACCCGCCTTGGGTGAGGCAAGAAGGACTGTCGGAGTGTCTGACTGAGTGACGATACAGATACACGAGCCTACGCCCCCTAAGATGAACTCGCAAAAATTAGACCTATCTCCTTTAACTCTCCGTATAAACAGTGGTGATGTAAATCGTTTGTTTTAATAAAAAAAATATTTTCTTATCAGTAGTTACATAAACTCGACAACATTGTTAGTCATGGCATGTGTTGGACTTTGTATCGTGTTATATTCTTCCGATTATTTCCAACAATTTACAGTGGGGTGAATGTATGGAAAATATATTTAAATTTAAATCCATAGACATCTCATAATGGCTACAGTTTAGCGTCATGGCAGAGCATTTGCACTTCAAACTGACCACGAAATCATTAAGTTGCACCAATACTTGTTTTTTCCGCAAAGTGATCAGGATAAGAAGGCCACGAAGGCCAAGGATAGCATTTCGTTCAGGGTACTTAGAGACGGCAAATTCAAACTTCGAAGACGGTGTTTATTTATTTTTTTAAATAAGAAACTTTTTCTCCGTCTTTGTCTCTTTGAATAAAACCTTTGCCCTGCACACCCCACAGTTTGGATTCGGATTGAAAAATGCAAAATTTATAAATTCCTACGCACCAACAGCCTCAACTCCGGGATCCTAACTCCATAGTTCTTCTAGGCCCTAGACTCCTAGAGGAACTTTTGTTTCCTTAGCCGCTACGGGAAACAATCAACGAAAACAAAAGTTACTCTCATCAGCGTCTTAATATAACTACGGCCTTCAATGTACTATAAATAAAAAATGTAGTAAATTAATATTTGCTTCGTAATTATCAATTTATGCTCTGTGTTATCTGTTACTATTACCTACTACAGAACTAATCAAATATTTTTTTTTGGAATCACGAGATTTTAGGGACATCTGCTAATTACAACTTTAACTGTGTAGAGTTTAAGTTGATATTGCAATACTAGCTGTGATGTCAACGGCCGTAGCTGAATAAAAACAAATGTTGCGATAAGCTAGCCGCTAGCGTGACGTATAATACCTACTGAAGTTTGAACTATGCCTAAACTTGAACATTGTTTATATCTGTCTACAAACTCTGAACAAAAATAAACAAACTGTGGTTATGCAGTATTTTTGGGGTAGCACTGAAATGTTACATCTAAAAACGTTAAAGAAAAGTAGTAAAGGTCGTTGTTGTCCATCTCTTGATCCTTAAAATATTGGTAGGCGGCTTGCTATGTTTTTGTAAAAGCGCAAAATATGTACCAAACATGGATACAAAAGGATTGCCTTTTATACCCCGCAAGAGTGAACCAAAATGTCCAAACAGGACGAATGCCGATATTTTGCCGGTTATATCCAAGTTACATAATAGTCCAGTGTAATAGAGGGTGGGTTGTTTTTGTTGCCCGGGCATGAAAATGTGCAACGTGTTTAAAAAGTTAAGTTGTCATCTCTGTGCAATTCCCCTAGAAATACCAATTTCAAAATGTGAGTCCAAAAGTCTTCAAAGTACCCCCATTTCATGAGTTTGGGAAACCTTTGCCCTCAATATTTACCAAAATTGACAAAAGTGGAAAAATACCCAACAAAAATATGGAATTCTCATTATTTTGCTCTTTGTCCCGATTCGCAGAGTTCAGAGGTACCTACAACAAATATGTCGTCATAGCGTGATTTTTAATCTTCATATTTCACAATAAATTAAAATATTTACAGATCTTTAGGTAATTACTGAAGCTATTTATAGGTACCTACCACATGATAGGTATCTATTTGGTCATATGTTTTTTACGCTTATCATTGCGTAAAGTATTTTTATCTAAAGAAAGAGCATTTGTAAAAAACAAGGATCATGTGTGATACAGCCGATACAGGCACGCGCTAGCCCGTGAACAAACTATAAATAACCGACTTCTGTATCTTTCCGTGATTATCTGCGATACTCTGTTGGTACCTACCCACATTCTGTCAAAATAGAAAGGTTATCAATTTGTACATTTTGATAATAAATGAAGTGATAAAAATTCAAGCTCGGAAAACTTCCTACATGACTGTAACTTGTCTGACGTCATGAAAATATTATAAGAGTAATCACATGGTTGGGTAGGTACCTACTTACTGGGTACATGTCATTGTTGACTTAAACATAAATAAGTAGGTACCTACCGGATTTTTTGATAATTTGTAGCTACAATATTTCGCCCCAAAACGTAAACAATTACATAACAGTTGATCATTCAAACTTGGTGCAATAAGTAGGTATTTACTTTATGTACTTACACTTGGTAAGTACTTAGTACCTCTAACGAACTTGCTAATTGTTGATTCTGAACTTAGTTGTTAGCATCTAAATAATTATTATCCGATCGCTAACAGTTGCTAATAAATGACTTCTATTTTTTACAAAACTTTATTTGAATTAATCATTTATGACTATAGATTGAAAATGAACGGAGGCCCAATTACCCTCCCCTTCCCCAATCTCCCCAATCCCTGAATCCCCAACGATCCTCAAACTCCTAATCCCCAAAAGGCCGTAACGCACTTGTGACGCCTCTGGTGTTCCAGGTGTCCATGGGCGACGCCGATTGCTTACCATCAGGTGATCCGTGTGCTCGTTTACCGACTTATGCCATAAAAAAAAAGTTAAGTGATATTTTGGAAGTGGAACACCGAAAGATGACCTTACACTTTGCAAATAGAATGGACCACAGTCAACGAATACCACTTAATGCAAATTTATTCTCCAAAGAGATGATCAGAAATGAACCATAGTGAACAATTGCAAAATGCCGAACTTCGTAAAAGGCTCTAGAGATTTGAGATTGAAATAATGTATTTACAATATATGTATTTGTATACATATATGTATTTGCTTCTTTATTTAACCCTTTGAAGATACAGTGGGTATTATGTAGGCAGCCGGGCCCCTGACAGGTATGACATAGGGCCCAGGGGCCCAGTCAACAAACTTGTTATAGAAAAAAAAATAGACTTGTATATTATTTACCAACCCTATGCAAGTATGCATTAGTTTTTGCCTGGTTGGACTTTGTACCTTTGCCAACTACTTTTGCGCAATAACAAATGTCATGTTTTGTTATGTTATATTGTTATATCAACATCCCACATGTCCACAACCTCGTGAGACGAATCAAGATAATTTGATCTCTTTATCTTTGTCAGTTAAAACAAGATACGAACTCGGCATGCGGAAGTTTTACTATACCTAGATATCTGTAGGTATCAAATTATGACTGCAATTTTTGAAAGGGGAGGCCAAGGTACTTACAATAGTAGCACAAGTCTGTTACTGCCCAAATCCAAAATGGCGATTAGTGGCTGTAATCTAATTATGTAGTGCTAAACACCGGACAATCCAGGCATTTTATCAGAGCTCGTGCTTTTATTAAACTTTTCAATATTATAATTGGGTAGTTTCCAGGGTGTCAAAATTAAAAATCTAATTAGTCCGTCAGTTAGATAATGAAAAAATATTAGACACGTATTTTTTTATTTTCTCGTATTAAGTTGCAATACTTAGATACCTAAAATTGCGCTAAGTTTAGGAGTGGGAGGTTGTTACATCATAACATGCTACAAAATGTGGCACGCTGTGACGTCACACGATATTTCAAATTAATATATCGTCGAAAGTATTTAATTTTATGAGAAAAGAAAAAATGCGTGTCTAAAGTTTTAATAATAATAATTAATGTATCAGACGGACGGTAAAATTTAGAAAACTACCCTATTGTTATCCTGTTAGTAAGTATGTCCATATTTTACAAAAAAATCACCCTTATTTGTTGCTGTACACTACTTACATAACATTTTTTATTTATAAACAAAACAAAATTGAGTATTAGGTAGATAGATCAGATTTATACCTAATGAAATTTCTTATCTAATGTAAATAAAATTTAATTTAATCGCTTATTATGTTACTAAGCACAAGCCCCCACAACAGGTGGGCAAATACAATAGATTAGGCGATAAGTTTATTCTTTATTATTAGATTACGTCATTGGGCAAAGGTCTTACGCTCTGTTGGAATTGTTATTACTTATTTAATAGGGAATCTTCTCTGTAATTAATTAATATACGTCCCCAATCCATCTCAAATCCTTCATCCTACAAACAAAACACACTTGTACCTCCTCTGGGGCGTTGTAAGTGTCCATAGGCGACGCCGATTGCTTACCATCAAGTGATCCGTCTAGCTTATTTGCTGTCCTATTCCATAAAAAACTCCAGTGTACGGGTGTCGCATTATCGCGTAGCGCCTTAAAGAGCCACCACAGATGGGACCCAGTAGGGCTGATGCCAGATGCGAAGGACTTAACGGGTTGCCGGGGCTACAAGCAGGAGTAGGAACGGAGTGGTTTGGATTCAGTAAGAGTCTGAGACTCCTTGTCACCTCACCCAAAGCGGGAGACGTCATTGGAAGATTTTAAGAGACCCATACAAAAACATAATATTAATAATTAATGTAAAAATATGGTGTGATGTTTATGGCTTGTTTTTCCCAATTCAGAATTTTATTCAGATCGACATCATGCATTAGTAATGAGGTAATCACGCCACAGAGTCGCGGACCAATCACAAGTTATGGCCAAAACTTCAGTTCGAAACCGAAACAAGTTTGACAAACATGAAATAAGCTCGTGAGCAGATTTATCTAATCATGAACATTTGTTGCAAAATTGTACATTAAACAAACAAAGGAGATTAGATTGTAGAGATAATTGAAGTTCGTTAAGTACCTAACACTTAATAAACATATAGATAGTTATCTAAATTCCATAATTGAGACTATGTCCTAAAATTAGGCAGTGCTTTTTATCCAACGGCCGCAAAAGTATGACTGCACGGTTGGCGCGGTGGCTGGGCATCTCGCTGCCGCGCAATGTGTCGCATATTCCCGCACGGAACAACCCTTTGTGTGATCCAGATTGTTGTTCCCGGTCTAAGTGTCATGTGTAAGTGAACTTGTATGTTTGAAGCGCATCCATGACACAGAAGAAAATCCTAGTATGGGGCAAAGTTAAAAATATATAAATAGGAAGTATTCTAAACAGCTTGTGCGTACGGTACAATAACCACATCAAACCCGTCAAAAAAATTTAGCCTAATTAGTCTCAGATTCTCCAGGGCTAGTTATATCCTAGTATCCAGGATTCAATTAATCTTTTTTAATAAACTTAACACACACATTGTATTAATGAGCTGAATAATTGTTACCTGCCATCAGCATTACATCCCTGTATTATTAGCCTATCGGGCCCCAGCTTGCTCGGGCCCCTCATCACGGGACCGACTAGTGTAGACTTTTCATCGCCCTTTATCAGTAGCTTCAAGAACATTGCCTTAAAGGAAGAAAATGTAGATAATACAGAAATAAGCTATAGAAGTTATCTATTCTCATTGTGTAGTCAACCTATTACCTAACAAACATTGACGGTTTTGAGTGCAAGCAACCTTAAGTACTTCTTTCCACGATACAAATAAAACATGATATCATTTCTGTTTTTCAAAAGATTATTATAATTATTTTTCCACGCTTATGTAATTAGGTTGGCATGTAAAAATAAAATCAGTAGGATTCTGATAAAGCTGCAGAGTCCGATGTCCAAAAATAAAATTCCGCAAAACATGTGTTAGGTACCATAGAACAGCTACATATTTAATTAGGCTTTAAGTTGTTAAACATAAGGTACATTTACTTAGTTACCTCACTGCAAGTTAATATGTGCATAGTTCAACAAATTGTTTTACGATGACTTCACAAAATGTGATATTATATAATTATACTATATACTACAAAATATGGATAGATACGAGTATGAGATATGATATGCAAGATTAGATATTATGATGTGTAGGTATTTATATGTTGTATATAATACCACGGAGCGCGTAGTAAAGTATTATTATTACTACAACAGCGCAGCGTGTTGCGGTCAGTCAACCTACTTTTCAGAAGGTACCGATATTTTTATTTTTATTTTTATTACGGATATTAATTTCTTAACGTGCATCATGGGAGTCTGCGAGGATCTCATAAGCCTGAAACTTTTTTTCCTTCGGGATACTTTTTTTTTTTTTGTTAATTGTACTACATTAATATTATAAAAAAATAATTTTGTCTAATATATAGAACTGTACGTGGTTAAATGGTAGAGCTGTTATTTTATATATTGCCTATTTGGAAACTTGTTTTCTAATACTTATTTTTAAAATAATGTCCTTTATTTTCAAAATTAGAATTGATTAAATTTTATTTATGAGATAAGTTTGTTTCTAATAGTAGGAGTCTGTCAGTCCCTTTCAGCCTCCCCAGGCAAGGGAGCCCGAGAGGTTTTTTTATCTTGGTAAAAAAATTCTGCATCTAACAATTTTTTTTTTTAATTTGAATTGGGTACTTTCCTTTATTAAAATTTCGACTGTACAATACAATAAAATATTAAAAAATAATCACACTTTCATCATAGTTGATTTTATACCAACTTGATTTTAGTATTTTTCCAGTACATCTTTAAGAAAGGTATTCTGTTTGACGCAAAAAGACGTGACGTCACAATACACAAAATTCATAGAAAACTGTCATTTTTGACAGTTCAAAAAAAATGGCAAGTACCCAATTTTACAAAAAAAATTGGAAATGGCATGCCGTTAGCCGATTAGGTCCTAGGAGCTCATGATCTTCAAGATCTCGCAACTTCTAAAGAGCGCTCAGTTTAACCAATATGTTGACGATGATGACAAAATGATCCAGTTCTGAGTGGGTAATTTGATGCAGATGACCACAGATTGGATAAATTGGTGATCTTTATTCAGACTTCCTACTTCACTTGTTAGTCAAAGTCAAAGCATTTATTTTAAATAGACTGCTCTGTGACTTCAGATCAAATGGAATATTTTCGATGGACGATGGACTGTGACTTCAGATTCAATTAGGTAGACAGGGAGATACTCACTGGCATCCATAACATCATAACATAACATCACGCCTTTTATCCCCGAAGGGGTAGGCAGAGTTGCACATTATGCCACTGTACAATTTAACACCCGCTTTTCACTATTTATGTTGTGAGTCCCATGTAATAGGGGGTGCCATATACCGGGCACAATTCCAGACTCCGTGCTACTACTGAGAATTTATAAAAACTCAGTAGTACTTTGTCCGACCGGGAATCGAACCCGAGACCCCTGGCCCGGCAGTCGTACTTGCGACCACTCGGCCAACGAGGCAGTCTCTGACATCCAGTCATTTCTAATTAACATACTGCGACAGACACTCAGGATTAACGAATCGGAATCTTGCTAATGAATTATACACAATGACCAAAGCGGTTGGCACTTAAATTTTAGAAAATGTTTTCGCATTTAACTTATTTATAATATGGTATCAAATATCATCAGTCCGTTTCCTTCCTCTGTTAAATGAAGGCTGGTTCAATAACAAAGAGTTTAATTTGCTGTTCATCGCATTAAGCCACTGCTAACTGCTAGCTACAGCTAAATAATTGGAGTATCTGTTTGTAATATTCAAATAACGGATTTTTACTATATGCATATATGAATAAACATATAGAAACGTTTAGAGATACGAAACACATACCAAAAACACACTTTTTAAAATTTTTGTCTGTCTATTTGTACCGGCTAATCTCTGGAATGGGTGAACCGATTTTGATGGGAATTTTATTTTGGAGATGAAGAAAAAAAATAGTTCTGTTCTAAAATAATATTCTACGCGGACGAAGTCGTGGGAAACAGCTAGTCCATTATATCACCATATGGACTATTTTATTTACTACACGAAAAATTTCGAGGCTGTAATAACACAAAATGTATTTTTTTTATTTGTTGAACAGTTGACGATAAAAACATTGAAACAGACACGTTTTAGTTTCATCTACCATAAAACTAAAAGCCCCTACCTTTCTTTATCAAACTATTAGATATCAAAAAACAAAGAGAAATTACTCAATATTAACAGAGTGAAATCTTCTTAAATCTCTCATTTTTTACTAAATTAAATCTTACTTTTTGTCAACAGCCTATCAGCAATCAGCAATGGCACCTTCAAACCTTTCCCTGAACGAAGTGGTGATCGTGTCCGCCGTGAGGACTCCCATCGGCTCCTTTAGAGGAAGCCTGGCGAACGTCACAGCTACAGAGCTGGGTGCTATTGTCGTCAGAGCTGCCGTTGAGAGAGCCGGCATTCCTAGCAGCGAAGTTAAAGAGGTAAATCGATTAATTTTACCAATTAAATTACTTGTTGTGTCAAGAAAAGAAAAAAAGTGTATTTACCGTCGGAATGATCAATTTGAAATGATCCTAGCCTTCTCATTAAACAGGACTACAAATAACATATAAATCCTGTAGATTTGCAGTTTGGGCTTTACATAAAACTCCCACAAATATTTTTTATTAACTAAAGACGATTTTTTCAATACCCTTTTTATTCTAGGTGTTCATGGGAAATGTGTGCTCAGCTGGTCTTGGCCAGAATCCCGCGAGACAGGCAGCTATTTTCGGTGGTCTTGAAAAAAGCACTATTTGCACAACTGTCAACAAAGTATGTGCGTCTGGTCTTAAGGCTGTTACACTGGCCGTACAAGGCTTGCAAACTGGAGCAAATGACGTCATACTTGCCGGAGGAATGGAATCTATGTCAAACATCCCCTTCTACATAAGACGAGGCGAAATCCCATACGGAGGCACTCAACTACTTGATGGCATTTTGTACGATGGTCTCACCGATGTTTACGATCAAATCCACATGGGTGACTGTGCTGAAAACACAGCTAAGAACTTGAACCTATCAAGGAAACAGCAGGACGACTATGCTATCATTAGCTATAAGAGGAGTGCCGCAGCACACGCAGCTAAGGCTTTTGATGCTGAAGTTATACCTGTCCCAGTACCACAGAAGAAGGGTGGCGCTCCAGTTATTTTCGCAGAAGACGAGGAGTACAAGAGGGTGGACTTTGACAAACTGGTTAAGTTGCCTACTGTATTCAAGAAAGAGAACGGTACAGTAACCGCTGGTAATGCCTCAGCATTGAACGATGGTGCTGCAGCAGTAGTGATGATGACCGCTGAAGCCGCTAAGAGGTTAAACGTTAAGCCTCTTGCCCGCGTCATTGGATACGCTGACGGAGAACGTGAACCAATTGACTTCCCGATTGCACCATCTGTTGCCATTCCTAAGCTCCTAGAGAAAACTGGCGTCAAGAAGGAGAACGTGGCTATGTTTGAAATTAATGAGGCATTCAGTGTTGTTACTCTTGGTAACCAGAAGTTGTTGGACATTGACCTTGAGAAGATTAATGTTCACGGAGGAGCTGTGAGCTTGGGACATCCCATTGGTATGTCTGGTACCAGAATTGTTGGTCACTTATGCCATTCCTTGAAGAAGGGCGAGATTGGTGTAGCTACTGCTTGCAACGGTGGAGGTGGTGCCTCAGCTATCATGATCGAGAAATTGTAAGTCCTGTTTACCCACGCTGTTCTATGAATTTAATAATGTTTAAAAATAATTGAATTCCGATTGCCATAAATGAATGTTGTCTGTTGTTAAATCTTTCTATTGTGTTTGTAAATCTGCGCATTATTATTGATATATTCGTGTGTATTTTTATTAAGATCTCGTTATATGTTTTGCACATGATTGTATCTTTTAATTGCGTAATTGGTTGAATAAATAAATATACTTTTTATTAAATAAATGTATTTTTTTTTAGCCACTGCCAAATATATATTTTCGTAACAAAAACACTAACCAGACATAATGTAGGTAACTAACAATTCCTAGTTCACATTCACGACCAGATCACATTACATAATACAAAAACCATGAAGGTCGCATTGTTGAGAATCAAGTTTTTTATGAGCAGTTCTCGGCAGTAGTCAAATATGTGCATAAACACACGTTTAAACTACACAATGTAAATTAACATTTGTTTAGTGAACGACAAATAACGGTAAAATTGTATGAGTATGATATGTGATTCTTATTTTAAAAAGCAATATTGAAATTCTAGTTGATTTTTGCCCGACTACGGCGAAGCCAAAAGGAGGGTTATTGTTCTTATTGTCATAACCATCATAACATCACGCCTTTTACCCCCGAAGGGGGGTAGGCAGAGGTGCACATTACGGCACTTAATGCCACTGTACAATGTAACACCCACTTTTCACTATTTATGTTGAGTCCCATGTAATAGGGCACCCCCTATTACATATACCGGGCCTATTGCCATATACCGGGCACATTTCCAGACTCCGAGCTACTACTAAGGTTTTTATAAATCCAGTAATACTTTGCCCGACCCGGGAATCGAACCCGAGACCCCTTGCACGGCAGTCGTCCTTGCGACCACTTGGCCAATGAAGCAGTCAGGCAGGCAGTTGTTCTTATAGTATTTTTGGGTATACAATTTTATGAACACTTTATTTAACCAACCGATATAAATATCTTTGATAAGTAAGTATGTCTAAAACAACCAGCCCAATGTAAAGATGTTGTTCGAAAACATTTTTATAAAATATTAAATTTTATAATAATTTAGTAAATTATTCATTGGGTTAAAATAAAACAAAGTTTTTTCAAAGAGTATAAGTTTGTATATTTTATAAAATATCACGTTTTTTTATATTGTCATGGACGGATTCTTTCGTATAAAAATATATAGAATACTTAATTAAAACTTACTCTAAGTAAGAAAGCAAATAAGCGACCTCAGTGAGATCTTGAGGCACAGACTCGTGGTAGCACAAATATAATTCTCTTGGCTCCGGTTCACTGAAAACTCGACTGTAACAAAAACGAAAATAAATATTAATTTTGCATCGTCGAATTTTTAAATAATACATATATTTTATGTGATATTAAATCCTACGTAGAAAGAAAATATTACTATTCACATGACGGGAATTGCATCCGAACTTTCTTGTTCCAAAACTTTGGAGATCGAATTACATACGAGCTATGATAACATATATTGTCGTCGTTCTCCGTTCTCACATATATATATACAATAGGTTTGTCACATATATAGATACAATAGGTAAGGATCATATAATGTAATTGTGAGATTATAAAAAACATTTTGTTCCCTCTTCTCCATTCGAAACTACACTTTGGATCGAGCGCTAGCTTCACTAACAATTAAATTTGACGTTTGAAAAGTGCCTTATTAAGGATTAATTGAAATAAATGCTTTGACTTTGACAGTTAGGTACTTTACTTGCTAACTCTGACCAAAAGTAGGCCTTGGCTTTCTTGGGATGAGGGTGTAAGTACGAGATTCGCGCTAGTTATTGACGAGGAACTGCGAAAAACCGTACAGAACTGCGAAAATGGCATTACTAGTGCGATGATGCGATCAGCGGAGCCTTATGTGTAAAGAAAGAAAGACGATATTTACCCAACAACCCAAAACAGGTATGGTTCACAATTCTTCTTGCTAACTCCACACTGACTCAATATATCAACTGGTGCTTGAAATAACATTCCGTGCTCTTTCACTGCCACTAGAATCTTGTTCAAAGGATTGGATGGCGCGTGGTTTTTCTTGAATCTGAAATTAAAAAAATATTACTTAAGTCTTTTTAACCTTTAATATTACGACAGTAAGTTATTAATTTGGTTGTTTTTCAATCGTCACCTATTTGGTCGATGTACAGTGCCACGTAGGTCAACCTACTTTGTTGTGTCCTAAATTAATTTTTCAACTTTATTATATTAATATAAAGTCGAAAATCCTGTAAAAAAATTGGAGTAGATTGACTTGCACTCATTCGTACATTATGTCTTAACTTATTTGGTAACTTTACTCAGAATATAAGTTTTACATTGAGAAACTGCGATTGGGGCGCCGTGACGTTGAGATGGTAAAACAGTTAAGTAACCTATTGAAATTTTTTTAATGCGCGCTTACCTTATACTATGTTGGAGCAGCTCATGTATTTGTTTACAAGCAGATCTGAATGTCTTCACTATGTATGAGTACAGTACATTGTTAGCCAGTACTTCTATATTCTTCACCGGTGCAATCAAAACTCCTCTCTCAGATTCCAAGTGCACAAAGTGAAATAACACGTTTTCTTCGCCCGCTGTGATTCTGTAAATAATAATAATAATAATATGTAGATAGAATAGCAATATAAAATCTTGCCTCAAAAAGGATTTTTTTTTTTTTAAGGGGGGAAAATCATCGAATGACTGCTCCCGCCTGGGTGAGGCGGAAGGGAGTGTCAGACTCTTACTGACTAAAAACCACCCCGTTCCTTCTCCTGCACGTCGAGCCGGACCCCGGTTACCCGTTAGGTTCTCCGCGACTCCGAATCGGCATCGGCCCTATTGAGCCCCATCTGTGGTGGTCTGATGGCTCTTTGAGGCGCGCGCGGAACGCGACGCGCCGTACGCTCGGGAGGATAGAAGGGTTAGGGCCTAAAAGGGTTGAACTCATACGAGTCGAACTCACACATATAAAATATTAATTGCAATTTATTGTAAGGAAATATTAGTTTCTTTCTATCATCCTGGGTATGTTGTACAATGTTGTTGGTTGGCAATTTAAGAAGTCCCTATAGTAGTCTACGTCATCTACAATATCTATAGGTATTATCCATATAGTTAGACCTTGCAATGTATTGCAAAATCAAAAGAGGAAATAATAGCGATAACCCAAAAGACATAAGTACCTACAAGAATCATACCATCAAAAAATCACATGATTGGCTGTTAATATAAGCCTACTAATTTAACATTCGATAACATTTGTGACGTCAACGACTAAAAAGATAACCTTAACGGAAATTGGGAGTAACCCTCCCCACCACTAAGCAAAACTAAGGCCAGTGGGCGGAGTCTGCGCATGAGTGGATCGCATGGCTGTCTTTACTATGTTGTTAGACTAATTATGTATGATCGTCATTGTCATGTGTAATTTGTCATCATCAGCTATCAAAATATACAAGAATTGTATCAAGAAAGCTCGGTTAAGGTGCTTCGTAACCATAAGGGAACCAAATGGGGTAAGTATAAGTACTAATGTGTATCATTGTGTACCAATGTGTATAATGTGTATCTTAACTAAAAAGCGTGGATTACTCACGTGTATATACTGACATCGCCGCGACCGCGCACGCTGCTCATGAGGAAAAACCCCTCTGTGGTTCGAAACTAGCCACTCTGAGGGCCGTGGATAGTACGGTATCAAAAAAAAAAGTAGCGTCATACGCCCACAGATACTGTAGTATCCAAAGCGACGAGTTGTGTTTTACTCCATCTAGTTTAAAATACGGTATGGTTTATCTATACAGCTGATGAAATAGTTCGTTCGTAGATCTTCTTTTTCGTATTTTTTTCTTTATCCTAACCATTATGGTTCTACGGCGAAGTTGCGACGTCCCCGCGCCCTATTCGGGTGCCGCGTGTGGCTGGACGTTAGAGAGATAAACGGTCGCGCGGGCCGGATGTTGCAGTGGCTAGTAGAGTTTTTCTTAGTATGTTCATGTGAGTAACCCGCGATTTTTAGTTAATTTAGTATGTCTCGTACGTACGTAACGTAATTCTTTTTAACTATCATATCACATCAATAGCCTATAAGTACCCGCTGCTGAGCAAAGGCCTCTTCTGGGATAGTTACAGCTAATTTAGTTATTTTTTTAATTGTTTATGGAATTTCAACTTACCTCTTTGCAGTAACATGATTAATTTCATTCAACAAAGACTTTCTGATATCAGACATGTCTAAACTTCCGCTGGCTCTGCTGCGATCCTGTTAATAAAATACGAGAACATAAATTGACATAAATTGAAAATACGAGAATAAAAAAAAGGAATGTCGTATAATATATTACTCCATATTACCATAAACCAGGTACAATTCCAGTTATGAAATGTGGGAGAGCCATGCTTCGGCCCGAATGGGTCGGCTCGACCGGAGTGATACCACGGCCTCACAGAAAACCGACGTGAAGCAACGCTTGCGTTGTGTTTCATCGTGTGACTGAGGTTACAGGAGGTCCAGCTCCCTTCTCCCTTCCCCAATCTCCCCAATCCCCGAATCCCCAACAATCCTCAAACTCCTAATCCCCAAAAGGCTGGCACTTGTAACGCTTCTGGTGTTCCAGTTGATAAAAGATTTAGAGAAAAAAATCTTAATAATTCTTTGCCCGACCATATACCGAGACTCCTTGATGATAAGCATGCTGCAAGCCAGAAAGCAACTTGATGGCAACGACTCGATAAACGATGCAGTCTTCTGATATTATTGCACTGAAAATATGGCAATGACTGCCTCGTTGGCCGAGTGGTCGCAAGTGCGACCGCCGGGCGCGACTGCCGGACAACGGGTCTCGGGTTCGATTCCCGGGTCGGGTAAAGTATTAATGAGTTTAAAAAAAATCTCAATAGTAGCATGGGGTCTAGAGTTGTGCCCGTTATATGGCAATAGGCTTACCCCCTATTACATGGGACTCATAACATAAATAATAAAAATTGGGTGTTACATTGTATGTACAAACATTGTACAGTGGGTGAACATTAAGAGCCGTAATGTGCACCTCTGCGTATCCTTTCTGGGATAAAAGGCGTGATGTTATGTAAATATGGCAGTTATTCCACTTACCAGTCTATCCCAATCTGAATCCGAGCCAGACGAATCCCGACGATTTCTTTGCTCTCTATCCGCTCTTCTGCCCTGTATTCGTTCTTCACTTACTTCACTGAAACCATATTTTTAATCCAGTTTAGTGGTGTAAATTACATAATCATAATAAACATGATCTAGAGATGATGTTATGAAGTAATGTATGAATGTAACATAAATATTATAGCTATGTTGGATTAAGTAGTTATTTTATTTATTTATTTATTTACTTAAAACCTTACTTAAATCTATCATTACAGTTTTCTCCATTGCGATAGTTTAGGCCTAAAACTAAATCTATAAATTACTAATTTAAGACAAAACAAAATCAAAAATAGAGCATACACAAACTTAACTATTGACTAAAACTAATGCAGATATGGCTATCGACGTCATAACGTAAACATGAACCTTGTAATTCTTGGTTCAGACGAAGTATAATTGAGACTATCGGCAATCCGATAGTCTCAATTATACTTCGTCTATCTAGGGCAATCCCTATTGCCATAATATCCTGTGTAGACTCAACCCTAAATTAAAAAAAAAAATGTGAAACTACATCTTTACTTGCGAAGCTACATTGGGAATAACTGGCAAAAAATTGCAATACCAACAATCAAAGTAAAAGTCAAAGTCAAAATAACTTATTTCAATTAGACCAGGAAGACACTTTTAAACGTCAAAACAAAATATTGAAATATTAAATAATAAGAAAAAATGTCAGTCTGTAGGTCAGTCTTCTAGTGAAGCTATTTGCTCGTTCTAAAGTGTAGATTCCTATGGAGAAGAACGGGCAAGAAACTCCATAGGTTACTCTTTTTCAATCAGGTTCACAATACAATCATCTTACCTATTACTTTTCAAGCTGTTAGAATCCTCAGAATAGCTGACATCTAGACTAGAATGTCTATACTTTGGAGCGGTACTATAAGTCTGCGCGTATAGACTATGGTGACTGCCATAGTTAGTGAGAGAGTTCATAGAATTCATGTCACTAGTACTTGATCCCACATTGATCTGTTCTGTAGAGTTGTGACGCCGTTTGTCTGTTTGTTTCGATATTTTTAGGGTTGAGGTTTTGAGTGTCGAGTCTGGTTTTAAGGCTGGAACAATGATAAAAGTATTATGAGCAAATGAGCATGACATTAATTCGACCTTTCGTACAATTTTTGTAAAGTATAATTCCAAATGCGGCTGGGCTCGGGGACTCGGGGTTGATTACCGCAATTACAAAGCACAGTAGATAGGCCCAGATGGATATGAAAGTGAACTGTATTTCAAAGGTATATATTAGGTGTTGTACAATGGTCCAAAGTTATAATAAAATCATGCGATCTCTCTTGATGAAGCATGTGTGCATCGGGGGTGTTAACGTGTGCGTTAACTCACAGGACAAAGGATTATTCATGATTATTTTTGATTTTAGAAGATTCTCAGTTTGAGTCTAAAATTGTGCACAGCTATTGGTAATCAACTCGCTTGTATTGCGTGGTGCTGGTAACATAACTGCAAAAGTGGTTTTACAACTGTTTTTTTTATGGCATAAGCCGGTAATCGAGCAGGCGGATTACCTGATGGTAAGCAATCAGCGCCGCCCATGGACACCCGGAACACCAGAGGTGTTACAAGTATGTTACGGCCTTTTAGACATTAGGAATTTGAGGATTGCTGAAGATTCAGGGATTGGGGAGATTGTGAAAGGGGGGGGGGGTAATCATAATCATTTATTTATTTAAGACATCAAAGATCCGCTGTGTTAGTAACAAAATAAAAATACGAAACATCTTGGGCCCCTGGTAACCTCACTCACACGACGTAAGCATTGCTTCACGTCGGTTTTCTGTGAGGCCGTGGTATCACTCCGGTTGAGCCGGCCCATTCGTGCCGAAGCATGACTCTTCCACACTTAACCTCTTTTTATTATACTTAACTTCCTCTTCAAAGATAATATTTAGTATAAAAACTTACAATTAATATCTCTAATCTTCCTCCCATACTTAGTGAGATATTCCGGCGACGTTTCAACTTGGGGCTGTGAGTTGGAATTGAACCAGGATACTAAATACTTATTCAGTCCAACATCATACAGTAACTCGAGGCAACTTTCGCACTCTTCCACGTAGAACGGAGATGGTGGAGTTACTCCGACGGCCTGAAAATTGAAATATTTATGTTATAAATGGTTGTTTAAATCTTATTTATTTATTTTTACTCAGTCACAACAGTAGTAAACCCAATTACAGTAACTGACATATTTACAACAATAAAAGATGAAATGACTGCCTCGTTGGCCGAGTGGTCGCAAGTGCGACTGCCGGGCAAATTATTACTGGGTTAAAAAAAAATCTCAGTAGTAGCACAGAGTCTGGAATTGTGCCCGGTATATGGAAATAGCCCCCTATTACATGGGACTAATAACATAAATAGTGAAAAATGGGTGTTACTTCTGTGTACACCTCTACCAACCCTATCGGGGATAAAAGGCGTGATGTTATGATGATGTTATGTGTAAAGATGAAATTATAACTAATACGAAACATAAATAAAAGAAAAATACAGTAATTCTTAATTAAATCAGGAGTTAATATTATTCATAAGTTTCTCTCGCAGTACTTCAAGCATTCTGATAAAATCTCCTTCCATCCTTCACTCATTCCTTGAAATGTTTAAGGCAGTGATTCCCAAAGTTATCTGGACAACGACCTATCTAAATCAAGTTACCAAACTCAGGAACCACTTTTAAAAAATTAAACCGTTATCTACAACATGTAACTTAAATAATGCACATCCTGAAAATAGTTTGTTCAGAATCGTTAACTGAATCGATTTATATAGTATTTAGTATAGGTAATTTTTTATCCCAAAAATAATTAAAACTGCGGAAATTATTGTCATATTAACCCTGTATTGTTAAAACAAATCGAAATGTACCGTAAGTCAAAGCAATAAGACTTTTAAAATCGCAGTTTTATTTGTATTCATACAAATTCTATCATTCAATACAAAATAAAGAAAAATAACCTTATGACAAGACCAGTAAGGATGCTTATACATGTTAAATTAAAAATTTAGTGTATGTATTATAATTATAACATAAAAATCTTCTAATTGGGGTGTTTGAGGGTGTGCGTTAATTACGTTACATTGTATATGAAAAATAAAGTATAGAACAGTTGGTTAATGTGTCATTCTACAGACATGGTCCACTAAACATTTGCTAGCGACCCACCAATGGGTCTATAGTTTGAGAAACTCTGGTTTAAGGAAACATTTAAAAAAAAATTGAAGTGCCATTGGAAATCAGTTTTCTTTTATATTTACTAAAGATGTAAAACCAGTCTGCTGCCATTGCTTCAGTTTCGTGTGTAAGGACGTACATAGTTTCTGATTACGAGGCAACCGGATTCAAACTATTTATTAGATTTCAAAATTCATATTCATAGTAAAATTGTATGTTACATAATTACACCTTCGATGATGAGTTTATTGATATGTAATAAATTAAATTAAAAATATACTTACATCTTCTGTACATCCGCCGGCTTCCATCAATGTCGATAATACAAAGTGACCCTTACCAACAGTAAGGAGGAACCAACGGCCATCTGAAATTCTATGAATAAAACTTTATTATATAGTTATTAAATGCTAACAAACTAAAGTTATTGCTCTTTTACTAGAAACACTTAAAGGAACTAATAATTTAAGTTGCCTGCGATTTCCACGTAGAATATTAATTTTAGAACGTAATTTTTTGTTTCAATTTTCCGAAATAAAACTAGCCTATACACCTCAGTACATGAGCTACCTACCAATAAAAGTTCCGTCAAAATTGATCCAGCCATTCCAGAGATTAGCCAGTACAAACAGACAGACAAAAATTGTAAAAAATGTTATTTTGGTATGTGTGTCGTTTGTATATTCATAAACATAAAAAGCGGTTATTTTAATAGTAAAAACAGACACACCAATTTTATTTATCTGTATAGGTATATTGTGTGTCTGAAAATAAAAACCAAAGAATATCAATCTTATTAAAAACTAAAATGAAATAGGACTCAATTAAACATTCTCAGTAAATGGTAAACCTTATACTATTGTAATAAAGTTGAAAATCTATTATTAGAATTTGTGACTTCACAAGTAAATTTTGTCAACACTTCTAGCGCAGGAATTGGGAGTTTTCAGGAGACTTACGCACTCAACTAATCACGTAATTAAAATACTACAAAAAATAATATTCACCTGAACTCATTACCCTCATTTTTATTCTGTTTTCTATGTTCATTAATGAACACTTCTCTCCATACCACTAGTTTCTCCAACTCTTTCTCTGTGCTTAACTTTAGAATACCATTTAAACGTAAATACGCATTAATTTCTTTCAAGTCTTCGTCTTGCAAGTGTGAACTTAGTAGGTGTCCGGAGTAATATAAACAGGAGCCAATCACTGTGTATAGCCTTTGGAAGTTTTCTATGTCATCTGTCTGTAACACAATATGTGATGGTGTCGATTAATAAGCACACACACACACTAATTTGGAATAAACAAATAACTATAGCAATTGCCTTCAAACAAAAAACAGTTGATTGTATTAAAAACTTTACTAGATACTATTTTAATACATTGATATATCGTACCGAAATCCTCAAAATTTGTTCATATAAAGTAGTCTCTAAACATCGGAAATAAGGTCTATAATGTAGTTAGTGGAGAGCGGTCACCGGTGACCGCTTGGAGATTGAACAGTTAAGGGACATAAAATCTTACCCATTCACGATAATCAGCAGCTTCTAACTCCGTAATAGCATCATCAACTTGAACCTTAACCTCCAAGGGCAATGTAACAGAATGAGCAGCCAACATATCTTCAAAATACAATTCAACACTCCTCCCACCATCTTCTTTATTCCCCCTACTATTAATTACCAAAGTAACGAAAACTCGGGCGAACAAACTATCTAACTTATCAACGTTATTAGGCTTAGTAAAACTTGACTTAATTGAACCATATAGGAATTCTAAGAGCCTCACTACATCAGCTATAGCCTTTTTCGCTGCAAACATATCAACCTCCTTGTTAGGAAAAGCAATTAATAATAAATCATTATAATGTGAAGTGTAAGTAACATTGATTAAAGTATTGTTATGGAGTACTGTTGAAGTTGTTGGTTCACTGGTCCCTAAAGATTTTGGAGCCAAATGGTTCAAAGTCACGTAAGCCCCTCTGGTGTTATACAAAAAATTTTGATTAAAGGGTCTTGGATAACAGTATAGAACTCCTTTGTCATCATTACTATTGTATTCTATGTCGTTACAACATATGTATAGAACAGAGCAGAGAGATTCCTTCAGTAGATGTGTCAAGGAATTCTCTGGAGCCGTTTTGGACTTGAGTAACCTTTCTAAGTCTACCTTATGGCTTTCTGTCGGTACTTGGAATGTTAGTCTTGGGCTATTATGGTCCTCTACAACTCTTTGCAGAATGTTATTAATGTTGTAAGAATTCACTTCAATCCCATTAATCTTTTGCAAGTAATATCCTTTTTGAACTTTCGGTGTGTAAATGGCTCTGGCTTCTGTTAAAAATTCTGCAACTGTTAAAGTTTTGCCATCAGCATGTGTCTCTAGGCTTAAACCAAAAAGTTTCTCTATTTGGCAGTTTTTTTCACTGCTGAATATCATGCTTTTGCTGACCTGAAAAATATTTTTTACCATTCTATACACAATCAATATAATAATTATAAACTTAACTATATATGTACCTATATGATAAAAAAAATTAAAGTATCTATTTCTTTGCTTATATTTTTCCTGCCACTGCAATTTTTGTTTGGAAATAATTAGGAGGCTGAAGAGTGATATAGTCTAATTTATCCATACAGATAGAGTTGACCCATGTCATGTTCCTGTTGTTGTTGTTGTGACCCAATAATGAGACATAGGACACACAACATAAGATACAGTATAGAACAAAGTTAACATACCTGAACAATAATAAGCTTTTCATCGGGAAGCATATTTCTATTCACATTGGATGCTCCATCATCACCTTTTCTTGTGCTACTCTCGGTAGTTTTTGACTTGTGAGATTTTAATACTTTAAATATTCTTCCTACAATTTTATTAACATTATTAATTAGGTAAATACAATAAGAAATAAGCAATTGGATGAACATGTTCAATGGTATGTTATTATGATAGAAATACAGGGCAATGTCTAGGTCAGCAAAATTTTGGTTTTTAAATATTTATTTATTTACTGACTATCCACTCCAGTTACTACTTTTACCCTTTAAACTGTCAAACACCAAGCGGTCACCGGTGACCGCAACCTATTGTTCTTTAATTGTGTCTATAAATACGGTACTCAACGAGTTAAATTACATTAAAAGCTATCAAACTAACTAAATTAATTATTTATTGTTACAGTACCTTTCGTAGATCGTCGAGTTGAAGATCTTTTAAAGTTGTTTCTGAGTTTAAAAGTTTCACAGTTTTCCAAAAGAGGTGTCTTCGTGTAATCCGTGGTTTCGTTATCATTCTTAATTTTTATGTAAACCAATTCTCCATCCTCGCCGACGTCCGAATCCCATTCAGGTACAGAGCTATGATAAAAAGTTAATTTATTTTAAAATATAGTGGAAACTTAGAGAAAGCTTTCAAGTTTGTGAAGATAATAAACTTTATTTACCTTTCTGAATCTGAATACTTTGAGTCGTCTGAAGAGTTGGTCCAATCATTGTCTGAGTCACAGGGACTATCATAACTTACTTTACTTTTGTAATTATTCATAATAAGCGAAGTAATTTATTGGCTTCGCATTGTTTACAAAGAAATTGAAAACTTTGACATGACGCGAATCGAAACTACCAAACAAGAAGTGTATGACAGTGTGTCAGTGTGATTATTGACATTGACGTTGGAATTATATTAGGTTTTCCGAACGAAGTATAACTATTTCATTTTAGAAAATTATTTCTTTTCAATTTAAATTATATTGAAGTGCATATCTCGCGATAATTCATACAACATACTAATATAATAAAAAATAAAAAATAAGATTGCACGAGAGAGATAGAAAAAAAAACAGTAACATATTATGTTTACCAAAAAAAATGGCACCAAAATTCAAAAATGGCGCACCATAACATCTTATTGTTTTTATATTCCTAACAACCGCGAATACAGATTTTAGTATTGTTTATAATCGAATATCAATGCAGTGTTTGCATTTATTCTTATATTAATTTCTAACGTTTACCTATGGATGACTGTTGTAGTAAAACGTATAATAATGGTTTGGTGGATTCTTCCAGTTATATCATTTGTGGATCTGATAGTCTTGTAAAAAATAATAATGGCAAAGGGAAAACAGAACTGTCGAGCAGTCATCCATTGGATGGAAATATTAAAACGAATAAAATAGATGAAACCTGTGTTAAAGTGTCAGCTCCGAAGCCCATGACATCAACTTTAAAGAAACCCGTTGCAATTTTAAAAAATCGTGCCATTGATGCCAAGATTGCTACTCCAATAAAAGTTTCCCTTGAACCTTACTGTCCTATAAAGTTGGTATGTTATACTTCTTTAAGTACTTACATTTTTGGCCAAGTCAGTTCCGAGTCGTAACTGGATTACGTTTGGTACATACCAGATAGACCTAAATTAAATTGAATATTGAACATTTCAGAGCACTTAGGCACCTCTAGCTATTACCTTTTATATGGTTAATCTATAATGAACTTTGTAGGTAGTTAGATACCTACCTGTCTTGCTGTGAGACTGCTAGCGCTTGCACCACTCGAAATAACTAATTTAATTTATTATTTCAGGACTCAATAAAACAATTAAAAGACAGTACAAAGAAATTATTATGTTTGCTAGAAGACATTCAAACGAAAACAAACTTTAAAGTTTTTCCTATAGCCGATACAACTGAAATCAGGCTTGCTCAAATTGCAGCGGAGGATGTATGAGATATTTTATTTATTTTTATTTTGATATTTTCTTTTTTGTCTTATTTTCATTGAATTACTTACTACGTTTAATTGGTAAGGTTTATACTATAAATACCTTTCTCCATAACTTTTTTCTACTGCCACTACAGGTATCCATAGTATTATAAAATGTACTTAGGTACTTATATGGCTTTTTCCAGATAAAAGAGCCTGTAAATACTGACGCAAGTGATGAAGCACTGAAAAAGTTGGAAGCCAAAACAAAAGCATTAAACACGATTTACTTAGAGGTACGCTAATAATTATAACATATTTTTTTCTCTGAAATAAAGGTTTAAATATGTAATTAAGCCAGTTACCCTGTCATAAGTCATATGGAATATAAGTAAGTATAGCATATACTCATAAACAAATTCACAGGAGAACTTCTTTAAGCGTTATATACTTAGTACTTAAGTAAGTAATTAATAGACCGATGTTGGCGTTACCTAAACAAATATTGTTGACGTATTTCTCTGATTCATTTAGGACGAGGATGACGATTGTTCAATATTCAAAAGGCTGACAAGAAAATGTAATTGTTTAAATCAGCTGGAATACAATGATTTTATAATACATTTCAATGAGAATACCAAATATTTCACAAGCACTACAGGGGAAATTATAAAGAATATGCGTATTCTGAAGAAATTTTTGTATATGGGAAGCAAATATACGAAGAATGCGCTTATATTTTTAAATGAGGTATCTATTTCATACTTTCAATAATTATCTTTCCAAAGTACGTATGAAGTACGTGAAACGATAAATCTTCTATGATTTGTCATTAGCATTTGGAATCTTACTCGATTTATATTATATCAATCAAATCGATCGGAATATTATTAGTGCTCAAGAAATATGCGTGTTTATAAATACAGTAAAAATAAGAGCCGTAAAGAGTTAAAAACTATATCGACCACATCCCCTCATACGCTGTTTTTCAAAGGAGTTCCCCAAGGGTCTATTCTGTCGCTATCCCAAATTTTAGGTCATTATTTAGGGTGCAGGTGCTTTATTTAGGTGTTTGCGTCGTCACTCGATGGTCTGATGGGCCAGGAAAGTCCTTGAGTGGAGACCACGGACTGGAAGACGAAGTGTGGGCAAGCCTCCCGCTAGGTAGAGCGACGACATCGCCAGTTTCGGGGAGCCAGTGGATGCAGGTGGCGAGTTGTCTTTCAACGTGGAGGACTAAAGGGTCTCCCCTTAGTCCAGCAGTGAACATCTTTCGGCTGTTGATGATGATGATAATGATTTATTAAGATACAAAATAATCTTGCATCAATTTTATCGAACGAAATTATTTAGGAAGTACATACCTTACATGTACCTACAATTAATTGTAATGTAGACATCATGGTCGTGATTAATCTTATTCTACTAAACAGGGTCTGGCAGATTCAGGTTATGCAGAAAAGGTGGAAATTACTCAAGGTTGTTCTCACTCAGACATGTGTAATGTTTTTGAAGATAACTCCATAGTAACTACGTGTATATCTTGGCCTTGCAAGCTAGAGTACTATGGGGATACCGTGACTCAGGTCAGTTAGATACCCTTTTCTATCCATCATACATAATCATCTTTTTCGGTTATTTGTCTAAATTTATTTAATATATTTACATTACAGAATTTGGCAGCATCATTCGTATACAAACTAGCTCAGTTGGAAGAGGGACGTAGATACCTGAAATTCACATCGAAAGTGACGATTGACATTAAAAAAGTTTTAAGGAAAAGAGGGTCCAAATTAGACATAGATACAGTTGAATTATTAAACGCCGCATTAAAAGTGATGCACCCACCAATGACACAACATGTCAATGGTATATACCACTTTAGGCATCTTGATGAAGGTAAAATAATAAAGAAGTTTTCTACCGAAACCCAAAGTAACCCATCTCAAAGGGACGTTTCTTCCAATATAGAAGTTAACATTGGCGATCTTACAAAAAGGAAAAAGATTATTCCCGTGTATACTGATTGATTAACAATAACATATTCTTGGAAATAAAACAATTTGGATAAGTAGGTAAAACCTTACAAAATTCTTTGATTAAAAGTGTGGAATTTCTACTATGAGTTCATGTTTTTTAGGTTACGGGAGTGGAAATTTTAAGGCTCTGTTACAATTTAGAGCGTATATGTCGATAGACGAAGTTTTCACACACTTAGACCTACTAAATAATTTGAGTAGCGACGAAAAGGGCAAAATGGAACTGAAGAGGAACTTGCCTGGGTTGCTGCAACTTTTCAAAGATATGTTGCAACAGTATGATAACAGTGAAATGAACATAATAATCACAAATATTCTAAATAATATCGTATCTAAAAATATGTTTCAAGAAAATAATAGATCGGACTGGCCGAAAGCTTTGATTATGGCAAATATAGCTACTGAGGTAAAAATATTTTATTATTTAGATTTTATGACTGTGTACTTTACACGTCTTAAGTTTACAAATTTAAAAATATATTGTCTTTCAGCCTGTTAAAACGAGAAATGAAACAATACAACAACCAGAAAAGAAAACTCATAAGAAGCCAAATAAATCGAGAATTTTCTTGAATAGAGGTCATAAAGGTATTTTTTCTATAATATAATATCTATTTTTTAGCTCTAAATAAAACAGTACCTATATCTACTGCATGTTTCAGCTATTGGGGGCCCTGCTGATCATAACAAATCAAAAAAGTTGATTAAAGGTACCTAAGTGCGAGCCATAATATATTTTGTTAAATTAATATTCTTATATGGCCAATAAATAACATCATTTCTTTTGCAGACAGAAGACCAATCATAGTAGTTCCAGTTGAAAAAAAATAAATATGGTGTATTGGTAAAAAAATCTTTAATACCAGTAACAATTCATTATGTTTATAAACATTAACACCAACCCAAAATTATTACAAAAAAATAATATATTATATTAAAATGCTGTATATAAATTTATATACATTTTTTTTGTAACAATTTACATATTTATTTTAATAAAGATTTGAATACAAAATTAGGTTTTTAATCAAAGCATACACCTGAGCTTATTACAATCTGTAAATGCATTTGGAATGATTAGTAAGTAAGTTATTGAAGCATTTTTGGTGACTTGGTAATATTTGGCTTAAATAAATTAACTTATAACAAGAGTTAAATATTTTATTATTATTACCATTACAAGGTAATAGAATAAGTTAGCATTTTGTATCTAACGGTATATTTACCACAATGAGATGTATTTTTATATATAAATAAATGAGATCTAAAGTAAATATTTAACTCTACCAAAAAGTCAAATAATAAAACACTATGAAAGCACGAAACATTAATAAAAATATAGATCTGCTAACAAATAAGTTATATCAATTCAATTACTTAATAATTAATCAAATTGACCATCATCATATCGTTCATAACTTCTCCGTGATCTATCATAAACCCCTACTGTTCTTTTATTGGATGGAGCTGGAGCACTTTGTCTGAATAACATTGCCAACAGAATATAAAAGCCTCCAACAATTTTGCTAAAGAAATCCAACAAACCAAGGAACATAGGTGTAGAGTTCTTTACTAAGATAGAAATTTCTCTGATCAAAGCTAAAATAAAGTTTCCAAGAAAATTTACAAATGAAGTACTTCCAGTGAAGATAGCAATAACGAAAGCAAACAAAAATGTTACAAGTTCCTTTACATTGCTTATTGATAAAACACCTTTTAGTGTGTCAACAATATCAGCACAAGTTTCATTTAGAGATGCAACACTGTTTTCCAGTTTTTTGTCAGACAAATCAATGGCTTTACATTTCTTCACAGCCCCAGTTAAGATTGGTTCTACTTCTAAAAATGCATCAGATATATGTCTCAAACATTTTAATGTCACCATAACTTCATCATCTCTGAACTTTAAACTCTTAATTTGGAACCAAAATGGACCAAAAGGTTGGTTATCTATTTCTGTCCACAAGCAAACGCCATTTGTAGAACCCATAGCTTCTGTGTCTGTAATACCTATCCAATGTGTGCTGGGGCATATTTTAATTAACTTGTGCTGTACCTCTAACAAATCCTTTTTTAACTCCACCTCAGCGGGGCTGATGACAACGACGTCACGGTATCCGATACGCTTGTCTGCAAGTCTTCTTTCTACATAACGTCCCAAAAAAATCCGTGACTTCAATCTTTCTTTAAGATAAACTTTAATCTTATTTGGTTCGGTGTCGTCGTGACTATCATATTGAGACGTTGCTAAAGATGAGTTTGGAGATAAAGCCGGCTTAATTATACTCATTATAATATGCTTTTATAAATAAATGATTGTATATAAACCACAAAACAACAAAGATATCTCTGATTCAGCGCAGGACTGTCAACTTCAAAATAAATTACAGATGACAATTATGACATTTGTCAAATAATGACAAACAAAAATTGACAAGAGAGAAGAACCCAGTCTTTCCATTTTTATACTTTTTTGACACAATAATTTATTGTTGTTAAAATATTATTTAGAAAAAACTTACCTGCTGCTATTTAAGTCTATGTTTGTACCAGTAATATTTTTAGAGGCCCTTTATTCGTTTTAATAGGTTTGATTACTATATTTATGTTTGTAAATTCTGCGTCGATAGAAATGAACTTATTCGACTGACTTAAATGGATTCGTTCGATAATTAATAAAGTTACAGAAAAACCAAAGTACAAAACAAAAAAACACCCAAAACAAAAATGATTTGATCGTTTTCCTCTCCTGCTTGACATAGCCCTCTCCATTAACCTCCATCTCCGTTTTTACAACATTCGCGAAGCGTTTAGATGCGCTAACCGCTTCACGGATGTTGTCACTCCCCCTAACTTCCGCTATGTAGTATGTAGATGTAGTAGCTCTACATTTGCAAGATAATATAATTTGGAGGCCATGAATGCAGAGCACGTCACATTCAGGCTGCCAAATAATCAACTGGGCCACATCGAGAATTTTGGTTTACTATTGGATCATGCTGTGTACTAAACTGTGTGACTTTAAATTGATGGTCACTTCGTTGCAATAACCACGCCTGAACTACGTTTGTCATTAATTACTGATAGGCTGATAGGAAGCACTTTTTAAAAGAGTGTTTAGGCACAGTGGTGTTGTTGCACGTGACGAATAGATTCGTCAGTTTTCTGTAAAGTATCCAACCAGCTAATAAGCCATGGCCTCTTATTCGAAGGTCTGAGGTTTACCTCAGCTTCAGGTAGACAAAGAGATACTTCTGAATATTTTTAGAGGCTTCATAATAATGTCCAATGTGTATTATGTAGTGCACTTTTTCCGTCAGCCCAACTGCAAGGTAAGGTTTCTATATCTACAAATCAAACAGACTATAATTTTATAAAATTTGTACAGTGTAATTAAATTGATACTGACAATTTCAAAAAGAAGACGTATGTACCCTTTTATAGGTATTAAAACATATTTTGAGTATTTACAATATGCCTCCTAGCTAAAGGTATACAAACGAATTGGGTACAAAAATTGTTTTAAACACTAAATCAATCTTTATCGTAAACTTACGAAGAATTGGAAGTTAAATGAAAGAAGTAGATATTTAAAATCTAAGCTTTCCGACCGACATCAGTAATATTCAAACAAATACAAATTATATAAAGATTTTAGGGCACTTTTAATTTAATACTAACGAAATTTTCTGTATTTTTTTCTATATTAAGAAAATATGATTTCCACTATAAATATACAGATCACTAGAATACTTCTGAATTCTGTTCTGTACAATAAATATCATTCATTATACAAGTCATGTATGATAATGTAAAACAGAAAGTAAACTTAAGGAAATAATATATTTTAATACATCATTATTCATATTAGCATCATATAAGCAGTTTTAATACTATTTTACGAAATGTAAAAGCTTCTAGTATTCTATTTTACAAAAATAAATTACTAGGTGGATTCAAATGTAACTTACGTCAACGTCAGGAAAATATATCCTTGTTACATTAATAGAAAATATTATTTCAAAAGGAACAAATACTATATCTAATTATAGTTTATCCGACAGGACTATAAAAACGCTGCCTGCTTTGATCACCTAGGAAAAATGTTTACTTCAATTAAATATTATGACTAAATCATTCTTGAACAAGTAAAAAATTAGGACATGACTTCAAAGTACTTATTCAAATGTAACAGACTAAAGAATAAAAATAATGTACTTATTAGGTACCTACACTTACGAAAAATTCTTAAATAAAATTGAAAATTTCACAACAATGTATTAAAAATTGTAAGCTTTCAAGTTTATACGACAAAGTTCAATATTATCTACATTTTATAAGAACAAGATGACAATATTTTATTTGTTTACTAATTTAATATAAAGACGGAGTAAAACCTGCAGTAAATACATAAAAGTGCTAAGGACCTTCCTCTTACAATAATAAAACTCATTGCGGTTTACGAGTGCTCAGCTCGACAGAAATCACAAATTTCTCTAACTAGCAATAAGTACTAAAAGTGTACTCATCATTTTACTCCTACGAAATATATAATACCACAGTAAATCTTCTGCATTTTCATTCACAACCACATTTATAAAATCCATACTACTTCGTTGTGAACATAAGATTGCAGAACAAGCGTCAAAACTATAAAATAAAAATATTTTCAGTTACGAAATTATATTGCATGGACAGTACAGTCAAGTAATGACAGCACCCTGTGCAATCTTAGGCCATAATATATTTCCAAAACAACGTTACAAAATCAATATTGCATTTTTCCTAATGGCACTTAAGAAAATGTCATGAGTTAATACAAACTATAATCTAGACACAATAGTGTTTTACATTTGACACAGCCCAGGGAAGGACTTTAAAATGATAAACTATTTAATATATATCAAACATTCGAGTCGCACCAACCGCGCTTGCAAAACAAAACTGAAGACAACATTTGCACCAATTTGGTTCTCTTTCAGTACGTAACGATAATGTAGAATCGTCGAAACCGCAATATTTGCGTCAAATCCTTCAGACAGGATTGTAAAAGGCGTTAATCGCCAGCAAAGCTATGCTAATATTTATAATATTTTCAGCCAACATACTGTGGCTGTAAATAATAATTTATTTTACGATAAGAAAACCGTGTACACTTGCTAGGAACTTGTCGAAGTTATCTTGGAATCTGAGTTTGTGAGTCCTCAGGCCGTCGAAGAGGACTCCGTTAGTTAAGACGCCGAAAGCTTCCTCTAGTCGTGGTACGTTAGTGGGATCATTGACGGCGTATGCTTCTATGAGCTGTCGCGCTAGACCTTCGAGTAACGCTGGTTTAACGCAGGTGAGGGAATATATCGCTGCTCCTGCCGCGGGTATTGAGTCGGGAGGTATTTCTACTTTGATAATGAGCATGAGTAATAGCTCTGCAAGAGTTAGGAGGGACATTGCGTAAGGATTATCGTCACCTAGGGTTCGCACTTTGTTAGACAATCCTACAATAGTATCGCAACATAAAGTAGATACGTCGCAGGATACAGCTGTGAGTCCTACGCGTAACGCTGTCACTACCATGTTGAAGTCGTCAATGGGTAGATTCGTAAGCTGGAAAGAAAGAATAATTTGATTTTAATAACAAAAACCATTCTTAATATTGTCTAAAAATTAAGTTAAGTGCACGCACATCTTATACGGAGACAATAAAAGGGTGTATGAAAAACAAAATGTATTGGATATAAGCATAAAAGAACTGCATTGGATTAAAACAAATAAGAATTATGTCACCTAAAGGTAGTAAAACTAAAGTTATTCATCATTCAATTTTGACCTTTCTCCCCAAATGAAGTGAATTCACATTCCCGTAATTGCTTTAATCTATACTAGCGCCATCTTTCAAGTGCAAAAATTACAGACTTCATATGAATACGTTAACTACGTTAACTTGTAAACTAGGTGTCCAAGCTCCAGGTAGGTGGAGTGACGACATCCGCAAGGTGGCTGGCAGTGGTTGGATGAGAAGAGCTGAAGACCGAACTCAGTGGCGTGCCATGGGAGAGGCCTATGTCCAGCAGTGGACGAATACGGGCTGATGATGTAAGCAAATATAATGTAGTTATGTTACCTGGTCAGCGCTATCCAAGTCCCGGAGCATGCGGTAGGCGGCGGCGGCCAGGCCGGGCAGCGCCAGCAGCGGCGGGGTGACCAGCGGCAGCAGGATGCGCAGCCCGCGCGCGCACGTGTCGCCCGCGCCGCCAGATCGAGCCACGCTGCAGATCACTTCCATTAGGGCGCAGATATCCTGGTAATCATAATGTTGGTTTAAGTTTTGCTATCTGGAAGATATTTGTAGCTCGTAGTAAGGTGCGATTTCAGGAGACGGAGGAATTGATATCCATTTTTACAATGTAAAGAATCGGTGCCACCAATGGTTTAATTTAATAACACAAATGCATTCTTTCTGGACTTAAGGTTTAAGGATTTGAGGACTGGGAATTTGGTGATTGGAAATGGTGGGGGGGGGGATATGGTGCCTCCGGCAACCTCTAAGGCCTCTTAAGCTTACCTCGTACGCCTCTTCTTCAGCATCTTGAGGAATACTTGATATTTTTCCAGAATTCCACCTCATATAAACTTCAAAAGTTGTGTTACATATTTCCAAGAACCTGCAAATAAATAATTTGTCATTGAAAAAAGAATTCAATTATAAGTGGGTTTTAAATAAAAAATAATACAGTGTGATTAATTGATTACTACACACGATTAGGCTAGTTACAATCGATTACTTAGAATAAAATTATCGCGTTAACATAGAATTACTTATTGATCGATAAAATAATTTAAATAATAATATGTACATACTTATTAACATTCTGTGGCTGTACAGAATGTAGCATCCTTTTAGCGCTTTTAGCGAGTAAGTTGAGAGCTGGCAACACTACTCCGGGATAGTTGTGATATCTAAATATGATCCCTGGTATCTTGTCTAAGGCACCAATTAACATCATGAATTGTTCGTCCATTGTTCCGACCTGCGAAAAAGAACACAGCTGTCCAAAAGGAATTTGTTTGTTAATTTGAATGCAATGGATGAATGAATGAAACAAGATGTAATGTTATGTTAGCATAAAGATGAAATGGCATAGCAACATGCAGAATATTTAAGAAAAAATACATTATAATTACCTCAAGAACTCCATCAGTGACACCAATAAAACAGTCAAGAGTATCAGCGAGCATGTTGCGAACGGGTTCAGTGTCAGACTCCATATTTATTAAGTTCATTAGCTTTTCTTGTAGTGATACTGTGCTTGATAAAAGACGATTTCGGACGTCACCTGAAAATTACATATCACATAACATCACGCCTTTTATCTCCGAAGGGGTAGGCAGAGGTGCACATTACGGCCCTTAATGCCACTGTACAATGTAACATCCACTTTTCGTTCGTGGGTGCGTTTGCAAACACACAAGTTCTACACATGACACTCAAATCCGAAACAACAATTTGTGGCTCACATAAAGAGTTGTTCCGTGCGGGAATCGAACTCGCTACACGTCAAGCGGCAGCCAGTAACCCAGCATGTTAAATTGAAAAAATGACACAGCATAGGTCAGAGATGACGTCACTTTGAACCTAAACAAAGTAGTTTGGGCCAAGCGATACCAACGCCCTCTATACATACCTTCGGCATAAGTAGCTGCGATAGCGAAGGCTCTATGTAATTCCTTCCTCAATTCTCCCGGTAAATTGCAACCGGCCGCTTCCCATTGTAATAATGCAAGGAACTCCTCACACGTCGCCAATGGATTTTGCCTTTAAACAATAAAAATATATAGTGTTTGGTGAGAATACTTATAACTATTTACACTGCCAGTTTTGAAGATTGGCCATCAACTTCTTGTCTTTTTTGTGATACCGGTATAGAGCGGCAAAAAGCTATTCTATAGCTTTACTTGGTGAAAATAGCACGCTATATTTGATATGAATAAAGATATAAAAATATAGTAACTTTTTTATACTGCAACTTTCAAACGTAACGTACGAAAAGAATAACAAGAAGCACACGAGCTAGATTGATCAACATCAGTTCTATTGACTTTTATTATTGGAGGCATTTAGGTCTGGTTCTGGTTATAGATGATAGTTTTTTTTTATGGGATAAGCCGATAAACAGGCAGACGAATCACATAATGGTAAGCAATCGGCGTCGCCCATGGACACGTGGAACACCAGAAGCGTTACAAGTGCGTTACGGGTCTATAGTAAAATTATCAAATGACTTCTATCTATCTATCAGGGAGTGTCCGATTCTTACTGACTAAAAAACCACCTCGTTCCTACGCCTCCCTTCGAGCCGGAACCCCGGCAACCCGTTAAGTCCTCCGCGGCTCCGTATAGGAAATACGGTGTTTGACAACATTCAAAATTCTCTACAAAATATGGATATTCTACGAGATAATAGTCTAAAGCAGGGTTTCCGAAACTATGGGTCGCAACCCATTGGTGGGTCGCAAGTGAAATTTTTGTGGGCCTTGTCTGTATAATGACATGCTAACCAACCATTCTATATTTTACTTTTTCTATTGGTAACAGTTTCATTTCCTAAAAGTGGATCCATAGAGTCTGCTACCCCCCATGGGAGACAGCCATGATGTTATGTATATATGGGTCCTGAGGTTTGTAACTTGATTTAGATAGGTCGTAGTCTTTACAAGTTTGGGAACCACTGGTCTAAAGGACACCACTTTTACTTTATTTTAACAAAATGATGTATAATTATTATTAACATACTTCACAAAATAAAAAAGAAGAAGAGGATTGTTGGAGATTCAGGGCTTGGGGAGATTGTTAATGAAAAGGTGAGTATGTGAGACTTACTTGTGCTGCGAGTGCGCCAGCGTGGTGAGTAGTTGCGTGGCGTGCGCGGCGGCGGCGGGCTGCGCGGCGTGGTGGCGCAGGCAGGCGGCCGCGCGGCCCGCCAGCCGGGACACCGTCCACGACACGCCGCGCGACCCGCGCCCGAACGCACACGCCAGGATCGGGGACATCTGGGAAAACGAACGCTCTCTTACTAAGCAATCTTGCTGTACGACCCAACCATTATTTATTTACTCAATTTTCAACTACTATTACTATAATTTTGACTTCTAACATGAAAATTGCATGCCATGTCTTAAGTGCAACCTTATCTTGTTAATCCTATATACATGCACCTGTGTGTGTTTTTGCAAATAAATGATTTTGATTTTTCATTTGATTAACATCATACAAATTAGTTGAAAATCAACTGAAAATAAAGAAGTAAAAAGAACTCGAAGGAGAAACAAGATTTTATCTGAATAGCTTGTAAAAACAAAATTATGGACATGATGGCATCTTGACGTAGATATTCAAAACAGAGCAATACCGGAATTTTTAAAGACACCATCAACATGAATGCATGGGTTTACAATACAATTCTTAGTTACTTTGTTTCGTTGGTTCAACTACATGAGAACAATGTAACAACAATATTCAGAAAAAGAGATAGAAAAAGACCTTACACAATTTTTATACATACTTAAATGATTTAAAAAAAATGTATATATCATCTGTTGATGCTATTGCTATAGAACATGATATTTTTTCATAAAACTTACCTCAGAATAAACAGAAGATTGTGGCATCAAGTACGAATTGGCCCATATCTTGAGTAACCATGAGATAGTAGCGGATAATTCTGGACTGAAGACACTGCCTAACCCGGCTTCCAACGCTGCGCATTCCCATGCATTTATGCGCATAATTTCGCCAATAAGCCTGTCGGAAGACATAGAAATAGTCTATATTTTTATGTGTTTAAAATAAAGTATGAAAGTATTGGAAGTCGTTAGTAAAGAGGTTGTAAGTACAAGCAAATGTCGAGTAAAGTGATTCAAGTTAGATTCCCAAGTTAGGCAAAATATGACATGTATATAGTGATTATTTGTTTTAGACAAATTCACGTAGATGCAGTCCTGTTATAACAGTAATAACTTTGTATTATTATTATAATAATTTAGTAGTGTGCATTGTAATTTAGTAATGCATATGTGAGCACCATGTTGGACTTTAAGTTAATTTTTATTTATTTTTTTTTTTTTTAATTTTTGTAAGTTATTAGTATAATGCGTCAAGCGTGTCTTTGCATTGTTCTTACATATGCGTACAGTATTGAAATATGTATCAGAGACATTGTAGAACATACTTTTTTTAAAAAGAGTAACGAATGGAGTTTCTTGCTCGTTCTTCTCCATTCGAATCTACTTTTTGGAATGAGCACCTAGCTTCACCTAGTTTCACTGACGGACTGACTGACAGACTATTATTTATTTTGTATTTGTTGACGTTTCAAAAGCACCAAACTATGGTTTAATTGAAATAAATGCTTTGACTTTGATGTTATGTTTATGTTTAATCCGTAATTTTTAGTTAATGAAAAACTCAATTTTAAGCAATAATTTAAAACAAATAAACAAATCAAAAAAATTAGTTCAAAATTGGTTTACGAAAACATAGTCTAAGTCTAGTATAAGTTATACTGTATAACTTTTAGGTCATGGGTCATTTAAATATACTTATTTATACTTAAATAAGTTCAACTATTTTACATATGAAGAAAAATAGTAAAAGACTCCTAGGCGTTTAAACACTAAACAATTCTTCTCGTTAAGATGTTTAACAAAAGATTTTCCTTGCATTGTTATACTGTACACAATATTTTACATAAGAACAGTATTCATGCACAAAGAAACGTACAAAAGGCAGGATGTATGATAACATTTAACTTCCGTTTATGTCAGATGCATAGGTGAGATAGAACGAAATGAGTCTTTGTTAAGTGCAACAAAAACATTGAATAGACTATTGGAATTCGAAATATGTAACACATTTTCCGCCTGCGAATTTTCCGCCCGCGTGGAATCTATGACATTTTATTTTTTACAGAATAAGCCGGTAAACGAGCAGACGGATTACCTGATGGTAAGTAATCGGCGTCGCCATGGACACTTGGAACACCAGAGGCGTTACAAGTGCGTTACCGGCTTTTTGGGGATTAGGAGTTTGAAGATCGTTGGGGATTCAGGGATTGGGGAGATTGGGGAAGGGGAGGGTAATTGGGCCTCCGGTAACCTCACTCACACGACGAAACACAACGCAAGCGTTGCTTCACGTCGGTTTTCTGTGAGGCCGTGGTATCACTCCGATCGAGCCAGCATTCGTGCCGAACCATGGCTCTCCCACACTTGAATGAATGATTATCAAAAATATTTTTTAGATTAATAAAGCTACGCTAGCAAAGTTGGTTTGATAAGAAACACAATTCTTATTAACATCTTGGAGAATTCTGTCGCGGCTTATACTAAACCATAGGCGTACATAACATCACGCCTTTTATCCCCGGAGGTATAGGCAGAGGTGCACATTACGGCACTTAATGCCACTGTACAATGTAGCACCCACTTTTACTATTTTATGTTATGAGTCCCATGTAATAGAAGGTGAGCCTATTCCCATATACCGGGCACACTTCCAGACTCCGTGGTACTACTGAGAAATTAAAAAAAAAACGCAGTAATACTTTGCCCGACCCGGGAATCGAACCCGAGACCACGACCACTGGGCCAACGAGGCAGTAAACCAACCATCGGCGTAATCATACCTAACCACGATACCGAAGAAAACTCATTCTTGTGTTAAGGTAGAGAACTTACTTGAGGATAGAATCAACATTCTCAGTGTCTGTCGTTTCCCCAACGAGATACCGAAGTGAGGCATCGATATTTGCGTTCTCCCTCAAACTGAAGTGGATGATCTCTGAGGGAATCATCACTGTTTCACCTTCTGTGCAGTCGACGGCTAGGAAATGACCTGCGGAAATAAATAAGACAGATTGTATCTCAAGATACTTAAAACCACCATGGCGTGTTATGTTTCGTAGCGACTGTTTAGTAGTCAAAGTCAAAATATTTTAAATCAATTAGACCAGAGAGGCATTTTTAAACATCAACAAAAAAAATTAAAAGGAGTCCCATAGCGAAGAATGAGCAAGAAGCTCCATAGATTAGTCTTTTTCAATTAGGTTCACAATACAATTCTTTAGTTACAAAGTTTTATTGGTGCAATTGTTTGAGAACAATGTAACACCAAAAGCTAGTCAAAGTGGTTACTAGAAGTTATATAAAAGTCAACAACACACATATATGCCATAAAAAGGCCTGGAGCATATAGCATACCTGTGATCATGAGTATCCAGTGAAGATCTTCAAATAGGGTGACTAAGTGGCCCCCTCCGCTTATTGGCAGTTTCCCCATATGCATCAACTGCAGTTGACCTTCTAACCTGTTAGTAATATTATTGGTTAACACACTATATCTGAAAGAACTTTATAATGAGCATAGTCAAGTTTGTTACTGGTTACAAACATCTTTAACTTTTAAAAACTGAAAATAGGTTGGGAATGTTCTGATTGCACTTACATGTCATTTTTTAACATTGTTCTACTACACTAGGATATTCTCTTGTATGTCTGATTACACATATTCAATCAGAAATTATGTCAATTTCAAGATAACACAAAATAATTATCAGTGAGAGTAGCATACCCCCACCTTTTTGCATGGCAATTAGTTAGCTAGTTGGCCTGGTTGAAAATTAATAATGTTTTTTACCGTTTACTCCGATCCTGTAGTAAGGTAAAGAGCACATGGCAGCAGTGAGCTGGCGCCTTGCGAGCTATAGCCCCGATGGTCATCAGTACATTGCTATGCAGTTTACGCTCATCTTCTTCCAACTCATCCTTTATGTCTTCCTCTGTGTCAGCTGGCCTGAGAATGTGAATAACACCATTAACTGCTGCACTTAGGCTTCTCTAGTAGCAAGCTGTTGAGCTCAATTTACAGCTTAACAGTATTATTATTTTTACAGTATTCAAAGATGTTAAAATCGAGTTCAAGTGAAAGTTGCATAGTACCTAGGAGTGCAATTCCCATCTCTTCAATCGTATTTTATTCGTTTTAAAAGCATCTTTATATAGGAAGTCTTTATGTATTATATTTTATTGCGAAGAAATGTTGCTTATGATGATATTTAATCAAACTACATTTTTTATTTACCATTGCATATGCTACAAGTATAAAACTGAACACATCTTGATAAGGCTGACTGATAAAATATGAGCAAATAATATACTAAAAATGTTTAGTACCTTGTGCCATCAGGTGGCGCCAGTCGGCTCTGTAGATAAGTATTGAATACCTCAATACATGGATTCATTAATGTCTCATTAGAGTAACCATCAGATTCGTGAACTAATGAGCTCCAACTATGAAGGAACTTGTTTAATGACTCCCTCCATACTGTATCGTCATTTACCCCTTCTTCAATTACCGATCCTCTGATACAATGACACGTAAGCGTCGTCAAGTTCTGAAGAAACGCTGGTGGCGTCGCAGCTATCATCGCCGGCGAGAAGAATTGAATCAATCTCCTGTATATATCAGAGATCCCCAGCATTTCTCTCTCGACTGGTTGAATGTACGCCATCATATTCAGGAAACTGTTCACGTAGTTCTCCAAATACTGCTGTTTCAAGTTACTTGCGGATACCACCACACCACTAAGACTAGCTAGCTGAACTAAGCAAGTGAGTGAGGGGCTAGCTAAGTCAGGATTGGACCTGACATACATGTGTATCTCAAAGAATAATGCAAGGAGTTCAGGTTGCATTATCGTGTCTCGCCAGCTCAGGCTTAGTCGTAGTGCAGGGGCGGTATCGCTCTCGTAGATAGCCTCAAAAGCGCCGATCAATCTTTTTGACAATAATGGCGATACATGACTCCAACACAATACTGTCTCCACTATAGTCAGTAATTGCTTTGTTAGCAAAGCTTGTTCCCCTTCAGGTCTAAGCCCAGAACGTACAATTTGTTCTAGGACTCCTACCGTAAACCTGAAAATCCTTTTCAAATCTAATGCTTCAAAGGATTTCTTCAGTCTAAAATGGACCTCCCAAATTAAGCCGACGTCAGCTGATTTAACTGTAATTGCAAATTCTTGCATAATGGCCAGTATAAGCGAACAGGCCAACTTTTGATGGCTAATTGGTGAGCTAAGGATAATCTTTTCTAACTCAATAATCAAATTTTTCCTCTCTCTTCCTCCATCGTCAATGCTGCCTCTCTTGATAATAATGGCAATTGTCTGAAAAATAATGCACATTTTAGTAAAAACAATATTGAGATTATTGAAATCTTGAATGAAGACTGCTGCTTTAAAACTAAAGGAATTTGTCTCAAAAGTGTAATTTAACAATACATCCTGTAATTGTGTTTGAGAAAGTTGACGAATTGACAAATTGAATATTACCTGCAAAAGCTTTTCCCTTAAAAATGGTGGTGCCTCCTTCCTCAATAAGTAGGATAGTAAATATTCTCGCAATGAGCTGACATCGTTTTCTGTTAGCAGTGTCCATTCTCTAATGAGAGCAGCTTTCAACAATCCCGCTGCTTCAAATAGTACATAGTCTGATGTAGATTTCTCTAAAATTTCTCGACACAATTGATAAGGGTTTTTGGTGCTTCGAAACTCGAGAAATACACTTTCGGCTTGGTGACGTTGCTCAGATGTCACCATTTGTGGTGGTGCCTACAAAAAATTAAATAAGGAATCATAAGTAACATAATATTAAGCAAGTATATTATACAATGCTTAACACATTAAACGCCATGGGTTCACCGATGACTGACATTGCGGAGGATTTGCCTTCAGCAGTTTTTATTGGCACTCAAAACCTTAATGTCCAAATATGTTTGAGCATTGAGGTGTCAGTGCAACCCCCAGTCCTTGCAAGATTGGAAATGAACAAAATATACTAATTACAGGAAAACTAAATAATAATTACCTAATTACAAGTAACAAATAGGTATTATAATACTATTACTAGAGTAGTAATTAGTCATAAGTTGCAGAGATTGCAAAGAAACACTGTGATTTAACACCTATTTATTTTTAAAACTCTCAGTTATAAGAGGCAGATTGAATTTAGTATTTTTGGCAATCAATCTACTACTATGTAATTGTAATGGCTCTATAATCAATTGCAATGGCCAAGATATAGTTTTTTAGCTATACTTACAACTAGGCTGAATGGCTAAGATATAGCTGTTTAGCTATTATATATATATAGCTTAGCCATTCAGCCTAGTTGAAGAGAGAAGAGCAATGTTTACCTACATGAAATAAGATTGAGTTTTATTATATCTGATAGGTCAATGTTTGATCACTATATCGCCTGGAAGAAAGTGACGATGCGGCCTACAATCAAGCACATCTGCCTACACGCAACCTACCTCATCAATCACATTTTTTTAGTAAAGAAATTATTTTCCTAAGATAATATACATAAGTACAACCAAAATACATAAGAAAGATCATAGAAAGCTATTAAGATTGGTTGCCCATTAACAAAAATGTATGTTACTAACCAATTATGTTATTTAATCCCTAATGTTTAAGCTATGGAGGTCAGAGGGCAAATGCTTTGTGTTAAATACAGCCTGTATAATAACTGTCTATCTTGTTTAAATTCATTCGCTTGAACCTCTTTACAAACTTAATCCTAATTTGTTAAGATAGTGAGTTAGTTCTTTGTGTGTCACATTTTTGAACGAAATAAACAATGAAGAATGTTCCTGGAATTTGTATTTTTAGTTTTTTTTGTTATCAATGTTTTAGTGATATTCAACATAATATAAGCTAGTAATCCTCATACAAATAAATTTTATTCAATTGTATATTCAGAAATGTGTAGACTGAAGAATAAGTTAATTACCATGCTTTTACTGAAAAAAATGTTTTGGGGACATTAATACCATGCATACAATACCACCACAAGCTAAATTGAACTGTATTTTCATATTAATAACTAATAAAATTTATTGCCAAAAAATCATGTGGTGTTATTTTTATAATGGTCTTTTTCTGAAGAAAATGTTGTGAGAATAGGTTTATTAAGTTATCTCATTATAGTGGCAACCAAAACAAATACTTTGAAAACCTGGGAAGAAGACTGTTGTTTTAAATTGTAGAAGCAAAGTATTTTCCTTAGAAACCAATATTTTCTTACCATCAACATCTGAGCAGCCGCCTCCAATGTTTGTATAGCAGAATTATCCATTGTATCACTTAATTTTTAAGATCAATTTATAAAAAAAGATGAATGAGAGACAATACTTAAATCACTTATGAAACGTGTTAATAAGTAAATCAGTTGAAAAGTCACATAATTATTGGAGAAAAACACTCAAAATATTACGAATTTATTTCGTAAATTTTATTACATGTCCAAATTGTCAACCATTACAATGACTAGCCACAGATACTAAAATGCAGAGGCAAGCGATCTATCAACATTCAATTGCTAAAAATCTATTTAGCGTTTTATTACAGTGGTTTTAAGGTACATATTCCTTTGCTGTTTATTAGATTAGCGACATCTGGGACAGGCGAACATAAATGAATAGTGTTTTCATTAGTGTTGCCAGAAAGAAAAACTAAAAAAAATGAAATTAAAAATGTGATTGAGGAATTTAAGTTCAGTAAGTTTAATTGAGTTCAACAAAGCAACTTCTGGATTAAACAGAGATTTTTAAGAACGGTTGATTTGACTTGGAATCTGCTTGAATACTTATGTCACCAGCCACTCTAGTTTGTTGAGTTCTTGAGAGCTAGACATCTGGATCCTCGAAAGCAGTAATTGTGGGTTTTAGTTTGGTACACATACGAATAAAATACCTACATATTACATAGGTAACACAATCACATTATCTTTGTGATAAGCTTCTAGAGTAGGCTCTAGAGATCTAGGCTGCGTCTCTTGGACGAAATATGGTGAGCAAAAAAATGGTAGCCCCCATTGCGGGCAAGGGGTCTTAGCTTTGGTTTGGGGTCGGGCAAAAGGAGCAAAAGGACTTGGCTCGTTTTATTTGAAAATTCTCATAATGGACACTTCTAAAGAAGGAGCAGTTTGGACCTGGTAGATATACAGGATTGAATTTTGTAATGCCACCTGAAGGGGAAGTACTCTTAATACTTAAAAATAGAAAATTGTACTCAAAGAAAATTTTCCTTTATTTTTGAAAAGAAAGAAAACTGCCTTCATATTTTTAAAATTCGCTTGCCGCACACGGTACTCGAACCGACAAAAATCTGTATAAGTTGCACCCTACATTTACTGTATTGATTGTTAGGGTCAATAAGGATGAAATCTCTCTATCAAACTTCACAAATTTAATGAAAGGAAAACCATGAACAAGCGATGCAATAAAAGTACAGGGTGCAAACCGTGCAAACTTTGACAGATTTTAGTCGGTTCGATTACCTAATTTTTAAAATCTTTGAATGCAGTTTTGTTTCTTTTCAAAAATAAAGGAATGTTTTCTTTGAGTAAAATTTTCTATTTTAAGTATTAAGATTATGAGTACTTCCCCTTCGGGTGGAATTACAAAATTCCACCATGTACCTATATGGCAACAGGCTTAGACAGTCTCTTACATGGGATTTATACCTGGCGAAAATTGGGAGTTATACATGTTCCTCTTACTTACTCCCTTAGAGATTTAGAAGCGTGTTGCTTTGTTAATAAACCTTTAACACAAGTACCAATCATTTTCTGAAGGCGATATTACATTGCATTTAGGTATGATGAAAATGTAGGCAGGTATATAGTGGAGCAAAATAAGGTCATTATAACTGTAGCGATTGATTATAACTGCTACAAGAGTACCTATCTAAATTCTATAACGGGGACATTTTTATTATATCAGTCGAACTAAAAAAAGAACTGGTTTAATATTGAAATTAGGAAGGTAATTTAAAAGAAAAACCTGTTTTACATTCTCATTATATAGTTAATATTTTATTGTGCCGAAGTACTACTATTTAAAGAAATTCCTAGACTTTTTACCATTTTACTTTCATAGTAGTGTATAATAATAATACATGCGTAATAATAAACTATTTTGTTTGCTATACAACTGTTGGGTTTTACTTGTCCTTCATGGTTCACTGGTATTATTATACAGCCCATTAAATATTCATATACCTACTCATATTTATTTACCTACTGCCCATTACCGTCGACCAATTCAAGATTTTTCTTCCTCAATCATTTGCAATCGTTTTTCTAACAAATGCTTGTTCAACTTATGCATACATAAGTACTGGCCATTCAGAAATAATACAGGTATGTCATGCCTGTACAATCTCAACCACCTTAAATTTTCTTTTTCTGTGATATCTACTTTTTGGATAATTAATCTATTTTTATAGGGTTCTAATTCTTCCATGACTATATCACATAGTCCACATGGGTCTTTAGTATAAAAAGTCAAAACTGGTGGTCCATCTGAAGTGTGTGCTCTGGAATAGTAAACCAAAGCAACACATTAATAATAATAAAAACATTTATAAAAAAATATTTTATTGATTATTCAATCATTTATGCAATAGAATACAATCTTAACACTTTTCCATATTGTAGCTTATTTACAAAAGATATGGATATAAAAATTACATATTATAATTATCAACAATATATTAAAATATTTAACTTTTAAAGCTAGCTAGCAAACAGACAAACCATTCATTAATAGCAAATAATTCCTAAAAGGCACAGTAGATAACAAAACAAGGTGGTCAGAACATGTTGAAACTTACAATTTCTCAATCATGATAGATGAGGCACCACCACCACCGTTACAGATAGAGGCTACACCCTTTTCACCCTTCTTTAGAGCATGGCACAAGTGCACTACTATTCTTGCTCCAGACATTCCAATAGGGTGTCCTAGACTCACAGCTCCTCCATGAATGTTGACCTTGGCAGGGTCAAGATCCAAAAGCTTTTGGTTGGCAACAGCAACAACACTGAAGGCTTCATTGATCTCCCACATAGCTACATCATCCTTTTTGACACCAGTCTTTTCTAAGAGCTTAGGAATTGCAACAGCTGGTGCAATTGGGAAATCAATTGGGTCACACTCTCCATCGGCATAGCCAACAACACGGGCAATGGGTTTAATATTCAGTCGCTGTGCAGCTTCAGCAGTCATCAGCACCATGGCAGCAGCTCCATCATTCAATGTTGATGCATTACCAGCTGTTACTGTACCATTTTCCCTTTGGAATACTGTCGACAATTTAGTAAACTTTTCGAAGTTAATCTTTTTGTACTCCTCATCTTCGGCAAATAGTACTGGAGGGGCACCTCTCTTCTGAGGTACAGGGACTGATACAAGTTCATCAGCAAAAGCTTTAGCTTCATATGCTGCAGCACTCCTCTTGTAACTAGAAATGGCATAGTCATCCTGCTGTTGCCTACTAATATTAAGTTTCTTTGCTGTGTTTTCAGCGCAGTTACCCATATGGAATTTGTTATATACGTCAGTCAGACCATCAAACACAATACCATCAATTAATTGTATACCTCCATATGGGGTTTCGCCTCTCTTCAAATAGTAAGGTACATTTGACATAGATTCCATTCCTCCGGCTAGTATTACATCTTGAGAACCAATTTGTAAGCCCTGTGTGGCCAACATGATGGATTTCATACCAGATGCACATACTTTGTTTACTGTTGTGCAAATAGTACTTTTAGGAAGACCAGCAAAAATTACCGCTTGCCTTGCAGGTGCCTGACCCATGCTAGCTGAGCAGACATTACCCATATAGACCTGCAATAGAAAAGGTAAGTTAAAAGAGTATATTTTATAAAAGAGAGGTTTGCCTATTTATACAAACTATTCTTTCTTCCTTGCCGGTTAACTGTTGGTTCAAGTCTAAGAAGTGTAGACCCTATTTAAATAGTATTATTTGAAATAATTTTGAATGTAAATAAAAGACGATAAGAACATAATGATAATATAAAAATTAAGTTGATTATATTTTCTTTCATCATCTTTTCTTTTATAATAACACCAATTAACAACTTTTGTTTATGTAATAGAAATTAAATTAAATAATAAGTATTTCAGTTAGCAATTAAAATTAGTTTTTTTGATAACAAACACATTAATGATTAGAGATATTGTAATCAACTTTAATCTTGTCAGAAACATGACAAATGACTACAGATTTTTAAATTACAAATGAAGTGATTTAACTTAACATTCTTAGTATGTTTAACTGTTCATGGCGAAATAATAACTGTAAATCAATGGAAAACATAGAGAGAAAGTAGGCTGAATGAATTAACCTCTTTAATTTCTTCATTGGGAACTCCAGCTCTTTCCACTGCTGCTTTGACCGCAACAGCGCCAAGTTCCGAAGCTGAGAGACTCGCCAAACTACCCCTGAAGGAGCCCATGGGAGTCCTCACTGCCGACGCGATGACCACATCGTTCAGGGAAACTTTGGATGAATACGCTGCCATCGCTTCAAAAAGCTGTATAAATCAAACAGTAAATTAACAAAACTAACTTATTGACTCGTAACAACTATGAAAGTTTATCAAGTTAAATATTATTAGTATTCTCGGAGCCCAGTGACTGACTAGGCAGACCAACCATCTACGACTGACGAAAAATAAACTTAACTGGGTAAAGAAAGACGAACCTTATTTGTTGGGCGCATTTTGATGGTAATTATTCTACTTCCTTTTAAAAAAAACATGATTTATTCTTTTAACAACTATTGTAAATATTCTCAAAGAAAAGGCACTGCCGAACTGATAGAATATGATAATGCTTATCACTCGCAATTTATAAAAAAAACATTTACATAAACTTATCTATTTCAGATACCCCACGTACTTCGAAATTTCTATTTAAAATCTTAATGTTCAGAAAATAAGGCTGAATATCGTGACAAAGTTAATAATTAAGATTATACGAAAAGATACTTTGACCCATCGATTGTTCATGTCAGCTAAAGTTAGTTATTTTTATTACAGAGGAACAGAATATTTTTTGTATCAAGTAATGTAGAGTTTTAATACAAAATTATAATTTATGGCGTAAATAAAGAACACGTACATTATTTAGTTTTAAATTATTTCAATGTTATTGCTAAGACTTTTATTTTATTGATTTAATGAACAATAAAACGAACATGCGCAGTGGTAAACGAAATAATAGCTGTCAAACGTAAGGATGTTGATGTCAAATCTTGACAAACTGCCAACCTATTCTAAATCTAACTGCGAGGAGTTTAGAGTCGATTTTCGTTATTTACTACACGATGGTTGACAACGATTTTGACGTTTTAATAACAAGACTTTCAAGATGTAGTTTACCTCTCTAATTCCTCTTTCCGATTCCGATTTAATTCTACTCTACTAAGATGAACAGCCGTCTAACAATAATATAGACATATTTGATATTATTCTACTATGTTATTTTGTGACTATCATTTTACCACAAACGGCGCATTGCATTTTATAATCCAGGCTATAATTACCTCAATATTTTAGAAAATATTATAAAAAAGAGGTTATTGTTATACTAAATATATTTATTCCCATACCATTATTCTATTTTTTTATTGGGCAGAAGTATTAATGAAATATACGGAGTTTTATTTATATAAAAATTATAAAATAATTGTTTAGTCGACTACTAATTACTCACTTAACGATTTTTAACCTTACAATTTCAAATCGACTACAAGTTTGACAAGTGAGTGGTCTTAGAAATTTTAGGGCGCTTTCATTCAAGTACGCCTCTAGTGCGTACCTGCTGGTACAAGTCTCATGTAATACTTTATTGTACGTAATTTACTCATTCACCCACGAAAACATCACTGGATTACATTTATTTAGTATAAATAAACAATAAGCAGTTATCTTCGAAGTTAGTGAAACAGGTGATCTGTCATCCTTTTACTGTTAATAATGTTATCGACAGCTGACAAATTGAGAGGCTAGATTTACCTTTACAACAGCCAGGAAATCAGGTTAGTGTTTTAATTTTTTTATTGTTATTCTGTTATTTTAAAAAAGTTCTACTATGCTGGGTTCTGATGTCACTAGACTGTAAACTAGTACTTGGTGTTTTATATATTTGTTGTAATTTATACTGCAAGGCTAGTCTAGTATAGTAAAGTCTGTCTAAAATTTCCCAATAACTAAGTATCCATCAAATTCTAGATTTCTAAAGGTTGTTTTTCTATCCTCATTAGTAGCTTTCTTTTGTTTTTTCACTAAATTACCTGCAACGTTTTCTAAATTTAAAAAGGATCTGCCAGTTACTTACTAGGTAGTTTTAGTAAAAAAATAAACGTCAGTACATTGCCAGTCTAAGTACTAAAATAAATATTAAGAATATTTGTATTTAGTGCTTAGACACTATTTTAGTGGTACTTAAAACATAGCTACTGTTGTTTTGAAACAAATGTGTAATCAATGATGTTGAAACATGACAATAATGATGTAACACTAGTAACATAATATATTTATTTCAGTTAAAACAAAAACCTATCAGTGATGTATCGATCAATACTTGAAACCAAAGAAGCTGGCTATACATTCCCTAGACTAAATTTATCTGGACCATGACCTATCTAAATCAAGTTACCAAACTCAGGACTCATTATTAATAATTGAAACCATTTTCAATATGAAAATGTAGAACAAAAAGTAGAGTATAGAACAGTTGGTGACTTGGTTAGTGTGTCAGTGTACAGACATGGCCCACTAAACATTTGCTTGTGATCCACCAATGGGTCTTAACCCATAATTTGGGAACAAATATTGCTATACATATAAAATCTAATTTTCATAGTTTTGTTGATTTTGGAACAATGACCAGTAAATGACAATAGTCTCACTCTAATACATGACCTCGCTCAAAACGTAACTAGTGTAAACAGACAGACAGACTATTATTTATTTTGTATTGTCGATTTCAAAAGAACCGAATTATGGTCTCATTGCATCCCTGCCTGTCACCCTTGCCTGTTCAGGGAAGAGAAGGTGTCATGTGCTGTTTTTTTTTGGAATAGTAGATAAATGAGCAGACGGATCATCTGATGGTAAGCGATCAGCGCGGTCAGATAAACACCCGCAACACCAGAGGAGTCACAGGTGCGGTGCCCGCCTTTTAAAAAGGAATACAATCTTTTCTTTTTGTTTCTGTTTGTCTATTCAGTGTCAGAACTTCTCAGAAGGACCACTATAGAACCACTTAAAGTGTAGATACTTTCTATATTCTATATCCTGTTTCATTATGACTAATAATATTATTAGAACTTAGAAATGGCAAAGAACAGGTGTGTGATACACCTACACTTATAGGAGAATTATCATTAATCTCAAGTGTTGCATGTGATCAGATATTATCTATATTTATCTTTTATTTTCTTGCGCAATATTCCTCATTACTTTATCTATTGTAAAATTTATCACTGCATTGTGAAAGAAATTTAATTCAGTTTACATTAGCATTAATTTATTTTTCACTTTATCTTATTGTTTAGATATAGATAAGTTTATGTAACATTTGTTTTAATTGTATGTTTGTACATGTTTAAATATTTTGCCATGAGTTGGTAATTAAGTTATTATAGTTTATGATCAATTAAGGTGATGCTTAGACACAATGCATAAACATTGAATGGTGAGGGATAGAAGATGTAGCATTGTCTATTGTATGCATTTTTTTGCCATTGACGACACAGTCTAGTTTTGTTGTTGCAAGTGTAACATAATAATAACTTAAGCAATATTAAGTGTTCAATGAAAATGCGCTGTGAGTTATTTAATTGTAATTTTACTATTATCATTACTTGAAATTCATACTTCGCCTGATCTTATTTAGTTGGTGTGTGTGTGAGAAAGTATTTAAAAAGAGAATACAATATAAACCTTGCTAAGAGTTTTGAAAAATAATCCTGTTTATCCAAGTTCTTTTTTCTGTTTGATGAGATGAGAAGGAACATTTTTTTACAGTTATGTAGGCTAATTCACACTTGGACTGTCTGTGTGAATGCTAAAATAATTTTTGGCAACATGAAAACAGCATTGTTATCTATGTGTAACAAGAAATAATCCCAAGTGATTCATTTTTATGTACTGAGTGTTGTAAGCAGTACCTACCAGGCAGTCTTAGCATTACTGTGTTAACATTAAGCCACATTTGACGTATTGCCACAACCAATAATTAAGCTTATTAGCAAGTTAATTCATATGTAAATACGAACATCATTCTGCATTCACCAGCTAACCATGTACAAACTGTGGAAAATCATCACAACAAAATGTGCCTTTTTACTGTAAATTAATACAATATATTGTTCATTCTGGCAATGATAATTAGTGAAGTCCTTGTTACAGGGTCAACCAAGCGCGCGGGCTATGACTTAGGCCATGCTATAAAAATGGAAGTAGTTAATATAGGCGAAGGCCGGTATGAACAGAGTGAAAATGTACCGGGAAGCAGCATTGACAGCGACGCCTCTAGCAGCGCGTTCGAGGGCAACGACAGTGATCACTGTAGTGAAGACTTGGACAAAACATCCGAAGGTGACTTGAAAGAAGATCTGCAAAAGACAATACCAGAATGCTATAAATCTGATTCAAATTTTTCATCACATACCACAAGCATCACAAACGATGAAGAATTTCAGGCGACGGCTCTGTGCCAATTTATGGATATTTTAAATGATTTAGACGAAGTTTTAGATAAATCTTTACTTGCGTGCCTTGATGATGGCACGAAAAGCTTCGATAGTGATGAAGAAGATCTCATTTGTAAAATTAAGGAATGCATTGGCGAAGGTCAGGAGGAATCTGACCATTCAGAAGCCCAAAGTTCTCTGGACGACAATACTCAAGTAATAACATGCTCCAACGTACATCCATCAGCACCGCCTCTAGAAGAAATGGGCATCACATCCAGTGTATCTGAAAGATCCAATCTCACAAGTCTTGGTCGTTCGAAAAGTTTTTCAGAACTGACTGATAACGATCGACAGGCTTTAGTTTCATCATTAGAGAGAGCAAGCACGACAGCCGACACTTTGCGTAATTCAATGAGGAGATTAGACCCTATTGTTCTGCCGGCGATAACAGCTGAGTCGTCGTGCGAGCCTCTTACACTACCAGTGATACTTTTCCTGGAGCATAACATTAACATGCGCCCGACAAGCGCTCCCATACAGTTACAAGTAACCGCGGCAAATCTTAGTAGTGACGGTGCTTCGGGTCCTTTGATTGTGGGACGTCGTGCCTTACTAATGAATCGCACCCTTTCCCTTCCTTCGCCGGGAGAGAGTGATGTTACAACTGGAGATTGGACTGGACGGAATACAGCAAGGAGTACCGCAAGGAGCACCAGTGCATCGAGCTCGTCCACTGAATCGCTGAATGTTGCTCCCATAATCCAAAATGCTACAAGTGCCACTGAGGAGAGGTAATTATAAACTTAAGCAGTGTGATCTTGTGTTATAATTTTCATCTAAAGTTACATTGATATGTTCAGCAACCTTCGCGATTTGGTAATAATATTACTCATTTCGTTCTCAAAAATGAGGTCATAGGATATGATGTGATTTAATGACTAATCATTACAGTTGAATTTTCTTTAAAAATCGGATTAAGGAATGTGTTATAATGTTTTTGCAGAATTGAAGAGACTGAAGAACCTCCTTTTGGAGTTTGGCCACATCGTATGAGTGCCATGTTGGCGTGCCTCAGTTGTACCGTGGGAATATTTAATATATCTAGATTTGCCATATTCAGTGTTCATTTTGGAGGTAATGACTGAATGAAGACTTTTATGTAATTAATTGGATTTACCTAATTTCCTAGTTTGTGTAGGTACAATGGAACTTTTTTCTTGTTGCAGCAAGCTTCATAATACAGTTTTTTATACTGTCGTTTTTAATTGGTATACCGTTATTCACATTGCATTTATGTTTGGGCCAAGTGCTGGAGTCTGGCCCGGTGGACATGTGGCGTATATCACCGATATTCCAAGGCGTAGGTGTTTCTCTGCTCATTACTCAAGCCGTGATTGGCATGTACAGTATAATTGGCCTGTCTTGGATATTCGTTTACTTCAGAGACTCTTTCATAACATCAAACGACAGGTATAAATGGGCACTACCACAGGAATTCAACTTTGAAGGTGAGTCAATAATTGCATAATTAAATGTTTATTGTTTGGATAATGACAAATAAATTCGGTGATATCAATCAACAAGTGAAGCGGGAAGTGCGAATGAAGGTCAACAGTTTACACAATTACGTTATCCGTTAGCTGTGGAACAAGGAAATGGGGTCGAGCTGAGAAAGATTTTTTATGTTGCAGACGTTACAAAGAATGGTACTTATAAAATACAGGAGACATTGCCGCAGTATTTTCACGAGGAAGTTTTACAGAGGAATTTGGGGTCCAATACATCGTATTTCGGCACAATAAAGTTTCAAGTTGCATTCAATTTAGCTGTAGTGTGGATGATAGTGTTTGTCGCACTTAGTAAAGGATTGAGGTCTTATGGCAAGGTAACAGTGATTACAGCACATTGTAGTGTGGAGGTGATTTCCCACGTAACCATAACACGTTATGAATATAATTGCAGGCCGTATACATGCTGATATTCCTACCGATTTGCGGTACTTTGGTGCTGTGTACGAAATTGCTCACGTTAATCCCATACGACACTGTCATCAATATATTCGCTGAGACTGAATGGAGCGAGTTCTTCATTAATAGTAATGTATGAATACCTTGCTTTTTAATTTTAAACCTTAATATAAAAGTGATAAGGTCCTTTTTTCAACATTCTTCTTTTTCCAGAGCTGGGCAGCCGCTGCACAGGAAACATTCCTAACTTGGGGCCTTCTTGGTGCCTGTATAATGCAACTGACATCACATAAGAATGCTAAAAACAAAACGAACGTAATGCTTCAGAAGGAAAGTGCGTGCATAGTGGCATTTACCTTCGCCGTGTTGTTACTGGGATCGTTCTTAGCCAACACTTGCGTGCAAATATTGAAGAATTATGGATACGTTTATATACCGGGCAGTTTTGGTGAGTTCACTGTGTTACTTAATTTATTTATGGGGTAAACTATAACTATAAATCTTACTAAAACACGGTTTTCAGACTTTCACCTAAAATAAAGACTGTGAACTTTGACCGATTAGTTACGATTAGGCTTTTATTTTTAGGCTTAAACTGTTTATAGAGAGGGCAATTATTTTTATAACGATATTTAATGTACTATATTGATGATGGTGTGATAATAACGTTTAGCGTGTATAAATGTTTATATTTAAATAATCAGTACAAAATATTTGAAATGTTAGTAATCAATAGGAATGCTTAGCAAAACGGTCCGACATTTTAGGCTTGCGTTCTGCGTGCAATATCAATTTTGCGCTCAATTCTCTACGTTTCTTTTCTGATATTACTATTTACAATATGAAAGTTTGTTTGTTTATCTCAAAGGTTTTCTAATAGTAGATAGGTAAATAATCTACTATTTGGAAGCCTGCGCGGCTACCTAAGAGGTCTACCTCTGGTAGGTATCTGAAAGTATCTAGGCCAAAATTTTACGTGTGGGAGAGCCATGCTTCGGCACGAATGGGCCGGCTCGACGTGAAGCAAAGCTTGCGTTGTGTTTTCGTCGTGTGAGTGAGGTTACCGGAGGCCCAATTACCTTCCCCTTCCCCAATCTCCCCAATTCTTGAATCCCCAACGATCCTCAAACTCCTAATCCCCAAAAGGCCGGTAACGCACTTGTAACGCCTCTGGTGTTCCAGGTGGACACCTGGAATGGTGAAATGGTGGACCATGGGCGACGCCGATTGCTTACCATCAGGTGATCCGTCTGCTCGTTTACCGGCTTATGCCACAAAAAAATAAAAAATAAATAAATATGCTTCTTACAGTACTTATATTAAGTTATAAAATCTAATTGGACAAATCGGGTATAATAATAAAATGACTGAGGACTCAGTGTGAGTTTGTTTTATGTTTAAAACGAGAATCAATCCGGTCAATCAGAGCGTCAAACAAGGGCTCTGGTTGTTGTAGATACCTATGAGAGTATTAATAAACTATAAATACATACACTCTTAGTAGTTTTAGTGCATTATTAATTTCCTTTTATCTCATTCAACTAGGGCAGGGCTGTCCAAACTATATATATATACCCTCGCGGGCTTATTAAATTTCTTACAAAAGCTGGAGGGCCATAAAAATATTTTCATTTGTATAATTACGTTTAACATTGCATTCTTTACTCACAGACTAAACTTGCACTGAATTTTATTATTGTTGTTGTATATAAGATGAAAATGTTGAGATTAAAATGTGTGTCGCGGGGTACATGAAAAAGAGCCCGCGGGCCGCATGCGGTCCTTTCATTTGCACAGCCCTGAACTATGGCACTATACATATAGGGAATATACGTTCTTTCCTTTCAATGTTTGCAGATATCTCTATTCATTGTTGTAACGCAATCAATGAAGATGCCTATACGTACCTAGATAAAGTCTGTCCATTGTCTACCTATAGATATAGTAATAATAATAATTCAGTATTATCTATTACAATATGCTATTTCTTGTAGGTCCGCATTATTCACATTAATATCAGTTATTTACTATGAAATTAACAATACAACTCGACTCGTGATGCTAATCATTCCGTCGATGACGTATTGCTTTCGAGACACCTACTATTTATTTTTCTATGACGTGTTTAGGTGTAATTGTATTTAAGATAGAAAATAATATGGTTTTTATACACACGACGTTGTGTAGATAGAATCTAATTCTGTGTAAATAGCTAGAGTACAATATGTACTTTCTATTCGGCGGAATAATCGTCTATTGTTTTTGTCGTTTCTAATTTTGAAGCTATTTGGGTAACATGTTAAGTCACGCATTTGACCGTTGTGATTGTTGTTACTGCATTTACAGTTTCTTCTGTCTTAGGCTTCCTGTACATTTATGTATCGTCTTATTTTCTCATAACATTGTTACGGATGTGATGTGAGACAGTGTATTTAAATTAATAATGATACAGCCTCATCTACATAATACTTATTCAATTCTTAATTTTAAACTACTTTAATTTGTTGACGATCATTAATAAGGTTATAAACTACCTCCATTGATTAACTCACACACGTCACAAAACGTAACGACTGTAGTTCGGTTCCCTGATTTTTCAGTAATAACTGACGAGTTTGAAATTACGCCGCGTGTTTGACTATAGGCTTGCCCCCTTTTAAATACATGTTTCATACATAAGTGCCAAAAGTGGGTGTAAACATTAAATACGACCTCTTCGGCAAATGCCTGTAACTTGTTCATATGAATGTGATTGACATAACGTTTACAAAGTATGTTTGTTACAGAGACGGTAAAAACAACACAATTCTTATGGCCCATCTCGGAGCCAATGCCAGGCAACGTGGTCTCCACACCAGTTCGGTACATGGGCCACTACGGCAGCCTAGTAGGAGTTACAGTATGGAAGACTGGCAACATTGCGCGCGTTCTCAGCGGGTGGCAACCCTTACAGCTAGCAACACAGATAGTACCAGCTACCCTTGCAGTGTTACCAGCTAATTTGGTAAGTTTACAGAAATATTGTTTAAAATGTTATAAAAAGATAAACTAAGTAAATGTTTTCGCTGGCCAGGAACAGGATTTCTAGTTTGATTTTTCCACCAAATCTTAGTATAAAAATCAATCAAGTAACAAAAATAAGCATATAACAAAAGAAAAGCCACTACCTTTATTCTACACTTAAAACAATACTTGAATAAATAACGTAATATGTTTCTACAAAGTATTATTTCATACAATTGATATGGTATGCGTTGCAATAAAACATGTAACAATAATTTCTCAATGAGTAAATTACACAAGTTCACATTACTTCATAGATCATATTGATTCTTCTAACTTACGTGTGTACTTGCATTAACTAATAATATTATCTAACTCGAACCCAATTGTTTCGTTCTAAACATTTTGTTTATCATACTCGTCCGGAATGCCTCGTTGCTCACGAGCGTGGGTACTGAGCAACAGTCTTTAATGATTCTCGGTGGGTACTATGGCAAAAGACTCATCCCGTATTACATGGGATTCTGTACATAACTCATAAAAGGTAGGGTCCTATTTAATTAACACAACAATACTTAACATAAATAGTGAAAAGTGAATGTTACATACAAAATGTCGTGGTGGCCCGGAGATTTAAGATGCCCGCTTCTCATGCATGAGGGTGCGGGTTCGAAACCTACCAACGGCAAGTACCAATGTGACTTTTTCCGAGTTATATGTACTTTCTAAGGTTATTTAGACACCACTGACAAACGGTGAAGGAAAACATCGTGAGGAAACCTGGGCTTATAATTTCTAATTATAAGTTTGAAATCGCCAACCCGCATTGAGCAAGCGTGGTGATTAGTGCTCAAACCTTCTCCGTGTGAGAAGAGGCTTTGCTCAGCAGTGGGCATTTATAGGCTGTTGATGATGATGATGATGATGATGATGAATGTTACATTGTACAGTGGGTACCTACAACTTCGGGGATAAGAGGCGTGATATTATGTTATATGTTATGTTAACAATACCTATGCCTTTTCTACCTCTGCTTACTCCTACGTAATAAAAGGCGTGATCTTGTTACATTACTTTTATGATACTCCATTTGCGCACTTCGCGATGTAATTCGAACGTCTATCTTTTTATTGCCAAGCCTTTGAAATATGGATTACGACCTTGATTTAGTTTGGCCTAGAATTTGTTTTACGACTGCTCTAAACTGGGCCTATTTGTTGTCCTAGCCTCGTAGTCTAGTTTTGGATTACTGTAATTTCTGGGATTAACAGTGTCAAGTATGGATTAAATGTGGAGTACTGTTGTTGTATGTGACTTATTCCGAGTTATATGTACTTTATAAGATTATTTAGATAGCGATGGTGAAGGAAAACATGGTGAGGAAACCTGTGCTTTTAATTTTTAATTATAAGTTTGAAATAGCCAATCCGCATTTAGCAAGCGTGGTGATAATGATCAAAGCTTCTCCTTGGGAGAAGAGAAGAAGCTTTTGGTTAGCAGTAGCCACTTATAGGCTGTTGGTTGATGTGATGATGTGATGTGACATAGTATCTTTAGCTATATCATAGTATCTTTTAGCTAAGTTCTACCTTATCAATAACAAAGTCTAATGTTGATATTTATTGGTTTTCTATGAGTTGTAAAATGTATAGAATTGATATCCCTATATTGTAGTTGATCAATAAACCTTGACACAAATAGAAAATAGACACAAATAATAATAAGATTACTAATTTTGAACAACTGAGAAACTTAATATCATCTCTAAGTTTGGCTCTTTCATCTGATAATCCGTAAAGTTAAAACAAAATGAATAGATGATAACTTTAACTTAATAACAACCTTTTAGTCTAGTCTGCTTTATGTTTATAACATTGTACAAACACTAATTATTGTAAAAAAATTAAGTTCCCTGGAAGATTGCCGCTTTCGATAACACCCATCTTACTATTATTCTATTCTATTTAATATTTCTTAATAATTATTTCCGTTATGTTATGCAAAGTTTACAATCAACAGTTTATTCTTAATGTGGGCGAGATACATCTGATAAATTGCATCACCTTTTTATGTTACAACAAAATTATAGCTCTGTGTTTCAAGTTTTTATCTTGTTTTCATTAGTTTACATAAATGGTTTGGGTAATAGAACTAAACTGGCATTTGGGAGGAGATGAATTCGTCCTATGTGAAAGCGAAATAATTTTAAACATATAATTATTTTTTCCAGCTATCTCCAGCATGGGCCGTGATATTCTACTTCATCATCATAATGTTTGGCATCGCGCAACAACTGGCGATATGGCACTGCGTCATCACTGGCATCATGGCGATCAATGCCGAAGCTCTCAAAGTATGGGAGACTACTATCACGTTCTTAAGCTGCGTGTTCGGACTGGCTATGGGATTGCTGCTTAGTACTGATGTAAGTATCTATTTGTTTACATACGTAATATAGATATTTATACTTTTTAAGCTCTGAAGGGATAAATAAGCACAGTTGTACATATACATATTGTTGTGACACCCACATTTCTGTGTTGTTGGCGGGGTATCGTTTCCCGCCCTGTGAAACATAAATTATTGATCCGGTGCGCGTATATGTAAATTAAAAAAAAACTTTAACTCCTGTGTATTTAATACTGGTTGAATCTGTTCCAAAATCTGTGCATAAGTAATAAGAATTTTTGAGAACCGGAAATCCGATAATATCCGTCCCAAAACTCGAAACCTGAGATTTCTAGCCCTGCTGTCAAAATTACAGGCTCTCCAGCGACGCAAAACTCATTTATATAACATCTGCATCTAACGGTTTCACCGTTTGGAACATTGCCAGATTTTCCTTTTATAAGAAACGTTATCGAGTCTTAACAAGTTGGCACTCTATTCCAATGTTAATGAAACTTTTTGTTTGGCGAAAATGTTTACCTCATGTTATTTACTTGTTAGGTACCCGAACCAGAAACACAGCATATACATAAGTAACTTAGCAGACTCATTTAGTCATTGTTCTATCGAATTGCTATCATAATCTTTATTGACATATTATTATACATGATGTTACAACATGTATGAAAATAGTTGACAGTACTTTTTTAAATCCCCACAACATTATTATATACAGAAACTCATCACTATCTACATATTAAAAAAATATTATTCATAAAGTAAAATTCGTAAATTCCGTTGGTGGAATGCCAGTAGCTGGGCAACTGACTGTCGCGCAACGTGTCGCGGGCTCGATTCCCCCACGGAAGAACTCTTTGTATAATCCACAAATTGTTGTTTTGGGTTTGGGTGTTATGTGTATGTAAAATGATATGTTTGTAAACGCACTCACGACACAGGAGAAAATACTAGTGTAGGGCAACGTTATCACTTAAAAAGTAAAAAAAGATTTAGTCTATTACTGATTTGACAGTAATTATAAAAAAATTTTTTTGAAATCGGTCCAAATGTCTTCGAGTAATCGAGTAACAAACATAAAAAATATACAGCCAAATTTAGAACCTCTTCCTTTTTTTAAGTCGGTTGACAAAGATACTAAGACCAGAGTTTAACACGCATATTTAAATGTGTATCCAAGTGTAAGTAAACGTAGAATGTGATTATCTCATTACCGTCTTTAGCTCTTTATCGATTGCGGTAAAGTCGTTGCGTCGTAGTAGTTATTTGTATGCGAAACAATTAACTTTATTTGACCTAATCAACCGTGCCTATAATGGCGTAACAGATGTTATTACTTTGTGTAATCTTTGTTTCATACGAAAGGAGAAACGTAATTATGATCAAAACTCATAATTAAGATATGTCTTTAACAAAAAAATCATTTTAATAATTGCACTGTCTAGTATTCTAGCATATTTGACTGTAGCAACCAGGTTACATGGGTTTTTAAATGGACTAACGGACAATAATTGATGTTTGAAATGGGCCCCTATATTGTTCGGTTTGGAATAAATACACCGTTTCCATCGTTTTCAGTTCAATAACTAAGACAACGGCGGTGTATTCCAAGTGTCACTATTCCCATATCGATCCATCGGCTTTACCTTCATTTCAAAGGTCAAGGACAAATGCATTACAAATTCATATTCAAAATATCAACAGCCCGTATTAAAGTTCACTACTGAAATTTGGCCCCTTCTATGCATAAGAAGCTTTTTATTAATTTCCACACTTGGCAATCGGGTTGGAGATCATAGATTAAAAGATTTAGGTCAACTAAAAATGGCGGGTTACTCACGTGTATATACTGAGAAAAGCTCTACTAGTTTCGAGCGACAGAGGGACTCTTCATTGTGAGCAGCGGTCGCGGCGATGTCACGCAGCCTACAGCAGGCTAGCTAGTAGAGCTTTTCTCAGTATTTTCACGTGAGTAACCAGCGATTTTTAGTTAAGTCTCACTATAATTATTATGAAAACAAGATTTAGGTTAACAGAAAGCGCTGCTGTCCAGTATTTGTGAAACGTAAGTCGGTTCTTGAAATATCTGGGGAAACAAAAACTAGGAGCAAATATTCGTATGTACTCTGTTGTAAGCACATGGCTTATTTAATGGCTAATTGGAATAATTATTTTTGTTAGAAGGTAAATTAAAAGTCGCAAAAAATAATAATGAATGTGTTTACTTAAACGTGCAATAAAGATGTAGATTTATTATTCCGACGTCAATTAACTTTGATTCATACAAGGCAAGACCTAAAGTATTACACTGGTAACTTAATAGGTTACTTATTAAAACAGTAGTATACTTTAAATCTGGTTGTAGAATTTTAAAGTTACTCTAGTTTGTGCTAATGAATTTTGTATGTAACCTAGATAGTATAATAAATGAATTGTACTGCTTTAAAGTATTATTTGTTAATTAAAATATTTTATTGTATTATTTGTTATTCCCGGGCAAAGTACTACTGGAGTTTTAAAAAAAATCGCATTAGTAGCACGGAGTCTGGAAATGAGATCGATATATGGCAATATTTACGAGAGATGGAAAGTGTGACGGGGATATTGAAAGGAGAGTGAAAGCGGGAAATAGTGTTAATGGTGCTTTACACTCTGTAATGTCGAGTAAAATAATATCCAGCAAAGCTCGACTTGCTGTAATGCAGTGTGTATTGACACCAACGCTTATGTATGGTAGTGAATCATGGGTGTGGCAGAAGAAGCATGAAAGCAGGATTAATGCGGTGGAAATGAGAGCCCTGAGAAGTATGTGTGGACTAAAATTGAGTGATCGAGTGAAAAATAGTGTTATTAGAGAGAGGTGTGGATTGAAAGACGATGTAGTGACAAGGATTGAAAAGGGAATGTTACGCTGGTTTGGACATGTAGAAAGGATGGATGAAAGTAGAGTAACGAAAGAAGTATACAGAGCGGATATGAATGGAGCCGTCGGTAGAGGGCGCCCTAGACGGACATATAGTGACCAGATTGGCGATATATTAAAGAAGGGCCAAATTAAAAGTACCCTTAACCGACGAGCATGCATGAAAAGATTGATGACTGTTGATGAAGCGAAAGAGGTATGTAAGAATCGTAGTAATTGGCGTTCCTTAGTCTCTGCCTACCCCCATGGGAGACAGGCGTGAAGTTATGTATGTATGTATGTATGCATAAATAGTAAAAAGTGGGTGTTACATTGTATAGTGGTATTAAGCGCCGTAATGTGCACCAAAGGTGTGATGTTATGTTTGTATTTATTGCACCCGTAATATACACATACAGTCGGTTAAGAAATAAAATAGTAATAACATTTTATTTCGGTCCTTATCAGTCACAGCAAAATTTTAAATTGGTAAGAGAGAGCAAGGGCGTTTTATTTGATTTAATGTCATGACAAAAATAATAAATCAAGTATTAGTCTCAGTGTATTGTAGTAAGTTCTATTTTTACTATGAAAGTTGTGCACTAAACATGCGTTGTTATGAATATTTGGTGACCTAAACATGCACACAAATGAGCAAGTGTATGGCTCAATTTTATAGACTCTGGAAAAGGATGTCCCTTTAGGGTAAAAAGGCCACGTTTTAGATGTGTAATGCGCAATGATAAAATTAATAATAATGACTGGCCTGTGCCCTCATCCCTTGATTGAAAATAGGCATCTAAAAAGCTTTATTTCGTAAAGTGATAATTAATACTAAACCTTTTAAGCTAATTAAATGAATAATCTTTTATATAATAAACTTAAATTGTCAACAGGCTGGCATCCGCATAGTCCACTTCATAGACTACGTATGGGTTGGTTCGTGGTGGCAATGCGTGATACAAATATCTTTAGCGTGTGGCGTGTTCGTTGTACGAGGTCGGCCATACTCGCCCGATGTGGTCGTGGCTGCGTTATACTCGTCTCGTAGTCGACTATCTGCTACATTGGCTGCCCTACTCAGCTTTACATGGACTGTTGTACTGCCTGTGTTGTTGTGTGTAAGTATACTATCCTTACTAATAATATAATATATAATAATATAATATATATATATAATCCTTGTCCTTATTATTATTAATATTATAAATCGGAAAGTGAGTTTGTTTGTTTGTTTATTTGTTCCGACTTCACGCCGTAACTACTAAACCGATTACATTGAATTTTTGCAGACGTAAAGTTAGTCGTCTGGATTAAATAATAGGGTACGTTTTGTCCCGAAAAAATTTGATATTCCCGAGGTAAAACAAAAGTATTGGTATAGATGGCGCTGTATGTATATGTCACATAGACTACTTTTTATCCTTTTGTGACGCGAGCGAAACCGCGGGTAAAAGCTAGTCAGCTCTAAGGCAAACCTAAATCTAGTGAACCTTTCGTTCTTCGTCCAATAGGGGTTTAGCCTGTGTCACCCAATTGGACGTTCAATATTTGAAAACTGCTGTGATTGGACTAAAACTCGTTCCTAATGTGCGCCATCTGATGACCAAAAATACGGTAGCCCCCATTGTACTAGTTATAACTAATGTTGTTCACATTTCTTGTTGAATGTTTCAGGCAATTTGCGTGATGGATTTCCGAGTGGGACAACAAAAACAGATGTACAGTTGGAGAAAACCAGCTGGGTATGTACCATGTTACTTGTTTTACAATTTGTATTATTTTTTCTGATGATATCGAGATCATCGTCATCAACGCCTCACACCAAAGTATTCTTAAAACATTTTTAATAAGTACCATATACCACCTTAATACACAAAAACGGAGTTTCCATCAGTTTGATCCTGACCCTTAATATTGTTAGATACGTTTGTCGAATGTAACCAAAAGGACTTAAATCATAAACCTATGAAAAGTAGCTTCTGCGAGTGGCTTTGCCCGCCTTAGACAGAAAGGAGTAACTCATGTGTTATCTCAGACTATAATCTAAATAATATGCACCTACATCCTCACAAAAGTTATTTTTTTATATTTGATGGGCCGACGTTTGACCACTATCTCGCATTTATAGTATTGGTAAGATACAATAATAAATATCTCATATTATTTTTCAGCTACTGGCCAATATGGTGTCGTCAGGTCGCAGTGTTTCTACAACAAGGAGCTTTATTACTGGTGCCTATTGCCGCATTCATACAGACGTGGCGCTACATGAATAAAGGACCACCTGATATTCTAGATGTAAGTTATTTACAACCTTATTCCAGTAAGTTAGAGAGTACAATATGTAGTGTATGTAGAAAATCCAACCAGTCTAGTTAAGATTTCCATTGAAGTAAATAGTAACTAATAGAGATAATTATACAGTCTTAAAGATTCCATTATTATTACAAATATGTTTTGTGAAAGCATACGGATTTTTCTTACAGTTTCATTATATGACCGGTAGCAGGTTACAAGCTATATAAAGTCTTATTTATTTATATTATCTTATACAAAGTTAACGTATAAAAAAAACACGCGTCACATACTGTAATGAGGTGCTAAAACGAGACAATTAGCGGATTAGTTATTTACAGTAGCATAAATACTTGTATAAACAAGTTGTTTAACGTACCTAGCTAATGTCGGTATTTGTTACATAATATTCAATTTGTTTTCTCTGTTAATGCTACAAGGATTATCGGGCAAACGATTGTATTGAGGAATTGGTAAGATAGTTTTCTTTCCTAGTTCATTTCCTAGTTTCTAGTTCAGTATCATCAAAAAACTGAGGTCCAAGTGCAGTCGTTAGTTTATTTTTGAGGGGGAAAATCGTCCAATGACTTTTCCCGCCTTGGGTTAGGCGAGAGGGAGTGTGAGACTCTTACTGACTAAAAACCACCCTGTTCCTACTCCTGCTCTTTGAGCCGGAGCTCCGGCAACCCGTTAGGCCTTCCGCGGCTCCGTATTGGCCAGTAATGTTTGGGATTAGATATCTCTCAAGTACTTCAGGCGTGGTTATCTAGTTGAAGTGGGGGGGGGGGACTATGTTCAGCAGTGGACGTCTTGAGGCTGATATGATGATCATGATGATCTAGAAAACACATACATTACCCATTGTACTTCACTTAATTAGTTGACATACTTATTACAATTCATTTTAAGTCTTAACTATAAACGGACTACCTCGTTGGCCGAGTGGTCGCAAGTGCGACTGCTAGTCAAGTGGCCTCGGGTCCGATTCCTGGGTCGGGCAAAGTACTACAGGATTTAAAAAAAATCTGTAGTAGCATGGAGACTGGAATTGTGCCCTTTATGGCAATAGGGTCACCCCTTATTACATGGGATTCATAACAGAAATAGTGAAAAGTTGGTGTTACATTGTACAGTGGCTTTAAGTGCCGTAATATGCACCTCTGCCTACCTGTTACAGATTAACTATAAACGTTTAGAAATTTGATAAAAAAAGCTGGTTAAATATAACCATAGCAATATCACTTATAAAATGATTCAGAGAAGACCTTTATCCTTTATATAGTGTTAAAGTCATATTAAATTAACTAGTCAGGTTTTCATTGATTGGTCTATTTATTTATTAACTATCATACGATACTATGACGTCAGTCACGTTTACATTTTATTAAAAATCTCTGGCGTGATTCTTACATCACTGTTTGTTATCAAAATTATGTACGGAATTGATAACCTTACTAAACGATATTATTTTTTACTTATGTATATCATCGTATCGAGTGGTACCAATACCAATAATAGTAATAGTATATTTAAGAAAAATACTGTAGTTTTGTTTTGCCAGGCGTGCAGATTATGGTTTACTTTTTTATGTATGTAAAGGAGGCCCATAGCCCTTGTTGATAGTGATTTTTGTATGTAGTGTAAAATCAAAAAGATACTACAGGAACTGTCACTGAGGTCTGATAGTGAAATATGACCTTGACTAAACGTATTGTTTACCTAAATTGCCAAAATAAACACGAAGTCAGCAGTTGAATTAAGTCCGGAAATAAACTAAGCTGAAGAGCATTTTTTGCTTGTTTGCTTATTTGTTTGTTTGTTTGAACGCGCTAATCACAGAAAATATTGACCCGATTTGAAAAATTCTTTTTGTGTTCGATAGCCCATTTATCGAGGAATTCTATAGGCTATAAAACATAACGCTACGTTCAATAGGCTCCGAGCAGAGCGAATGAGACCGCGCGAAAGTAGCTAGTTATTCAATAAACAAAATTTTACTTTCTGATAGATTGCCTCGTTGGTCGAGTAGTCGCAAGTGCGACTGCAGAGCAAGGGTTCGATTCTCGGGTCGGGCAAAGTATTACTGGGTTTTAAAAAATTCTCAATAGTAGCACGGAGTCTGGAATTGTGCCCGGTATATGGCAATAGGCTCACCACCTATTACATGGGACTCATAACATAAATAGTGAAAAGTGGGTGTTACATTGTACAGTGGCATAATGTGCACCTCTGCCTACCCCTTCGGGGATAAAAGGCGTGATATTATGGTATGTTATATTTTCTGATTTTGTCGACTAGTAAACAGACCTCATTGAAATATATTCGTGACTTCATTCAATCATAAGATTTCAAATGTATGACACTGTATTATGAAATGCGAACTCGTACAAGGTCGCGGAAAAATATTGTTTGATTTAGTTTCAGTTACACAGTAGGAGATAACAGTTAGTATTTGATAATTTACTGAGTAAATAAGATTTCTTTGAATCTCTCTGCAGTTGTTTTAATAATTGTACTTGAAGGTCATATAGTTTTTATTTCGTGCTGTAGTGGATAAAATGAAGTTGTAAATTGGCAATTTTGATGTTGAATTGAATCTTATGTATGTAGTAATAACGAGATATATAATTTGTGCAGTGAAATTTCGATTAAGGATTACTGATCTCTTAATTGTTAACTTATTACATTCACCATTGTTAAGTCATTTACAACGCATAAAATGCCAAGCTCATCATTGGATTTTCAAAGGGTAAAAATTATGTTTTTATTACAAACTCCTTTGACTTGTGTTCTTGCTGTAAGTAAATATACTGAAGATATAGCCGCGGAGAACCTAACGGGTTATCGAGGTGCCGGCTCGAAGTGCAGGAGTAGGAACGGGGTGGTTTTTAGTCAGTAAGAGTCTGACACTATCCCGCCTCATCGAGGCGGGAGAAGTAATTCGATGATTTTCCCCCCTTAAATAAATATACTGAAAATATTGGGTGTTAATTTCTGTCTTTTTTTTCCAGCGTATTCAAAATCTTTACCGTCCTCGTATGGGTGTGTCTCAAGAGCCTGGTTTAGCGCGTGCAGTTCCTTTGAGTACTGCATCAGCACCAGCACCACCAGACCCACCGCCAAAGTACACACCACCGCCATCATACTCCACCGCTACAGGAGCAAGATTGCTGAATACTATAAGAAGGAGCTTTAGAACTCTTAGAAGGTATGGTCATAATGCCTTATACTTGCAAAAGAGATTTCAGGTGATATTTCTGCCTTCAGAGTGCAACTGCCTAACATGGAGGTTCATGTATCGTAGTAATGAGTTTGGAATGGTCTCCGATATTTATATTATAACTTTCGTGAGACAAACTAAATTAATTATTATGTTTGCGATGGAACTTGACTAGTTTCAAGCAATGCTAGTGGCTAATATTACGCGGCGACTGTCGCGCTTCTATGAAATGAAATAAGTTTATTCGGCATAAGACATGCACGCCAGAAAAGACATATAAATATAAAAAAGTATAAAAACAGAAAAAAATAAAAGATAAAAGTTAAATTATAAAACTAAAACAAGCCAATAATTCAAGTGCCCGGTGTTGGCGGACATGTCCAATCCGAACGGGTCACCAACTCAGCATAAAGCTGGGCAAAATGAGCACCCAACACTGATTTTCAGTTGGCACCCCTGCAGTGACGCACGGACGAGAGCAACACATACTTGTAATCCACATATGTATAGAAACTTTGTTATTAATTTTGTGGGTTCTAAAACCCTAGGTGAAGTGTTCAGTCAGATGAAGAAGAGATATATGATTATATGTATAAAATATTATCACATGAAAAAGAGACAGATAATAAAAATATAATTATAATTAAAATAATGTTCTGATAAATAAATAATCATCAAACTAAAAAAAAAAACAGATTACATTATAATATTCATACAACATTATTATATTCTTCTACTGACTGACTAGTCTAGTTCCTCGTCAAATAATTACGTGAGTAAGCTGAAAAACATAATAATTAATTTGGTCCCCCGTATGCTATAATAGACTATCCTCGGATAAGATGGGGCTCGTAATGTGATTGGTAAAATGTCGGGCATTCTGTGCACCTATACCCACTCCTTAAAACGGCTGTATGTTTAGATTTCATTTACGACTTTAATACAATGGCTAAAGATCTGGTCCACCAATGTTTTGGCCATATATATAACGAATAAAGATTATTTACACATTTTTTACAGAATCACAACAGCACGTACGGAACAATCGCCTGCAGAAGACACAACGCAGCTACCAATCACACTCAGCGAAACTGTAGAGCGGGATGCCCTCGTCTCACTGGAGACCCAACCACCAGAGTACAGCGGTGTTTTTACCACACCATCTATAACCATCACAGACGAAACCGACTCCAGAGTCACTCGACCACGTTCATCAACATCACGAAACTCTCTATCTTTAACAAGAGACTACCTTCGAAGATCATTTGTTCGTAAAAGCGATTCAGCTAAGAGCATTCGTTCTAGTTTACGAAGAAGTTTCAAGTATGGAGGTGCCTTAACTAGTAGCCACGAACAATTGGTCCGTGGCGCTGAGCCAATGTCTACTACTGTAGCTATGTCTGCCGTCAGCTCATCACACGACTCTCACAGCCGCGCCTCTGTCATATGAATATTTAATAATCCGCCTTATATCAGGCAATACGAATAATTTATATTTTTCGCCTGAACCCGTTACAATGTATTTTTAAGCGATCGTAATGTATAGAGGAACGTCTCAGTAATACTTAGTACTTACATAATATACCGACATTTGTCGTAAGTTCCCAATATAAAGATTTCAGCATAGTTCATAGAAGAGCTGTATAATAGTGCAGACTGTAATAATGTTTACTTAATTATTATTACCTTAATGAATAACCAATGCGTAATGGACCCGGTTCAGATTTATTTTTCGACTATACGTCGCCGTATCTTGTTATTAATTCGTGGTTAGATATTAGGGTTAGAAAACGTAATAATTGTTAGTACTTAATCGACGCTAACATAATAAGTAGTCATAATGAAGAGGAATCTCAGTTACTTCACTATTTTTTTAAAACATTGTTAATCCTTTATTTTGTGTAAGCACAATAAATGAGCCATTTAGCTAGATATATAAGTATAGCGTAAGTGTACTTACATTGTATACTTAAAATGATAATAACCTCAGAGCTTAGAAAAAATGTGTTGAACATTTGGAAAATGTGAAAACGATTGTTAACAATTATTTTTAATGGAAATTGTGAATCAATCAGACTAGAAATGTGTTCTCGTTAAATTATTATGAGCGTGTTTTTCTAAATTATGAGAATGTAATGTTGGCAATGAATGCATTTTAGTGTTAAATTAGTTAGTGTGATAATTTGTAAAGAGCGATGCCCCTCGCGTTTTGAGTATATTTAAACATGTGTGAAAGAAACCCCATTTTAAGATAGAATAGAATCTCTATTTTAAATTCGATACATAAATATCGTTAGGTTGCAATTTTTTGATATTCCATTTTGTGGATAAGGAATCGTTACGTAAACAATACTTAGTAATGTAATAAATACTTATTACAAAATCAGTGTTGATAATAATAACAATAAATGTTTGTGAAATCCCTTAGGTACATAATAATCGATTTACATTTGGAATCGATAGTTAAGATATCGACACGAGCAAATCGAGTCGAAGCAATAAATAAATGAATAACAGTGAATGATGTTGAATGTGTCAAGTACTCAAGTACAATGAATTTAGTTCAGTAAGCGAACTGGTTGTTCGATAGATATAGGTGAATTAACGGCTGCTTATTAGTTCCTTTCTCGCATTTATGTTAAACCGGCTACTCACTATAATATTTTAAATTATTTTTATGCAGCTCTAAACGGTTGTTTTGTTGTATACTTTTTGGCTAATTTAAATAAAGAAAATCTAGAATCTTTTAAATGTCTATCAGGTATAAACTAGCTTATGCTTCAGCAAGTCTAACTTGCTACAAACAGATTATAAGTATTATGAATATGAAAATGTAGAGTTACATTCATATCTCATATACGGTTAGACTGAAATCTGCGTGTTAAGTTTTTAAGACTATAATAGATAATAAAATTGGCAAACATGAAAAATTAATCTAAGAACTTATCTATTTATTTTGCGAACTGTATCTATCAAAAATCACTATAGAAATCGCATATAATAATGTATTTTAATTTAAAAGTACACGTTTAATAGTTAAAATCGAATATTATTTTACGACTAAGAACAACTTAAAAAATTATTTCAGCCGAGATGAGATCTCAGTGTGTTGTGAAATGACGCTATTTTATTTTAAACTGTCAAACACCAAGCGGTCACCGGTGACCGCGACCTATTGTTCTTTAATTGTGTCTATAAAACCGGTACTCGACGAGTTAATCATCAGTATTAAGTTGGTTGTACTTGCAATATAAGTAGTGTGTAGCTGGCTCAGTGCATTTGTGTTCTTCAAAATTCTTATTTTTAGTTCTAGTCACCAATGCTTCCACCTTCTAAGTTTTAAACTTTTGGTATAAACATCACATTTTACTATAATAGCATTATATTTATAATTATATCACGTTTTTATTGCACATCTTTTATAATTTTACCTATTTTATTTTGATTTTGCGCGTTCTTTTACATTCCACATTGTTGCAATGTTTTTGAATTAGATAATAAAACATTTTTACACTACCATGGATTTATTGTTTCATTTCACCTGAAAATTAAAAAACCTTCCCTTTTATTGAAAATGTTATAATTAGATAATGAAACTGAGTTTTTCCCAACACGACGCAATGAACGCCTGACAGAAAGATGAAAAGAATGGAACATCAAGAAGTTGTTGTAACAACTTACCAAAACAGTTGCGACAGCTCAAAAGGACGTACATTTATTGCAATAAAACATCTAAGTACTTTGCTAAAATCATTGTGCACTTGTGCATTAACTGCGCAGCTGTCGATCGTGACACAGTTGTCTCAAATGTTCCTGGGAATGTGACTCTATAAAAATGTTGTCGAATCTAAACATAAATTAACACGAGTATCATCTTTATAAGAAACATTTAGTCGCAAATATACTTAAAACTCATGTATTTAATCAAAACAAACGAGCAGACGAGTAAGTATTTTACCTTGAACTTTTTTGCATTTAAATTTACCGCCAAATGGAACCGGAAATACACAAATAGAAGTTAAAATTTTATTTATGTGATAACGATATATTGTGAATCAAATTGACAATGATAAGTTAGCTTCATTTATTATGTAATTGGTGTATAATTATCACTTTTTATTATCAGTTGTTAAGTTCTTAAATAAAATTATTTAATAACCATAGACAAAAATTTACAGGCGTTGTTGTGTATATTCGTCACAATCAATCAAGCTATTATACTCAGTGTCACCTGCACATAAGGATCATAATGGCGCGTCACAAATTATAGTCAATGTAATGTCTATTAAAAATATTAGGATACATTGTTAAAAAATTGAGTTGTTTCCGCTAGCCGTCGCGTCGTGTGTGCGGATTGCGGATTGCGAAAAGCGTTGCTGTGGATTACTCATTAGATCTTCATGGCTTAATACTATAGGAAATAAAGAAAAGACGATTGTTTTAATGGAAATCTGTAATTGTGTGTTGTGCTATAATTGTGTTTGATTGATGTGAACGATGATAACCAAAATGCAATCACAAGCGAACGTCGCCGTGCCACAATCTGTCACGACGCAACCACAGTCTCAGCAAATTGTTGGTGTTGGAGTTCCAGCAAATGCGGTGATATTGAAAATGTCAGATATTCAGCAGATCTCCACAGTGGGTACGTATTCAATTGATATTTTAGTGTGAATGCAAAATCATGAAAGGAAACTGAAGCACTTTCCGTGAACTTGGGAATTTTCCTAAGAATTTCAATAAGCCTTCAGGAAGCTTTGTGTTAGTAAGATATTTATAATTCGGATTGGGTGATTTTGATCTTGATTTGAATATAAAATTGCTGTTTTGTTTCAATGCATCTATGTTTTATGGCATTGTAAATTCAATTTGTGTATTTTTTATGTATAGGTTAGGCAGCTGTGTGTTTTTTTTTTTACTTTTTTGTCTACAGTAGCGTCAGCAGCCGTGGTGTAGTGGAACAGTACCGTGGCCTTGTAGTTTATTGTTTTTCCACTAAAAATATTATTTCCATGAATGAATATACATTTACATTCATGAATTTTGTTAATGAACTTACCTAAATCTATTTATAAACCATATTTTATGTAACAAGTTATACAAAGAAAAAGTTAGATTGATTTCTACATAGTCATAATCCATTGCTAATTTTGTTTTAATACCTAGTTTAGTCATTTGGGTTATCTTAGGGTTTTATTAATCTGTCAAACACCAAGCGGTCACCGGTGACCGCGACCTATTGTTCTTTAATTGTGTCTATAAAACCGGTACTCGACGAGTTAAAATATTTACCTATAAAGGAATATATAACATTTTTTCTCATATTGATAGACAGCAATTTTTATGACATGTAGTAATCTTACAGACACTTTGCATAATGGCAACGGCTGAATGCTGCATATTTCAATCCTAAATATGATTACTCAAACCTTATTCCTATTACATTATTAAAAGACTTGATTTGGGTAAAATTTTCTTAAATGAGATAGCTAACTAAATAAGCAAAAATATTTAACAAATCCCATTTTTGTTATGATTTTAAACTATCTGTTGTAACTACACAGTTACTAGTAAAAAGTATCAATTATCTTAATCATTATCTTTATTTCTTTCTTCCCTAGGACTGTTGGAGCTTGCCCACCGAGAGTATCAAGCAGGCGACTATGAAAGTGCCGAACTACACTGCATGCAGCTATGGAGACAAGATGGCACAAACACTGGTGTCCTTCTACTCTTATCTTCCATTCACTTCCAGTGCAGAAGATTAGACAAGTCTGCTCACTTCTCCACCTTGGCTATCAAACAGAATCCCTTGTTAGCTGAAGCTTACAGGTATGAAATATTTAATTTTGTAGTTTTCACCATAGTCTGAAATATGCTCCATACAAAATGTCTCAATTCTCTATCTATCTTTAGTAAGCAGATCTAGAAAGATCATTGAATTAAATAACACTGCAAGACTATATATTAACACACCTATTCAATCTGCTACATTTAGTATCTGTGCTTTGACCTTTCTTTTTAGGGAATAAAAGCTATTATGCTATGTCAACACACTATTTCTAACCCAATGTTCTTATGACATCATATATCAGAAACAGTTAGTGTTGTCCCATTGGGAGTAGGAACAAAATGGCCCCAGTCAGTCAGACATATTTACTAAATGAATAACAATATCAAGTTAGGTTCTATTGTTACTGTGTCATGCTCTTCACCTTGATGTATGTTATACCTTCATGAACAATCAACTTAAGCTTGGAAGCACAACAATACTACTACATTATCTTGTTCTGAACAAAAGGAATAGTTCAAATTCCAGGCCTTGGTTTGCAGTCATAATGGAAAACTAAGTAAACATGTTATGACAAATAAATAAAAAGATAATAAGTTTTTTTAAACATATTCTTTAATAAACATGTTTGTTTTTTCTACATGACAAGGAACACAATGTTCTGCAAAATTAAAATAAATTAATTATGTGGTGATTGACTCTAAATAATTTTCTAACAAACTATATCAAAGTAAATCAAACTAACATGTTTGTATGCATGCAATTACTATTTCTGTAACATGCCCCAGCTGAAATAATTTGATGTGTCACTGACAAAATATTTTGGCAACGGCAAACCATTAAAAATTAGGCCATTTTGAAGTTGTTGAAGTGGATTGCACCCATTTGAAATACATGTTGTTTATTTTGAAATGTTATTTTACATGAAATCTTTTGTATGAATATCTCTACCTTAATGGAGAATAATTGTAGTAAAAAACATTTATTCTGCTAATATTCATCATTTATAGTCATTTTTCAATTATGTGATATATGTATTGTGACATGTCTACACTTCAGTTCTTTGTGGAAACAATAAATTAAGACATTGTTTTACATATCCATTATTATACATAAAACGTACATGTATGTATATGGTATTAGACGACGCCGCGAATGTTAACATTTGAAAACCCATTTTCAAATTGTTATACAAATTAACATAATTCGATTCGGAAAGGTCACGCAATCTGAACAAGTCGCACCTTTGCTATGGCTACGAATTTAATTTACCAAGAAAATCGGTATAAAGTTGTTAATTAGGTATACGAAGGATTTTGGGCAACGGCGTTGGAAAGACGTAATCAGAAGCCGTTTTTAATACGTCTGATCCTAAGTCCTCTTGCGTGTTCCACTTGCGATGAGCCAGTTATACCGAACAATTACGTATTGTGTACAATTCGTCGTTCTACTTTAAATCCTCATAAAGTGTCTTCCTGCAGTTACATCTAAAGTATAAATTTTATAACGGTTAGAGATCGTGAAGATATCATTGACTCGAATAACAGCATAGGAAATCTGCATAAAAAATGTTTATTGTTTGCAACAATACTGCTATTGGCGATAGACGTTACTGCTAGGTTGGTGCTAGTTGATTGTAGGAAATCGTACTTCATCAGGTAAAGCAAAGAAATGTAACAAGCTAGTGACCCAGCATTTGGTGGCAGCGATATTTACGTTGTAGGGGAAACGGAGGGTTGTGCGCTTGTGCGAATCTACAAAAAACGTTAGGGGCTTTTTATGAACGCCCTTGTATGTCCAACGAGTAATTTTGCTAATTGAATAACTTTATGTTTTTATCCTTTAGCAACCTGGGCAACGTGTATAAAGAAAGGGGTCAGCTTCAAGAGGCTTTGGAGAACTACAGGCATGCCGTCCGATTGAAGCCGGACTTCATCGATGGCTACATTAACCTGGCGGCCGCTCTTGTGGCTGCTGGAGACATGGAACAAGCTGTTCAGGCCTACGTCACGGCACTACAATATAACCCTGTAAGTACTAGCATAGAATGTAGATTGTATGTAGTTAGGTGATACTTACTAAGTACAACTCGATTTTTGAAGTAACGGTTAGTTGAATAATAATCACCATTTGCAGTTGCAGCCATTAATTAAGTATAAAAACGACCGTTCGTTTTATAACCGAGGGGTTACCTCATCATCGTTGACGTTGAATACACGGTCACCCTACATGTAATTCACAAGGGGTACTAACCGCCGTGCTCGTTCTTATCAATGGAAATTACGCCACTTTTGGTCGATCGAAATCATGTTTGATGCTATTTCTGATCTGATTAAGCAATTAGTTAAATTATAATAGCTAATCTTTACATCCTTATCACTATTTTTATATTTTAATTTAATTTAAAAAGCATTTAAATAATCGTGTACCAGATACATGTTTGTTCTAATTGTGAATCATCCAGCTATTAGTAGCTATCGCTGACAAGTTGACATTGCCATATTATACTGTAAAGACAGCAATTCCGGCGATTATAAATTTATTATGTACGTAATATCGCAAGACATGCCAGAATTACGTGTTATCAGTTTAACTCACTCAAACTTAAAGTCCTATGCCTAGTAGCACTAGCAAATGCACATAACAGCCGCTGAAAAGCATTAAGCAATTATTATGAGCATATAGTTATTAACTTTTATTACTAATTACCAATATCAATTTACTTATTAATTACCAGTACACGTGCAACTGAATTTTATCGCAAAAGACTCATTTTTGCATTAAATGTTTGGTGATATTCTTATTTCAGCAACAATGTGGTAGTTAAGGTGATGGTAGTTATTAGACATCGTATCTGGTAACCGTACGGGCTCCACGCTGCCAACGACATAATTTTGCCCTTCACTGGCCTAGAAAATTAGAACTGACGTATTGGGCAATTGTACTATTGTACTATTTGTCATACAGTATTAATTATACTACAAATTATTCCATTCATAATTTTAACAGTATTTTACGTGATAACAGCTACTTGGGAATTACACCACAGAACCAGAATTTTCGTGTGCTTAGCACCATTCGTAAGATGTTATTGAAAGTATTCCTATATAATAAAAGTTATATAGCTACATATTCTACAATATTTATGAGAGAAACATATCACTTGGAGCTCTGTAGTTGCAGATAGAAGGTACTAATCTTGACATCGAGTACATTCCAATAATAAGCCCTTAGTTTACGAGACGAATTTCAAACAACTCTAGATAAATGCCAATATTGATCAGTTCGACACTCGAATACAATATTTTTCAATGTATAGAACAAAAAAAAAATGGTCATACGATCGCCTAAATAGTTTGAGCCTATGCAATAACTTGTCTTATTGCACTGAGCGATAGTGCCGCAATGCGGTGAAGTGGTCGCGATGCAGTTAACCTTTACCTTTGTATTAAGCTAGAATAGGGCGTTGATATTACCCCTACCTAAACTAAAATGGCCGAGATTGGTTCGAAAGCGCCTCTGTCTAGACTACAGACAACGAGATGTTCTATTTTGAGATAAACCAGACTGAAAACGCTTTCTCTAAACAAGACTAGTCTTAGTCATTATTAGTTAGTACTATTTTATCGTAGTAAACATTGATACGAAATCTGTACTTGTTTCTTTAGTCTCTGAAGTCATTCATTATTTATGCCATCAAATGTATTCGTTTTATATCAGTTTATACTAGCTTAGTCATATGATGGATGTTAGAATGGATGTGTTTTAGATACTAAATCAGGTACAAAAACAATCGAATGGTCAATAATTATGCTGTCATACATTTGCATCGATATTGATTGATAGTTGTCTGTAAAAAGTCGACTAGTAAAAAAGTTTAGCCTAACCATAACTTGCTTATATATTCTTGATACAGAATACATTATGTTGATAAGAAATATTATTATGTAAATTCTTATGTTTTTTATTAATATCTTATTATCTATTCTTTGTCCTGGTAATCATTTTACAGTATAATTTTATAACACCGGAAAAGTGTACATACTTTGTCTCTAGCTTATCTATGTAAGGAATTTAAATAAGCGTTAGTAGGTAACAAGTTTATGACTTACTGAGGTACTCTATTGATACCTAAATGCATTTGATTTTATAGCTACAACTAAACTGTTTATGGTTTTAACCTCATTCAGCATTACTAAGGTACCTTTATATTATTATGTTTCTGTAAATTGTGTATGAGATGCATATTGTATGTAGGTATGCTATCTTATCAGTTTTAATTTAAGCTTACGTTTTATCTGATCTAGAAAGATCCGACCTACTGTTCTGGATATACAATTTTCTTAATAAAACTATGACCAGACTTGTGTCTTGATATTAATTTCAATACAAAAGCTGTGGTGAATCATTGTGGTGAATGCACAAATGGATTGGCTGGCAACAGGCAAGTGTGTAGCATCAATAACCAAAGTGTTTTTATCTACAAATACAGAACTGTCAGCAATTAATAGCTACAATTTTACAATATAAACTGAATATTTTAGTATTCGGATTACATTCTGCCGTAAAATGGTTTTATAGGCCTTTTAACGACACCCGCCCACTGGCATAAACATTTTTACGTTGTATTTACATTGTAACATTGGAATCACATAAAAAGATAACACTACTCAACACTTAAAAAATATCTGACCCAATTCATATTATTTCATAATAAGCTTGACCAATATAAAAATACTGTATGCATTTTATTTCGATATCACATCTGGTTATAGGGATAAATATTTTTTTATTTTTTTACCTACCTACAAAAGTTAAAATGCGGGTAGTCCGGAAACTTATTACTTTTGCAAATGGAACATAGTGCAATTGTTAGTATATAAACTGACTTCTAAAATGTCGCGAGTGTGTGTGATTTATTTTGCTATATTTGTGGCGAGTTTACGCCGAAATCGAAAAAAAAAACACTTTCTGACTTAATTAAACAGTGCTATCAAGCTTATTTTAACCGTGTCGTAAGGAATCAAGACAAGTCATGAGTTCCTAAAGTGTGCTGCTTAAGATGTAATACATATCTCAATGGTTGGTGTAAGGGAATAACTAAAAAAATGCCATTTGGTACGCCAATGGTGTGGATGGAGCCAACGAATCATGGCGTCGATTGTTGTTATTTTTGTTTAACGCAATTAAAGGGGTTTTCTGAAAAATCAAAACGAAGTATTAAGTATGCCAACGTGCCATCAGTAATAAAACCTAAGCCACATTCAGACAGTTGAAGTCGACTCGAGTTCGACGGATAGTGAAAATAGCGCGGACCCCCAATATGTCCCAAAATGTGCATCTGAGCCACTTTTATTGAATCAAACTAGACTTAATGACTTACTGATTCAAGATCCATCTTTTATATCTGCTCTCAATAATATTGAAAAACAAGCATGGAACGCTTTTGTCAATGTCACTAACAATTTCCTTGGTAACAAGAAATCTGAAGATTTTCGCGAAAAAATAAAAGTTTTATTGGACTGCTACTATAAAATGGGATGCAATATGTCACTTAAGTTGCATTTTCTTCACTCGCATTTGGACTTTTTCCCTGAAAATATGGCATCAGTCAGTGAAGAACATGGCGAACGCTTTCACCAAGATGTTGTTGCATTTGAAAAGCGATTTCAAGGCAGATGGGAGCCTGCTATGCTCGCGGATTACTGTTGGAGCCTTATTAGAGAGACCCCTGCTACTGAGTACAAGAGAAAAGCCAGCTACTCCAAAAAAACTACGGCATTTCAATTAAAATTACAATAAAATTATGGAAAATTCGTGATTTCGGACATGGATGTTTATCTGGACATTGAGATGTGATGGTGTGTGTATATTTGCATATTTTTATTACTTTAGTGGCAAGAAATAGTAATCACATAATGCGACCCCAGATAAAATCAAAAGTTGAAAATTTGTTGAGTAGTGTAATTTGCAAATATAGTATCGGAGGTAATAATTAGTAGTAACCAAAGAATGTGGAGAAAAAGGTTCTGATATTTATACGTGTTTAATTATTTAGAATAGAATAGAATAGAATAGAATAGATCATTTATTTGCTATGAATGTAGGTACAAATTATTAGGTGTTACAAAATTTTAAGGTTATTTATCTTATACATATTATACCGCCAAATAAAAACACGGTTTTAACACATTATTTTGCCATTCAAGGTTTTTAACAACGTCAATTTTATTATTATTCTATATAAGTAAACAATAAACAAATCACTCATTATACAACTTATCCGGATTAAGTAGCTAAACATAAACTTTGAATATCAAGGCTTGTAATTTTTTTATCTGGTAAATTATCATAAGTCCTTGTTGTCAGCAATTACCTATTGTTACGCGTATGTATGCTACCAACTACCTATGCGGTAAAATTCCACGACATGTTTTCCTTTACTACCGCGTGGCGATTGCCGATGCCCACTTTATTATATTAGAAGGTGACCTCATCGTGGAAAAACATTATTCTTATTTCAGATCCGTTCATATAAATGTTCCTTGTTAATAAAATTTCTTCTCACAAGACTTGCCAGTTTGTAATATTGTATAATACATAGATAGCTAAGCCGTCGGCGAACGATGTTTGAGGCCGTAAATCAAATTTATCGCCAAGGAGATTACACTACGATCCCAGAATTAAAAGTGTTCGTTATTAATTGCTGTGCAAATTCCTCGTGGCTAATTTATTTGCGAAAACATTTTCTATTAAGGCACACGCAATTATTCAAATTGTGTTATTGTTTTCCTTTTAGAAAAGTATATTATGTACAATACATTCTCGAGTGTAGTAATTGTGTATTAAGCATACCTATATGTCCACAATAAATCATTGTTAATGTTCGCCTGGTGATAATAGTACATAATGACCAATCGCTTGAAATAAATCGTGTATCAGATTAGCCCGTTAAAAGGAAAAACATAACACCTATGGTTTATAAGGAACTATTTTATGTAACAGTGTATGGCATACACTGTTCGAGAACATCTAAAATAGTTTAAAATTAGCATACACTGTATGCTAATTTATGAACAGAGTAAATCTTCTTTAGTTCTTTGTCTTGTTTTTACTCCAAATCCTAGAATTAAAGGCTCGTCGATAAACATTTAAAAGCACACCAGAAGAAAAAGAAAATATCTCTATACGTAGTATCACACTACGTATAGAGATATTTTCTTATAGAATCTTGAGTCTTTTCGACCTGAAACATCTTGTTGTTTTCCACAAGGCAGACAGACTGTGAAAACAGTTTTGTTGAAAAATACATCATAATGATATAGCGTTTAGTTTGATTGACATCAATGCTGGTAATTATCAGATAATTTTAGTACAAAAACAATGTATGGTCAAAATATTAACTTATCAAGCCTGCAATAATATTTCTGCACCGTAATTTACATGAAAGGATAAATGTATAGATAGTAATAGACTGTTCATTAGTGGATTAATTTACCTTTAAGTTATCAAGTTTACTTTTTCCTCTTGATGACATGTCAAACACGCGTAGTGAATGAGCCATCCTAAAACTAGTTATTTGGATGAAAATTTAAAGTGTTTATTTTGTTCACAGGACCTTTACTGCGTCAGGAGTGACTTAGGCAATTTGCTCAAAGCTCTGGGACGTTTGGACGAGGCAAAGGTAAATATAATTTCTTCCTCGACTTTCTGGTTTGCTCCGAAGTTAACAGGATTCTCTAAAAGTTCCCATTGTACTGAAACAAATTAGCGTACTCTCTGCTCTGTAAGCGTAACTGCTCTTGCGTACATACATCAGGACAATTTGCAATTTGCGTCAGCTTTTTCTTTATAATGGTTTCAACAATTACTTCTAATTCTTGTCCTAGCTTTACACTCCTATGGAGTCATTAAAGACCTTGTTGAAACTATTATTAAATCGGTGACACAGGAAGGGAAATCGAATGCTTTGTTTGGCCACACAACTTCTGTTTCCAATCTTGTTGCACATTATAATTCAGTCACAAAATATTATACATCTTATGTGTATCGTTATCTGATAATAAAATTACGTTTGATAAAGTTTGAGTCACTGTTTATGTCAATGTTTGACATTGACTGAATACAAGGGCATATCTGCGTAACATATTTTACACGTACATTTTTTATTAAAGCTTGCCGTACACATGGGTCTTATATTTCACTTTTGTCATGTACAAAACAGAGTACATTTTTGTACAGTAATAATAACACAAGCTATTTTATTTGGGGAAGGGGGGAAGCTCAATATTTTGTGACAGCGATTTGCGTTCTATTCCCAATTCAATTCTCTACACAACATCTGTAGTAATAATCTCACTGACAATATTTTAAACAATGTATTTGTATATTTTACAAGTGTTTTTTACATGTAAAATGTATAATTTCTTCTTCTGTTTCCTAACAATGTTGTGTGGAGTATTGAACAGTAAATGAGAGTAAACTAATTCACGTAGTGTTGCTAAAAGTTTGTGTCAACATTAAATCCTGTTTTCTTCAAATCTTATTTAGTTAACATTATATTTCTTGTGCTTGTAGTGAATTCTTATAACAATGGAGGATCAGAGGAGACTGTAGTGTTTATTTCATTTAGTGGTATGACGTAGCGAGTTTATTTGTATTATATGATTTGGTCATCCACATCATGCCTGTCGCAATACTCTGCTCGATGACAGCGTGAGCTGGACAATGATCCTCTCGAATCATAAATATTTGATTTGCAATATAATTTGTTTATGAAGACGATCGGGTGAAACAAATTGACTCAAAATCAACTAATTTTCTATTATATTTTCACAAGGTATTGTCTGGTAAGGCAAGTGTAGGTGTGCCCGCTGCTGTATCTAGCTGGGTTATGGTTCGTACGACACTCGCTATCCCGCCACGATGACACCATGCCTGCTGCAGGTAAAGTGGAAAAGGTTTGCAAGACATAAAGTAAGAACAGGATTCGGATACAAGTCGTGCTCTTTGACTTAGATATTGTCGTGACCATCTTCTCTCATCGGCTAGGAAGTGGAAGCGTTCACTTGTGGTTGGTTCGTCTGTCTCGAGATGTATGATTACTTTCTGTATACAACAGACGTATGGATGTGCGGTTGCACTTTGTTTGCACTGGTTTTTCGTTTGCATTTCCTACTGATGTGTGTGGCAGTCGGCGTAGTCTCGTTTCTCTAGGGTGCATTTTGCGTAATATTTATTGTGTTTGCGATTGATGTTTGGTGATCGCAGCCTTGCAGTTCCCATCGATCACCCAGCAGCACTCGTAGCGAAGGTGTAATTATTGACGTTGGCGTAACAAACATTTCAGAACACCATTACATTAAAACACAATGCTGTTCAGTAATTAATATTTGTTTTTTCCGTGTGTGTAGGCTTGTTACTTGAAGGCAATAGAAACGAGGCCAGACTTTGCAGTGGCTTGGAGTAACTTGGGATGCGTGTTTAACGCACAAAGTGAAATCTGGCTGGCCATTCATCACTTTGAGAAGGCCGTTGCACTAGATCCAAATTTCTTGGACGCTTACATTAACTTGGGAAATGTACTCAAGGAAGCCAGAATTTTTGACAGGTGAGTCAAATACATTAACAACTTGATTAAAAACAATCTTAGAGTCGAAACTCAAAACGCATAATTTATGCTTTCATAAGCCTAGACTATTGTATTAATGGTTTAATATTAAGTACCATTTTAATATCTTATTCTAGTATTAATATGCGACAACGTGTTAATAAACAATATTTTTTCATGTTTAATAGGGCCGTGGCTGCGTATCTTCGCGCGTTAAATTTATCGCCTAACAATGCTGTGGTACACGGCAATTTGGCGTGTGTTTACTATGAACAAGGATTGATAGACTTGGCAGTTGACACCTATAGACGAGCCATTGAGTTACAACCGAACTTCCCTGACGCATATTGTAATTTAGCAAACGCTCTTAAAGAGAAAGGACAAGTTGCTGACGCAGAAGAATGCTACAACACAGCGTTGAGGCTATGCCCGTCACATGCGGACTCGCTGAACAACTTGGCCAACATTAAACGCGAACAAGGATACATTGAGGAAGCGACGCGGTTGTACTTGAAGGCTTTGGAAGTTTTCCCCGAATTTGCTGCCGCACACAGCAACTTGGCGTCAGTACTACAGCAACAGGGCAAGTTAACCGAAGCCCTCATGCATTACAAAGAGGCGATACGTATTCAGCCAACTTTCGCTGATGCGTACAGTAACATGGGCAATACGCTCAAAGAGATGCAAGATGTAGCGGGCGCATTACAGTGCTACACCAGAGCTATACAGATAAATCCTGCATTTGCTGATGCTCACAGCAATCTTGCTAGCATTCACAAAGATTCTGGAAATATTCCTGAAGCAATCCAGTCGTACAGAACAGCTTTGAAATTGAAACCAGACTTCCCTGATGCATACTGCAATTTGGCTCATTGCTTGCAAATTGTGTGCGATTGGACTGACTACGAGTCACGCATGAAGAAGCTTGTAAGCATTGTGGCCGAGCAGCTCGAAAAGAACAGATTGCCCTCAGTTCATCCTCATCATTCCATGTTATACCCACTTACACATGACTATAGAAAAGCGATTGCCGCACGTCATGCTAACCTTTGCCTTGAGAAAGTACAAGTTCTACACAAGGCTCCGTTCAAGTTCCCGCGAGAATTACAAGGACGTCTACGTATCGGTTATGTGAGCAGTGACTTTGGAAACCATCCAACGTCTCACTTGATGCAGTCGGTGCCCGGGCTGCACGATCGTACTAAAGTTGAGATCTTCTGCTACGCTCTGAGTCCAGATGATGGAACTACATTCCGGTCCAAGATTGCTCGAGAGGCGGAACACTTCATCGATTTATCTCAGATTCAGTGTAACGGCAAAGCTGCCGATAAAATCTACGGCGACGGTATACACATTCTTGTTAATATGAATGGTTACACAAAGGGAGCGCGTAACGAGATATTTGCGCTGCGCCCGGCCCCTGTGCAAGTTATGTGGCTCGGATATCCGGGAACTAGTGGGGCTAGCTATATGGACTATTTGGTGACGGATGGAGTTACGTCGCCCTTGGAGCTGGCAAGCCAATACAGTGAGAAGATGGCTTACATGCCACATACGTACTTCGTGGGCGATCACAAGCAAATGTTCCCTCATTTGCAAGAAAGACTCATTCTCAGCGACAAAGTGAAATCTCATAACAATTTAGGAAGTGTAGCAGACAACGTGGCTGTCATTAATGCTACAGATCTGTCGCCGCTTGTCGAAACTACGGATATTAAAGAGATTAAAGAAATTGTAAGAGCCGCTCGTCCCGTGGAAATTTCTCTGAAAGTAGCGGAGTTGCCGACTACTACACCTATCGAGACCATGATCGCTTCTGGTCAAGTACAGGTACGGAATAATTCTATAGTTGTTATTTATAATTTAATTTATCACTTGAAACATATGTTATAAAAGTATTGTTTACTTTCAGACTTCAGTGAATGGAGTAATTCTACAAAACGGACTAGCAACGACACAGACGAACAATAAGGCTGCAACGGGCGAGGAAGTGCCACAGTCGATAGTAATAACAACTCGTCAACAATACGGTCTCCCTGATGACGCAGTGGTGTACTGTAATTTCAACCAGCTATATAAAATTGACCCATTGACCTTGCACATGTGGGTGTACATATTGAAGAATGTACCAAACAGCGTTTTATGGCTGTTAAGGTTCCCAGCTGTAGGAGAACCCAACCTCCAGAACACTGCCCAACAACTAGGTAAGCTAACTAAGAGAAAATTTCATTATACAATTATTTTAATAACAATCTCGCGTATACCTTGTCAACTGAAGTTGCGCCATACTTAGCATGTTTATCTTGTAGACGATGGATATTTACTGCCCAGACATCCGTCTAAGCTAGATTAAAAAAACATGTAATGTAGACCATTGTTCACATAAAAAGCAAAACCTGCATTCAATACTGAGAGAAAACGAATCAATTGTTATGCAAACAATGAATCAAGTTTATAATCTGATTGCTAGTGCGGGAGGTAAAAATCTAGCGGAATGATGTGAAGGTTATTTTATTAAAGAATGTTTTGTTCCTATTTAGGGTTGCCCCCTGGTCGTATTATTTTCTCCAACGTGGCGGCTAAAGAGGAGCACGTACGCCGTGGACAACTGGCCGATGTTTGCTTGGACACTCCTCTGTGTAACGGACATACCACCAGCATGGACATCTTGTGGACTGGCACGCCCGTCGTTACGCTGCCAGGCGAGACGCTAGCTTCCAGGTAAATAAAAATTGAATGAACAAAGTTGTTAGAATAAGTTTTTTCCGATGTGACAATTAGGAGACAAACTAACAGACGTATTAGGTAAGCAATTAGCACCGCCTAAACATCAGCAACCATAAAGTAACAAGTGTGTTACCGGCCTTTTGCCCATTCGTACTACAGCATGGCTCTTCCATGAGTAGAAGACGAAGATACTTAGCAGTACGAATATTATACTAATAAAATTATCTTGTTTTACAGAGTGGCAGCGTCTCAGTTAAATACGCTCGGCTGTCCAGAGCTGATCGCTAGAACGAGGATAGAATATCAGGATATAGCTGTAAGACTAGGAACCGATAGGGAATAGTAAGTATAATTTTATTACACTAACTATGATTACCTCATATCGTGGAAAGTACTTTACAAAATTGCAAACTGCGATGTTTTACTTAATCTGGCAATCTTCGAATTTCTTTCAACTGTGACATTATATTTCCTATTTTTATTTACAGCTTAAAAGCCATCCGAGCTAAGGTTTGGGCAGCGCGTACGGAGAGTCCGCTCTTCGATTGCAAAGCGTACGCCACCGGGTTAGAAATGTTATACAATAAGATGTGGCAGAGGTACGCACGAGGCGACCGCCCAGACCACATAAAGGCCGATAAATAGACTGGGGTTCGCACCGGCAAAAACGATGAAGGGACAGCTAAGAAACGCCGATGGTGCTAAGTGATTGTGAACCAGTAAGTGGAAGTTTGTTGGACGTTCTTATAGTGATGGTGATGTTAAAGCCGTGTGCGGACTGCGTGTGATATTAATTGTACGGGCTGGAAGCTCTTGTTTAGTTCCGATGGTCAGCCGGTGTCGATCAACGTAACGTGATCAATGTAGTTGTACTTTAATTAAATCGTACTTTATAGACATTGATCTGTATTTCATCGCTCTTTAGATGACTGATCAAATTCTGTATGTTGTATAGTTTGATTGGTTGGATATAAAGTCGGTAATCAAAAGTATCCTTTACGGATCTGACACGACTTTTGGGGCGACTGATATATTAAGAATATGATGTTGAGTATGACCTGGTAACGTCTAATTTACGGTAAGTAACTATACAAACAGGCTCTCGGGTATTTGAACATGCAATTTATTCTCGCTAGTTTTTATGTATCTCGATATCTTCCTTATCTGTAGTAGTGCGCTAAGAGGTTCCTAGCTGTAATCTAACGAATGCAATACTGATTTAGTCCAAGCTGAACTGTGTTAAGGTAGCACTAAATGTATGAGCAATAATATTGTGTAACATTAGTTATAAAAGTGCCCTTTATATTCTGTATAATGTTACAGGCTATGGGTTTAAGATATACATAAAAAAATATGTTGCTTATTATACTTTTTGCTGAAATAGTTGCACAGCTTGTATTAAACGTCAATGTAAAAATAGTAGATATAATTTTGAGGCCAGACATCTGTAGGAAAAATACACCATTTAATTGTTTGTCAAATAAAATACAGTACTCAAAGTTAACCAATTCATATCAGTAACTAGTATATAATATACTACACTCTTACTAAAATAGATAGGGAAGTTTACGTAACATAGAATCGTTTTTTGATGAGGCCTTATTATAATGAATTGTGTTTGTATTCCATTTGCCAAAGTTATGAGTAATTTAATATGTTATTGAAACTGCGCTGTGAAGAATGGAAGACGTCTCTGTGTATACTAAACATGTGTCAGTTTGTATTGAGACCAGAGCCTACGTAAGACTGAATTTCCGGAACACTAACAGTGCAGACAGTTAATAAATTAGTTCAATTATAGTTATGGTTGCTGGCAGCCGTTGGCGACTCGTTTATAGTGTTAAGAGACTCGTGTAATTCTAAGTAATCATTTGTGATACCAACATACTGTTATAAAATGGCCATGCTTGACGAATATAGTTTTAGACATCTTTTACCCAGCGATTGTAATACTTTAAACACAGTTTGCAGTGAACGCACTTAATTTAGTTTCAATTAAAGTTATTTTCTGTATATAATTTTGCTTATTTTGGAACGTTAATATTATCGAAATCAACTTGTCTTTGATGAGTTTTGAAATGTACTTTATGTTGAATGATTAATTTTTTATAACATTTATTCGTGTTTTGAAGTCGTTATAACTATTCCAGTGTAGGTATGTTAGTAGTTTCTGATTCTACTTAAGGTGTTTTAGCCTTTTAAATTGTACTACTTAATCGTAATACAAGTTTAGAGAGATAACATTATAGTAAAGTTAGTATTCACTCAGTATACTGTAATAGCTATTTATTTATTTATTGCTCATGAAATGTTTGTCGAAATAACGTTCTATAATGTTGTCTTCTCAAATAAACTACTGGTTGAAAGAAAGCATACTGTAGAATAAGATGTTATGGCTATTAATGTGACTTATCAGTTATTTTGTCATTGTCTGCCGTTTTTGTTGTAAATAATAATTAAGTCTAGAATATAATAGAATAATAATAAAAATGTGGTTTTATTTATCGTTTCTTCCTCTTTCCTGATTGTAAAATTATTTTATGACTTACCGTTTATCGTTGATAATATTTTATTCGAGTATGTACGTATTGCCGATTATCGTTTCATGAGTAGTATGCGTCATAGTCAAAGGTTTCTTTGCGGAATGGTTGGATTATTCTAGGTTTGACCAAAGAATTCGAGCGTATTTTTAACCAAACCTAGAAATTCCCAATTTCAGTTAAACACCGAATGTAAAATAATCTGTTGCAGATTCGGTCATACATTTTAATTTGAATAATTTTCATTTATGTTTGGGACAAACGAAAATAAATAGTTTTGTACAGCCATAAACAAAATTAAAAGACTTATTCACGTCAAAATGCCTTTTTTTAATTCTTACATAAGTTGGCTAAACAAGTTCAAGAAGATGAATACCCCGATACGGTATGCGGATAAGCTAGAATCACATGACGGAAGACGGAAGCTATAGTGAGCGAGGGAAGCGATCTTGATAAAAATCGTCCTATATCCGTGACCTCCCTATTCCTATTTTATATAATTTACCCTCGTACCTACTTTTCGTCTTAGTTTGACGTAAGCAAAGCTTAAAATTTCGAGGGACTCAGTCCCAGTACCGCCCAACCTAAATACTAAAACTTGCAACTAAAGAGAAATTCTGTTTTCACCATTGTTTGATTCCTTAATTTGTAAAACTCCGTCACAAACACACCATTGAGTTTATACTCGATAGCTTCAGGTTTAAGTGGCACATGTTTGGTGAGAATAACGCACGATGTGAACAAGTAAAAACGCAAGGTAGGCTGGGCTGGGACCAACTAATCTCTTAAAACGCCAACAGGTGGCGTATCAATCGTTTATGGTTTTATCTTCACAGCAGATCTGTTATTTTTAGCAGAATTAAATTGGTTTGTTACTTCCAAATTATCAAAATTAGTGTTTACTAACCTAAATAAAATATATCACTATGGGACCGGTCTTTATTCTAGAGCCTCGGGTATTTCTCATAGCAATATACAAAATCAAACAAGTTGCGATAATAAAGTCAGAAGTACTATTATCTTCTTGACTTTAGTTTTGGGTCTGTAAAGTTTAAATACACGGTTAAACTTTAACATTTTTTTAAATAAAATTTCCCGCGCTAAGGCTTTCTTCTGTCCCGAGAGTGCGGTTTCAATCAAAAAAATATTATAAATGTGAAGCTTTCTTTGTTTGGATGTTTGTCAGTCAATCACGCTGAAACTACTGAACGGATACAGGATGTAATTTGGTATACAGACTGGGTATGGGTTGACTTAACTTGACTTAGGTGATAGGATTTTTATCCCGATAAATACTCCCATGGGATAAAATAGGAATACGCGGGCAAAAGATAGGTTCACATAAATCACATAGATGTCACCCAGAAAAGGTCACTCAAAGGCTTGCATGGTGAAGATATCGAAACCGCTACCCGTCACGCGGCAGTCGGTTGCCCAGCCACTGTGCCAACAGCCAACATCAAAATTAAATCAAATCACCAGTCAAGTCACCAGCAATCAAACAGTATGTGTGAAAAATATCATAGATTGTTTCAATCTTGAGCATTAGATGTTGGTACTTAGCTTATTTTATAGTCACTATTGTATAGATTTCAACATTTAAATAAAATAGCTAAATACAAGGTGTATGTAATTATTAATGTTATTTATGAGGTAAGTTCCTTTTAATTCATCATCATCATCATCATCATCATCAACAGCCTTTAAATGCCCACTGCTGAGCAAAGCCTCTCACACGGAGAAGGTTTGAGCATTAATCACCACGTTTGCTCATTCCGGGTTGGCGCTTTGAAACTTATAAGTTTCAAAGCGTTAGTTTAGTTAGTTTAAATTATAATTAGAAATTGTAAGTCCAGGTTTCCTCACGATGTTTTCCTTCACAGTTAGTCAGTGGTGTCTAAATAATCTTAGAAAGTACATATAACTTGTAAAAAGTCACATTGGTACTTGACTTTGGTATGTTTTGGACCTGCACCCTCATGCATGAGAAGCGGGCGTCTTAACTTTCGGGCCACCACAATCTTTTAATTAGTAAATTCATTACAATTTTGTAGTTAGGTACTGTTATTTTGTTTGTGAATGTGATGTGTATCGTTATAGGATACCTGATGGCGACGATGAACAAATTACCTACCTACTTTTGGCTGGTGCTGTAGAATTTGAATATAGTGATTCATCATTGAGGATCGGAAGGTATGTTAAGTTACCTACCTAAAATAACATAAAACATTCTAAGTAGTAATTTTCGAAAAGGTTCGTTTTCAGTTCATTGTTTTGGATTGCTCGCATTGACTGACACTGTCGCTATAGCCAGGGTCGACCTGGCTGTGTACTCAGGATGCCTTCAGCCTTTTCGAGCTCTCTGCGGGCTTGATAAGGGCTAAGTCCAAGACTACTTCACTGTCTATTTGGCATTAGACCCCATTGATAATGTAGTGTACCATCTTAAATAATTTACAATCTAGGATCCTCTTGACTGGCCTATTTATACCCTGTTTCTATTCACCTATTCTCTTACGACAGGTCAGCATTTTTTTAAGGGGGGAAAATCATCGAATGACTGCTTCCGCCTGGGTGAGGCGGGAGGGAGTGTCAGACTCTTACTGACTAAAAACCACTCCGTTCCTTCTCCTGCACGTCGAGCCGAAGCCCCGGTAACCCATTAAGTTCTCCGCGACTCCGAAACGACAGGTCAGCATAAGGTGAAGATAGCGTAACACGTTATATCGAACACCTTACTAAGGCCGGCTTTAATTTTATAGGTATGTATTTAGGACGGAATTACAGTGTATTATGGGTCAATAAAGGCATAAAGGTAGACCAGTGTGAGTCATCTTGTGTGGAGGCTAAGGGAGGAAAGGGCGCCGCAATCTCGCTTCTGTTTACTATTGTCTGGAGAAAAGCCCTAAAATATACTTACTAAGTTTTTCTTATGTTGTGGATGCCTTTAGGTACAATATACTTCCAATTTAGAATTATTCTGTGCGGGAAGAGAAGTCGCGTTCGCATCAGCCGGTTGCTCAGTCATTGTCCCAACCTTACAGTCGGGGTGATTTTTTATCTACTTTCCCGTCCAAATGATACGTGTGAAAAGTTGTGTTTCGT